TGGTGTGTGATTGTGGAAAGGGGGAGCTGGTCTGGTCTGGTCTAGTCTGGTCCGCAAGGGATATCCTGCTGCTGCTGCATCGTGATACTAGCTAGCTGTGCTGTATATCTGACGAGAGAACGATGCGGTGCGTCTCATGACGCTTCTGTTCTTGAGATGTAGTGTAGCTTGTAATAACGCGTCTAAGGTTTACGAAGTAGACGATTGTTGGCAAAGGAAGCAAATGCGGTTAGAAATGGAACAATTTCTGCTGTCGATACTTTTGGAAAGGTCGGTGTCTGTTTGTGCTTGTGCTTATGCTGTGCTGTCGGGGTGTTATTCTTATGATGCCTTTTCGCTGACTTCATGAGTATAGGCGTACTTTTGGTTCGTTGGTAAGATACGGAGCGTTTAATAGTTTTGTGACGTTCTCATTGGGTTTGTCGCTGCGCGGAGGGAGGAAGGGAGGTGGTGTATTGGGGGGTCACCGTTTGACAAGGGTAGTTTGCGGAGGATCAGACGATTCCTGAACTCTTGCTAATGTTCTGGTCTGGGTGATTCACCTTGTCTCCTACAGCGATGGTTGATTCTGTAAAATGTGTTGGATCAAGGGGCTCACTAGCTAGATCTTCAGCCTGGTTGCATTTAGCGTTTCACACTTATTCCTTGCATCGTCTTGTTGCAAATAGGGCTATTACAGTCTTCGAATCCTGTATTGCTCGCTCCATCATACGTGTCCAAATCAATGGTCGGACAAGCTCAAGATCGCAGTAGTACCTCGAGACACCATGCTTCTTCACTCCCAGACAACCAATCCGCGGTGCCTTAGTCAGAAAGATGCTCCGCACTTCCCCCCAAATCTCCCCTTTCTGCACGCCATGCACATATGCAGGTCCAATCAGCCTGCATCTGCTCCTTCGCCGCGCACATGGGCGCACTATCATGGGACAGAACATGCCGCCTATCAGGACTATGAGATCGCCATCGCGTATCGCGCCTGTGCCTGCGCCGAAGTATCTTGTTCCCGTGCGGAAGAAGATGTCACCACGATTAGGCGTCAAGAGTGACTCGCAGATCCCTGATAGCACTGTGCTCCAGGCCAACAGGATTTTATACCCGTCGCTCTTGCCGTTGAATTTCGCGAACTGGAACTGTAGACTGAATTTGTTCGAAAGAAGCGTATGTCCGGATGCGTTTTCTTGGAGTGGGTTTCGACTAGCCATGTTAAAAGACCTGTTGTCGTCGTAATTCGTAAGCAGCAATGACCACCAGATCCTCGCACTGCTTTCGAAGGATTTATCGTATAGATCGGCTAGCACGTCGTCCGGACGTGTTCGTGGACGCCCACGACGCTTGCTTCTTGGTAAGTTCGGTCTGACCTGCTTATGCACGTTCGTCTCCCCACGGTGGGCACCGATGGTCGCGAAGAAGGCCTCGCGTATGCTGTGTCCCATCTGCAAGCATCCGTAGGGCAGCTTTTTAGCGATCCTGATCTGTCCTGGAGCGCTCCGTTCGTCTTCTCAGGATCTCTCTGATGTGTTTCCCAGACGATATCGTCTCCGACTTGCATTATGCGATTTGGATGCCAAGTCGTGTGAGGTGATGCTTCAGCGACACGGTCGACGACCACGGCTGGCATGCACAAGCGCATGTTTCCAGGGAAGATTTTTATTCTGAGGAGATCTCATTCCTGTGGGCGCTGTCCTTGTGGTCGGCGACTAGCCATGGAGGAACTGAGTCGTTGTAGTCTGGGCCTAAGAAGGAAGCGGGTGCGGATCCGGATCCGGATGTGTCACTTCTCGGCCTGTGGCAATGAAAAGGGATCAAACGAGCACAAGAAACAAAACAACTCCAATTCAGCCCACACACACTACACCCTTTCGACCCTTGCACGGGAGAAACTAGCATTACCATCCACCACACCACACCATCGTCCTCTCATATCCACCGGCCCACACGCCTCCTCAAAGTCCATTGTCCTCCAGGAACTGCGTAATCACACAAAACGCGCCCGTAGCATTCTTATGGAAATTGATATGGTGGCTCACCCCCTTCACCAGACTCAACTGCAGCGGCCGCGCATTCTCATACAACTCTCTTGCCGGGCTCTCAAACACACCTGGACAATACCCATCGCACACAAATAATCCAGTTCGCCCGTCAAATACAGCGCCATGTATTCCCCCAACGGAAGGTCGTGGAGTGTGCGTTTCAACCACTCTCCACCCAATCCCGCTGCCACTCCTCCATCTCAACAAAGGCCCCCACCCTGAAGGTGGCGTACCCCCTTGTGATACCAGGCCTGTACAGATCCCAGAATGGAGAACCTCTCCAATCGTAGAACTCCGGGGTGTAGGAGAGGCACCGCACCCGAAGAACCACGTCAACAGTTCCGGTTGCGCGCAGTTCAAGATCTTCATCCTTGGGCAGAATGCCAGACAGCGTCTGCGTTCCCCCTAACTTTCTGAATAAAAAGGCTAGGTTCGGTTGACGGTAAAGATCGACATCTCGGAAATCGACATCGATGCAGACGATGAGCTTCGTTCTTTCCCTGCGCACGGACTCAGTAGAGGACAGTTCTGCCGCCTGACTAGGCGGTTTTGTATTGTGGCCCCAACTGTGTGCATGAAGCCATCGGGCTAGACCGGTCTGTTCTGGAGCAATAGCAGAGTGGGTGCGGAGACCTGCCATGAGGAGAAGGATGTCCTTCACCCATATCACGTATCTAGGTACCGCTCGACCCCTGAGTGTCAATCTAATGGGCTCGGTAGCTAGTTGGTGCAGTTGCCTGCGCTGGAATATTGGACCAGCTTCCGCGCGGATCGTGGTGCAGGTCCGTAGCAGCTTGACGGCTGGCAGCGAACTTACAACGAGAGCGACTTCGGTGTCGGCCGGTGATACTTTGCCGAAATCTAAGGTGGCATCGTAGTATTTTCGTTCGATGCAGCATTCCTCATAGACCATCAGGCGTATGTCCTGGGGCAAATCCAGGAATCGGAACATCTCTGGTGATTCGGAGCATTGGTTTCGATGGGCGGCAACCTACTGAGTATTAGTTGAGTACTCACTAGCAATATGGTGCGGGCTGACGCTGCCAATCTCGCCGATCACGCCGTGCTCAGCATGTTCAGCACCACGTACCGTAACTTTGGCTGTCTTCTCCGTACTCTGTAGCATGTTAGGCGTTGCCGGTCGATCTAAAGGTACCTAGTAGTGACTCACAACAGCTTCCTTGTCCGACTGGAGGGTGCGGGGTAGATACTTCGAAGGCGGGTGACGGTCCTCAATTGACGACATGGTTGCAATATATAGACCAAGAAAGAGTAGTGACAGGTGAGGCCGGGTATGAGTTGTTGGAGGCTTGCGTACAGTGCGTGGGTCCGGTGTTATCTTATATAGTTGAGAGGTGCCTCCGGGTGACGGAAACAAAGATTGTCCGGGACCGCGTGGTTTGTGCTTCCCAGATGAAAGGTGCGCGCGAGGGCGCAAAGCCGCAATGACGTATGATGTGGTTGTGGACTCGAAACCGTACTGCTGATATGCACTTCAACTGAGTTCATTGCGACACAGCTGAGTTCAATATATCTGTCGAGGAGATTGCCAGAGTGTAGACCTACCCTCCCTCCCAAATACGACGCCATCTGATGCACAAATACACATATCATACACCCATACGTCCCTCTCCATTCGGTCATGGATACCATGAATCCCCTTTCCCTGCAGTCTCTCTATCCCCTTCGATTCCACCTATTTAAACTTCGGCAAAACCGGCCTCCTCCCCACCGCAAGCGCAACCCATCCCCCAATCAAGCACAATCCTCCCAGCGGCGTCACCGGACCCAGAAACTTCCATCTTTGCGGATCCAACACAAGCAAATATATGCTCCCGCTGAACATGGTCATGCCCGCGGTGAAGAGGCCCATGGCGACAGTGTTCTGCGGCGCAGCGACGGAGGCGAGGGTTAGGACGGCAGAGTGGATGAGCTATTGTGTATCAGCTTTTTGCGCTGGAATTTGTGCGGCGGTAAAGAGAGGTAACTAAAGGCTTAGATCCGAAGGGAGATGTACCTGGTACTGCGCTGCAGTGCTCCAGTTTGTGATGCGCTGCGGGTCGGCGATGCGCTTCTTCAAGCCGTGGGCGCCAAAAGCGCCGATGGCGACGGAGGTGGCGCCGTAAAGGCAGCCGACTGTCCAGAATGGAGGCATTGTATGTAGTATGTCTATCTGAGGATGGTACGGCCTTGTCAATGGAACGGATGGGAGTGATGCAGTGGGGTGAAGTTGAGCTTGAGCTTGGGCCAGGTGCGGGCCGAGGCAGTTGTAACGGTGCCGGTAACGCAACGAACCTAGCATGCGGACTGGAACTTGTGAGTATCGTATCTGCGATGGAGGACCTGGATCAATCGAAGCAGAAGCGAACGGTCAAAGGACCGTGGCATGCGCCATGGCCTGATTACACTTGCTCGATGTACAGCTTGGACGATTGTACTTGTGAGCACAAGCCGGACGAGTGACTCAATGCGCGATGCGTATGGGTTGAGCGGCATCGTTCACTTGACGTCTGAAGTCTGAGAAATGGTGGCTGACTCGTAGTAAGCATCGCTGCTGTCGAGGTTCTGGTGGCTGTCCGCTAAAGCGACCGCCCCTTGAATGAGCGACGAAGCTGAGCTGTGCATACAGCTCAGCTGATTGCTCACACATCTATGTTGAGTCTGCTGATGCTTTGATCTCTTACCATAACCTCCTTGTGTTTAAACTTCACAACGCTCATAGCTGACTTGTAGTAAGCATTGCTGTCGTGGAGATACTGGTGGCTTTCTGCATGTCTGCCAAAGCGACAGCCTCTTGCATGAGCTGCTACGTGGCTGAGCTGTGTAAACAGCTCAGCTGAATGCTCGCACACTCAGACTGAGTCTGCTGATCCTCTGATAGAGATCATACTCCAACCTCCTTGGGTTTAAATGTCAGGACTTTGGGAGCATTGACGGCCAACAGCAACACATACCACCGTACGATCCCAAATGGCCACCATCTCATACCTTTACCTAGGCTCCGGCGACTACTCCGCGCCATGGGAACTCGCAAAGCAAAAGTCCGTGTTCGACCAAGCAAAGGCAATACGCTGTGGCCTCGACCTCTCCCAGCCGATCAACCCTGGGAATGAAGGCGCGTCGCGCACTCTACAAGGCATCACCATCACGGCGACTGAACTACTTACACGAGAAGCGACCGATAAATTGTACCGCGACATCGACAAGAGGAATGGAGTCACTCACGAGCAGCATGGCGAGCTGGACAGAGTCCAAGACAACATCCGCAACATTCAGCTCATCGGCGAAGCGCGCCTCGCCGATGTCCCGGACACCACAAAAGTCATTGGTGGTTTTGATGCGACCAAATATCCGCTTGGAACCCCGGACTACGACCGGATCATCTTCGACAACCCGCATAGCGGTGTATATGGAAGTCCGACCGACGACGTCCAAAACATGCGAGCCGTAACGTCAAACCAGGGACTACTCGAGGCAGTCATGAAGGAGGCGCGTGCACATTTGAAACCCAACGGCTTCTTCGAGCTGTCCGTCTGCGGCTGGCCGTTTCTAGCGAAGCCGTCGCGACAGAAGGAGTGGGACACGGGTATGGATCTGGGCCGTGAGGAGAAGGTGCGAGCCTTTGCGGACAACCTCCACATGAGGGTTGAGAGCGCTCGTGATGAGGGCATCAAGTCGGTTACCCGCAATAACGGCGACGTCTTCCAGGCGCAAGTGATCCGGTTCCAATTTGCGCGAGCTTAGAGACTTGATGTCAGACGAGGGCCTTTGAGCATATATTCAGGTAAGGTATCGGAGGAAAGATGTCACTGCAGCTACTGTAGATTCGCTTTTTGCAAGACCCACACCCATTTCCCAGTTCTTTTCACTCGAACCGTTGATAAATTAATAATAACCTTGTTTGTATTCATTCCAACTCTTGCTGATCTAACCCTTAGCACGATCTGTTTGGGGTAGTATGTACTCATCGCTATCAGCTCTGTCAGTCTTCGCCTTGCCCACATCTACGACTCGCTTCATCCCGATCAATCCAAGAACAAGGACTGATCCTGCACAGTACGGCAGGAGCCATTTCAAGACAAATGCTCGCGAAGGTGGTCAGCAAACCGCCTTCTCGATTTTGTAATGATTGAGTTCCCCCGACTATCATCTCAATGGGCCTTGTGGTATAGTGTCCGCCCTATGTACCTGCACAGTCGGCACTCTTCGTCTCAAAACAGCCTCTGCCGCAATAGAAGAAGCCAGCCCATTCGAAAGCCCAAGCTCTTCCGCAGCCTCCAAGGCCTGCTTTTCTTCATCTTTCGCCTTGGATGATGTCCAATGCATCGGTTGCCAGACCTTGCCTTCCCAAAATCTTCGTCTAGCAAATGGCTTCGGGATATGCTGGGACGGGAAGCGTGACCTGAGTTTCTCTTCGAACGTGTTATGCTTCTGATGTACTCGATACCAAAAGAACCAGATCAGAAACACCACGAAAGTCAAAGGTCCGGTGACGGCCCAATACACCCAGAAGTGGGCTGAGAGGACCGGGTCACCCTCCGAGGCTTCCCAGTTGAACATGGCCATGGAGAAAAAAGACTGGGCTGGGTCAGTGCGAAGAGGACAGAAGATAAAGACATTTTAGGCGCTACCTACTGCAACGAAAGTTCCAGGCAAGAATGCAATGCTCATGATTGCAAGTGTTCTCATAGCGAAGCTATCATCCTTGGTAGTAATCGCAATTTCCGTGGAGATCTCAGCCAGGCTGCGATTGTCGCGATTGTCGCGCTGTGCCACAAGATTGTAAACCTATCCGGTCATGTACGTCAGTCAATTCCCAAATGGAGTAGAGTACTTCAATTCTATTGACTTACGATCTCTACTTGACTCTGTGCAATTCTTTGATTGAGCCCGATCTCAAGGCCCAACGCCTGGTGCTCCGTCATCAAGTGAATGAGACGTTCTTCTAGTGATCGAGTGGCAGTGTTGAGACTCAAGCGTCGATCCTCACTGATCTCTCCATTTTCGCTTCCCAAGCAGAGGCTGATGGCGTGCATTTGGTCTTGAATTTGTTGAACGAAGACTCTGTTCGCTTGGATGCGCATATCGTGGAAAGCGAGGCGGGAAATGATAGTATTGAGACTTCGTGTCATCTCTCCAAAGTCTGGGCCCTGATTGCCGAAATCCTGCGTATTCTATATTATAGTCAGTCGTTTGTGCATTCAATCAAAGTTCGAACACTTACTAGCGCAGTTTTGGTCTTGAACTCGACCCCGTACAGCATCGCAGCATGTGCTTTGATACCGTTAGAGTCACTTTCTGTGAGCATTTCACAGAGGATAACAGGCAAATTCATTGGGTGGTGAAGTTCCGATCGACTATCGTCGATATGTGTAGCCTATTGTGTTCGTTAGCCATTAGTTGCGCGATTGGATTGTGGTGTCTTAATGAAGCCTTCACCGCACAGACATACCAGCGTTCCTCGTTCGCTACTCTGCAGGCCGTGTAGGAAGCCTCGCAAATCGCAAAAGGTCGAGTTCCAGGACAACCCCAGAGTCCAGTTCTCGTTGATCGATTTAGGCGTACGAAAGACGAAGCCTGGTAGTGTCAGCATGCCCGATCGTGACAGTACTGGCGGAAGTATGAGGACCTTTTTCGTCATCTTTTCCAACACAAGCAATGGATTGAGGGGCCCCTGCGTATCAATTGATTAGACGCGGGAATAAATGTGGATTTGAGATCTCGCATTATAAGTACCAATGAACAATGCTCTAAAGAACAATGGTGGAAGCTTGATTCTCGCAGCAATAGATAGAAACGCTAGACGGGTGAAGGGCAACGTGTTGCTAGCATTCGACTCTGCTTCGCTCGTTCTGTGCGAATGTTAGTCAACACTTACCTTTTGAAACTACACCTAGGTCTCAATCAAGCAATTTTTACTGACATTAACAGCATTCGCTCATTGCTCCGGATTTGTTCTCTGCTCCGGGATCCTTTTTCGCTTTGGGTTTCTACTCCGCTCTGGGATTCTTCTTCGCTTTGAGTGTCTTCGCTTTGAGTGTCTTCGCTTTGAGTGTCTTCGCTCTGGGAGTCCGCGACGGGAGCTTCAGAAAGCACAGAGCTGAGCAAGTCGCCAGTCAGCTCTTCCAGCCGAACGGGCTCAGCAAGATCATTCTGTCAATCATAAGCACCAATACAGGAGTGCAGGATTACAAGCTTACGTGGTATTCAACCTTGAGGTAGTAACTTTTCTGCCTATCAGATTGTTTTGGAGTGTCTATGTCGTCATCTTCCGTCGCAACAAACGTGAGCTTGTCATAGTATTGTTTCCATCTTGCAGGTATACCCTGAACATATGAACTACGCTGCTCTGAATTTAACAAATCATCCACATGTTTTTCAATTTTTTGGAGTGAGCGTCCGAGTTCGGTGATATTGGTAATCCTGAAGCACGTCAATGAAGACTCCATCTTTATTCTTTGTTTTTGGAGTAAACGGCATATTCTCTTCCATGCCGCCCGATCGAACGTCAGGTGTAGGTGATAACTTGAGGGTCCATCTCTTCTTGGATGTAGTCTTTGTATTTGCCGCGACAAATCGACAGTAATGGCCTCCTGATTCTCCAATATACTTTGCACTCTGCCCAATTCAGCTTGACCTGAGTTACTACGCAGATGCTCAAACTCGCTTATGTGCCCATTTCCTGCATGTATGAGCTCTGAAAGATCCAGATTAGCCTCTTCCAGCTCCACTGGCACAGATTTCGCGGACTGAATCACTTCTTTCAAGCTCTTCTGCACTTCCATTATCGAAGCGATCATGCTTGCAAGCCCTGCAGCGATACTCAATGGATCCATGGTGGATTTCCCGTATTAGGGTACGTTATCAATCCGAGACGAGACGAGGACGGTGGCAAACAAAGACGACAAAAGTGAGCTATGACTGTAAGATGTGGATAGAGAGTGCAAAGTAGGAGAGAACGAGGAGAAGATTCGAGGAGGCTGCGGGGCACCTGCCCCAAGGCTGGCTGTGGAAGTCGCACCTGCCTTGTGCAAACTGCATGCATGGGACCAGCTGAACATGGGCGCAAGAACTGAACCACGCAACACAACATTCGCAAGTTGCACGAACAGAGATATGAAACGGCAACTTGTCTAGGCTTTCGAGAAATGAATTGGCGCGCATCCTTTTGCGCTGACTATACGGCTATATCAGAAAAGGACGGCAACTGCGTCCGACAATACTTTTCACACGCCGAAGCATGCGGCACGCTCTATCACACTGGGCCTCCCGGCCAGCAGCGATCCCCTAACTTGACCCGTACTACGCTATTTTGATTAAAAGGTCACTCGTAATCGGTGACTAGCGCATAGCACAGGAGGACGACCGCCGCGCCGGATCATCATCAACCTCGTCTTCTTCATCGGACGCGCCCACTTCATCCAGCAGAGTAAGCTGCCGCGCCCTCAACCCACGCTTCTTGTTGCCTCCCTTCGTCGCGCGCCGACCATTGTGCCCCAGAGGGCGGCGCGGGGGAAGCGGTTCGTAAGTCTCGCCCTGAACGTCTTCAAGCCTCGTTTTCTAAGAAGAAGTAATTGCCGTTGAGCTTCTGCTCGTGGTCGAGCTGGGAGTTGTACTTGTTGATACGGGGACGGTAGGAGTTGGGGTCGCGGCGGAAGGTGACGTCGAGGTTCTTGAGGAACTTGTTGCAGCCGGTCAGGAGGGACTCGGGTGTGTTGGCGCGGGACTTGATGGCAGGCTGACCGTCAAAAACGATGACACGGTCGGCGAGGTAGGTAGCCATAATGAAGTCGTGCTCAACGACGAAGGCCGTCTTCTTGGCGTGCATGATGAAGCGCTTGATGACGCGGGCGGCGACGATACGCTGCTCGGAGTCGAGGTAGGCCGAGGGCTCGTCGATGAGATAGATGTCCGCGGGCATACCGAGCGCGAGGACGATGGCAACACGCTGCAATTCACCACCAGATAGGTTCTGCACTTCTTGGTCGATGAAGTCGTCCATCTTAAGGGGCTTGTAGACGTCGGTCTGGAACTGCGGGCTCAGGAAGGCGGCCTTGATCTTCTTGAAGAAGAGCTGGCGGACAGTACCGGTGAACCTGGGCGTGATCTTCTGTGGCTTCATGCTGATGTTCATTGGTGGGATCTTCTTGCCGTTGTCGGGCTGCAGGGCGCCGGCAAGCATCTTACAGAAGGTAGTCTTTCCAGTACCGTTCTCACCCATCATGACGATGATCTCGGAGTCGGTGAACTCACCCGACTCGATGTTGAGCTCGAAGTCGCCCAGGGTCTTGGACATCTTGGGGTAGCCGTATGCGTTTGACTTGTCTGTGAGGAACTCCTCGCCAGCCTCACCGATACGGAATTGAAGAGATTCTTCTCGGAAACGCAAGTTCTCGGTGGGAATGTTACCGTCGAGGAAGATGTTGATACCTTCTCGCACGGAGGCGGGGAGGGTGACGACACCATAGACGGCAGGCTTGCCGTAAAGGACGCAAATGAAGTCGGAAAGGTAATCCAGGACGGACAAATCGTGCTCTACTACGATGACATAGTCATCAGGGCGGAGCAGACTGCGGATCATACGAGCGGCGGCAAGACGCTGCTTCACATCCAAGAAAGACGATGGCTCGTCGAACATGTACACATCCGCCTTTTGGACGCACACAGTTCCGATGGCGAAACGCTGCAGCTCTCCACCAGACAACAGCGTAACGTCACGGTCATATACGTGCTTCAACTCAAGAACCTCAGTGATCTCCTGGAGGTTGTCCATCTGAGAGCGGCCCTCAATGAGCTTGCCAACTGATTTGTCCGGTCCCTTGATGGCCTTCGGGATCTGGTCGACATACTGGGGTTTTACGACAGCCTTAAGATCGTCCTCCAGGACCTTGGTGAAGTAGTCTATTCCATGTTAGTCCGTATTGTCCGTAGCATGTACGTGCATGCCGCCTTACTCTGCAGTTCCGAACCACGGAAGTATTTCAAGATCTCCTCCCAGTCTGGCGGGTTGTCATAGCGGCCAAGGTTGGGCTTCAGCTTGCCGCTCAGGATCTTCAATGCCGTACTCTTTCCAATACCGTTCGTGCCAACCAATCCCAACACTTGGCCCGGACGGGGCATAGGCAGTCTGTGCAACTTGAAGCTGTTTGCGGAGTATCGGTGCGTGACTTGTGTCTCGAGATTCGTGGGCAAGTTAATGATGTTGATAGCGTCGAACGGGCACTTCTTGGGGCAGATACCGCATCCTATGCACAGTCGTTCGGAGATGAAGGCGATTTTCGAGGTGTTGTCGACCTCGATACACAGCTTGCCGGTACGCACGACGGGGCACGACTTCTTGCACTCTTGCCTGCATTTCTGCGTCCCTGTCAGTCCGTTTTGTCGTGGTTCCGGGGGTTGGGGCTGACCTTTGGCTTGCACTGTTCGCGCACACTTGATGTTAGAGAAATTTCGAACACGCCCGCGGGGCAGCACTTGCCTTGTCGTTGCTGACAATCGCAATACTATTAGATGTTAGTGAAGAGCAACAAGATGTATGTATCTCGGGGGACGTACCGGGTGAGTTTGTCCGACATGGCGGCGGTCGTAGCAACAATGTGTGGGCGTAGACGTGGAGGGTATCGCGGTGTAAGGCCCTACGTAGATGGCGGGGCACGCTGTGAATTTAGAAGTGGCTTGTGGGTGACTGCAGCGCTTCAGTGTCAGTAATATCGCAAGATTTGGCCGCCTAAAGAGTAACTCACCAAGTTGCCGCCCGAATGCAGCGTTTGAACAGGTAATGCGACAGAGGAACACTGTTCTCGGGCTCAAGGAGCAAAGACGTTCACAGTGGACGGTAATCGCAGTGGCCTTCGCGTTGATTGGCTCGTGTGCGGCCTCGGTCACGTGCAACGTCCAGCCCTGCCTCTGCGGCTTTCAGTGCTGAGCCAGTGGTGGGCCCTGACCCTCACACATCTTCCCACAAGTAGATACCTACTTGTGCCCGCCCACCACCACGACAACCCAACATAGAGCAGGAATTCCCTGACTGGGGTACAACTATGGACAGTAAGTATTTCTCTTCCACGCGTGCCCATACCTCTCTGCCTGTTGGCAAACCGGCCGTTGCAACTTCGTCTTCGCATCTGCACATGTCCATCTCGCGCCGCCCTCCCCCATCTCCGAACCGCCTCTACGACCTCGATATCGATATATTCTGGTTCTCCGCGTTCCCCTCGACGTCCTCCCGCCTCTTACTGGCTCTCCCGGGTCATTGAGCCTCGTCCGGAGCCTCACGCTGCCTCCCGCGCACATTTCCATCAACCGCGACCAACCCTCATCAAGCCTGGATAGTTCACGAAATGCTGGATGTCTCTTCTCAATCGTTGCGTAATCCGAGTCGCGTAACTCTGCTCTACACGACACACCCATCAGTTCCTTCCCGCGATGTTTGCTCGCAGAATTGTCACGCTGACCATCCACCCAGCCGCGTCCATCGTCGTACCCTCCACTATGGCCGACCCGGTCCCCTATACGAATGGGCACTCTTCGCCGGTCGCGTTCGATACTGCTATGCCGTCCGCTCCTTCACCGCCTAGCGAAGACGCGCTCTCCGAGACCCAACAGGCTGCCGCCGCATCATCGGATGAAGATGGAGATGCCGACGCTGATGGAGAGGAATATGAGGAGGACGAGCAGATGGAAGTTGATGCAGAGTCTTCAGAAGACGCCGAGGGCGAGGCAGACAGTGATTTCGGCTCTGACAGCCCGCCGCCAGAAGAGGACCGCCGCCGGGCCCGCAGCTCGACATCGCATGGTTCAAGCCGGCCCAGCAAGCGCAAAGCCAGCGTAGAGGATGATTTCGAGGCGAACCCAGAGCTATACGGCCTGCGTCGAAGCGTATGTGGCCTTGCACCTTTATCGCATCTGCCAGCTAACCGTAGCCTAGGGCCGAGCACGTCCAACCCGCCGCATTGTTAGTACCCTTACCTAGTATCACACCTCTTTCTAACCTGAACTAGGTCGATAGCAGCGATGAAGACGATGGTTCAGATTCTGATGTGCCGCGTAAGCGCCAAAAGACCACCTCGCGAAAAGGTACTTTCACGCACCCCGCCATCTACATTCATCACCACTGACCTTTTGCGATAGCCTCTAACCAACCTACACCCGTTTACCGCTCCCCTAATACCGATTCCGATGAATCCGATGGCTTCGTTGGAGCCCGACGCAACATCCCAAGCAAGAAGGAGCGACAGCGCCGGCAGCTCGTGGCAGATGGCCAGCTGCCGCCTTCACATGCGGAGGTCCGGTTCTCGCAGCGACGAACAAAAGCTGTGACGAATTATAACGAGGATGGCGAGGACTCTTTCGAGGAAGAAGAAGAAGACGACAGGACACCCAACTATTGGGCTACCACTGCCGAAGACACTGGCCCTGCTATCGACAAGGTGCTGGATCATCGGCCGAAGCCCGATGTTGGTATGGTACACCCAGCCTCATGGTCGCATTAGCACTAACACTCCAGTAGAATTGGAGCCTTACTCTGTTCAGAAGAAAGACTTTGAGTACCTGGTCAGTTTATTCATGCCTTCTCTTCGACTGTACTAACCGTAGTTCTAGATCAAATGGATGGACAAAGCTCATTACCACTCGACCTGGGAAGAGCACAGTACGATTGCCTCGTGCAAAGGCTGGCGGAAGCTAGAGAACTACTTCAAGGGACCCGTCATGACCGACATGCACATACATTTCCGCAAAAAGATAGACCCCGAAGAGTTCGAACAGCACATGGTCGCACGCGAAGGGCAACGTGAGAGTCTGCTGGACTTCCACGTTGTGGAGCGGGTAATAGGCTCCCGCGAAGGCGATGAAGAGACGGAATACTATGTCAAGTGTAAGCGTGATTAACCCTACCCCTATCGAGATTACCTAACCATTAGTAGGGAAGGGACTGAGCTATGATAACTCTACTTGGGAGGTGGCTTCTCTGATAAGCGACCTTGCACAGGGCGAAATCGATCGATTCCTCGACCGCCAGACGAACCGACCTGTTTCCGATCCCAAGGAGACCAGCCTGCAGACCCGCCGAAAATTCAAACCCCTGGAAGAGCAGCCGGATTATATTGTTTTCGGCAAGCTTCGGTCGTTCCAGCTTCACGGCCTGAACTTCCTTGCGCACAACTGGGTCAGAGGCACCAATGTCATCCTGGCGGACGAGATGGGACTTGGCAAAACCGTCCAGACCGTGTCGTTCATGAACTGGCTCAAGCATGATCGGCGACAGCAAGGACCATTCCTTTGCGTCGTGCCCTTATCAACAATGCCAGCCTGGGCTGACACATTCAACAACTGGACTCCAGACATCAACTACGTCATTTATACTGGTGGAAGTGAAGCACGACGGATCATTCAGAACTACGAACTATTAGTTGACGGCAATCCGCGGAAAGTCAAGTTCAACGTGCTAGTGACGACGTATGAGTACGTTCTCTTGGACTGGCAGTTTCTCTCGCAGATCAAATGGCAGTTTCTTGCTGTTGATGAGGCTCATCGGTTGAAGAACCGTGAATCTCAGCTCTACGAAAAGTTACTTCAATTCTCAGCCCCTAGCCGGCTTCTCATCACCGGCACTCCCATCCAAAACACCCTGGGCGAGCTATCGGCGCTAATGGATTTTCTAATGCCTGGCAAAGTCACCTTCGATGAGAATGTCGACCTGGCATCCGAGGATGCTAGCGTCAAGCTTGCGGAGCTCAGCGCGGCCATCCAGCCTTACATGATCCGTCGAACGAAAGAGAAGGTCGAGAACGATCTCCCGCCCAAATCTGAAAAGATTTTGCGAGTTGAGTTGTCCGACATCCAGCTGGAGTACTACAAGAACATCCTCACTCGCAACTATGAAGCCCTGAATGAGGGTGGCCAGGGCCAGAAGCAGTCGCTTCTCAACATTGTTATGGAGCTGAAGAAGGCTAGTAACCACGCCCTGCTTTTCCCGAACGCCGAAGCCAAGTTCTTGAAAGAAGGAGCGTCAAAGGACGAGACCCTCAAGACCATCGTCACTACTAGCGGAAAGATGATGCTTCTCGATCGCCTGTTGACGAAGCTGAGAGCTGACGGCCACCGTGTGCTTATTTTCAGTCAGATGGTTCACATGTTGGACATCCTAACTGACTATATGCGACTGAGAAACTACCAATTTCAGCGACTGGACGGCACAGTTCCTTCGAGTGATCGTAAAATTGCCATCGACCACTTCAATGCTCCCGGTAGCGAGGACTACTGCTTCTTGTTGTCCACACGCGCCGGTGGTCTTGGTATCAACTTGATGACAGCCGACACCGTGGTACTCTTTGACTCGGATTGGAACCCCCAAGCCGATTTGCAAGCCATGGCTCGGGCTCACCGTATTGGACAACAGAAGCCTGTCACCGTCTACCGCCTGGTGTCCAAGGACACGATTGAGGAGGAAATCTTAGAGCGTGCTCGTAATAAGCGAATGCTCGAGTTCATTACAATTCAGCGCGGTGTCACAGATCGTCAGCAGAAGGAACTTAGCGATAAGATGAATCGTATGGGAGGAGAGCCAAGCTCTGCAGATGACATCAACAACATTCTCAAGCGCCGCGGTCAGAAGATGTTCGAACAGTCGGGCAATCAGAAGAAGCTTGAAGAGCTTGACATTGATGCTCTGCTGGAGAACGCAGAAGAGCACAAGACAGAACAAGTGGGCGGTCTGACCTCCGACGGCGGCGAAGAGTTCCTCAAGGCATTCGAATACACGGATGTCAAGATCGACTTGGAATGGGATGACATCATTCCCAAAGACGAGCTCGATGTTGTGAAAGCTGAGATCCAACAGCGCAAGGAGGAAGAGGAGACTCAGAAGCTACTCGAAGAGAGCGCGCCTAGGAAACGTAAAGCGCATGCGAATTCCGGAGACCGTGAACAGCGCGCTGCCAAGAGACGAGCGAGAGAAGTCATGCCTGGAAGCGACGATCAGTCGGACGATGAAGGCCCCAATAGCGACCCGAAGCGTCCTATGGTCACAAACGAGATTCGCAAACTTGTCCACGCTTCTTACCGCTATGGTTCTTTCGAAGAGCGTGGCGAGGAAATGATGCGGGACGCGAGACTCGTTGGGCGCGATGTGGATGTTGTCAAGGCAGCCCTAGATGTGGTCATCGCCAGAGCTAAGGAAGAGATCGAAAAGCAACGAAGTGACCTGAAAAAAGAGGGCGAAAGCAAGCTGCTCACCAAGAAGGACAAGAAGGCTGTGCTCTTTGACCATGAGGGTGTCAAGAAGATTAACGCCGAGACCATCCTCGACCGTCCTGTTGAGATGCGTGTTCTCAAGGAAGCCATCACCAGTATCTCGGACTGGCGTAACTTCCGGATCCCCGATGCCATCAAGCCGGCCAGCTACTCTTGTCCTTGGGGTGCTCGAGAAGATGGCATGCTCATGATCGGTATCAACCGCCACGGATACGGGGCATGGGTGCCTATTCGCGATGACCCAGACCTTGGTTTGAAGGAGAAGTTCTTCCTGGAAGAGAATCGCGTGGACAAGAAAGAGGAGCGCAGCAAAAAAGAAGAGAAGAACGCCAAGTCGCCTGGCGCGGTCCATCTTGTGCGCCGCGCAAACTACTTGCTCACGGTTCTGAAAGACAAGACTGGTGCCGACCCCAACGCAAAGCGTCTTATGGAGAATCATCATCGCAACAACAAGAAACACTTGAGCGCTACACGTCGGGCAGAGAAGGCGTCGAGCGTCTCGGCCAGTCCCGCTCCGTCCGGGTTGCGCAAGGGCATCTCCCGTGATTCGGAGAGGCCTTCCCACCGTGTCAGCATCAGCGACAGCCGTCCTGAGCGACCTGAGAGCCGCCAGCGTGACAAAGCGACTCCGGACCACAGGCATCGCCAGAGCGATCAGTACCGGCCCTCTGAGGGCAGCCGCAAAGAACATCGCAATGACCGCGGAAGCATCGACCGCCGCCCTCCACATTCCAGTACACCTGAGATTCGTCGCAAGATCAGTGGTGATGTGGCTGATCGTCCTCGACAGTCCGAAGAGCGGCATCGGCATCACGACAAGCACCACGATAAGCACCACTCTTCGCATGGCCACGCAAACGGCCACAGTGGCCTCTCGCATAGTGTTAATTCTCCTTCTCACAAGATCAAGGAAATGAAGGCTGATCCGGATATGGAGAAGGCTCTGAAACAGGTGCACGATAACCTCGGCCGCCTGAAGAAGGCAACCAACAAGAACTATCCGGACAAGCAGCAGCTGGTCAAAGTCCTCAAGAAGGAGCTTATAGCTGTTGGCAATCACATCAACGTCCACATGCGGACGAACCCCGTTCGCGGAAACGAACTCTGGTAAGTAATTTTGAGATGGATGTTGTCAGAGGTGTACTAACAGTGGTATCAGGAAATACACCGTGAGCAACTATTGGCCTCGCAGTGACGCGACGGTGGAGAATGTGCAGGGAATGTACAAGCGCATGGTATCTTCGGAATCGGGCGTCAAGCCGCAGAGCGGTCCGGAGAAAGCCAAGACCAACGGTCAAACCAACGGAACATGAAAGTGATGTCGGGCAAGGTGCTGCAGAGCACGTACCCTTTGATCACGCCAAGACGAAACTAGAAGAGGCTTTTGGGCCCATGGATGACGATGATTTTGCGGCATAGCGAAGGCGTTGTGGGTATTACCATTGTTGGCGCAGACACTTTTGCTTTTGCTTCAGTTCCTTTCTGCATACACAAACCCACTTGAACCCCGGGACTTCCGGACAGTAGACATATGGGTCATGTCATCTTTCTGGCGCAACAACTCGCAGCATAAAACGACTGGGGAGGGTCGATTGTTCAGCATTTACAGTCGGGTATGGGTTTTGCATCATCTTCTGGCGCGATGCAGGTTCGCATCGTCGCAGTGGCATATTATATTGTGTGTAGGCTTCGGCGCCTCATTGATAGCATATAACCCAATAGCTTTACGGATACCTAGCAGATAGCTGGCAGATGTTGCTAGATGAATGGGTATTCTACTCGAATATGCTCCGCATTCTTCGTCCCAGATGACCTGTGAAGCTTCATGTCTGTGAACGCTAAGATGACTAGACTTTGGCTTAGTGTACGGGAATACCCTCTGCCTTTTCACGATGACGGCGGGAAGCGGCATTTTCATGAGGTTTTCTGGTAAGCCAACAAACGCCCAGATGGACGCCCCACCGGTAGACCCACTCACGGGCCGATCTTAGGAGGTGAGGCGGAGGACAGCAGGCTCGTGTGACACGTTTGGTCCCAAGATTTCGACATTCTCTTCGTTCGGACCACACTGACCGGGGAGCGCGTGAGCAATCGTGTGCCCCTGTGCACCGCGAATGCGCAGTGGATGAGGCAGCTTGACAGATGACCTGCCGCGCAAAGGACGCGCAAAGGATGCGTGATGGGTTGCCGCACACAGAAAGGCAGCACGCGGACATCAGACGCGCCCCAACCGGGGAATGCAGGGCGTGGAGGTGGAGCGGATGACGCACCAATCCCCTGTCCCTCTGGCTTCACGTTGTCTGTGCACAGGCAGGCAGGCGCGACTCTTGGGCATGGTGCCGCCACAAAAGCAAAGCCACGGGCCATCACAGTGTTCGATGCCTCCTTGCGACTCCCAACTTCCTCGCATGCCGCCGAGCCCAGAAATACCCCCATAGAACCATGTTGCGGCCGTCGGACGCGCTCCTCGTTGCCCTGCTCGCGTCGTGTTCCAGCGGTCTGGATGCACCGTCGCAGACGCAGCTAGCAGCCGCAGGTACGATCGGAGCCTCTGCCAAAAGCCGCCCGCTGAGAGGACGCTTCCTCCACATCACTGGTCAGCCCCGCACTCTCCTCTTCCACTCAAGCAGCTCTTCTGACTAGGCGGATGCAGACTTCCATCCCGACCCCTACTACAAGACATACTCGAGCACAAAGGAGAACGCTGCGTGCCACCGCAAACATGGCCCCGCCGGCTACTACGGCGCCGAAACGTCGGCATGCGACTCGCCCGTGTCCCTCGTCAACGCCACCTTCGACTGGATCAAGCACAATGTGGCCGATGATGTTGATTTCGTGATATGGACCGGCGACTCTGCAAGGCACGACAACGACGAGAAGCTGCCGCGCACCCAGGATGAGATCATCTCGCAGAATGACTTCATGGTGCAGAAAATGACCGATGTGTTTGGCAATGGCCACGACAAGGAGGATCCCACCAAGGCGTTCAAGATACCCATCGTACCGACTTTTGGAAACAACGACATCATGCCGCACAATATCCTGCTGGCGGGCCCGAACAAGTGGACTATGAAGTACCTGGATATCTGGAGAGGTTTCATACCCGAGGCGCAGAGACATCAGTTCCAGCAGGGCGGGTGGTTCTCCGTCGAGGTCATACCGGGAAAGCTGGCTGTGATCAGCTTGAACACAATGTGGGTACAGCGCAAAGGGACAAACCAGCGGCGCTGACAAGCTCAGGTACTTCTTCACCTCCAACTCTGCCGTCGACGGATGTGCGAAGAGGAAGGAACCTGGCTACGAGCAGTTCGAGTGGCTGCGCGTCCAGCTCCAGATCATGCGGGACCGCGGCATGTCCGCCATCCTGATCGGCCACGTTCCGCCTGCTCGCGTTGACAGCAAGGAAAGCTGGGACGAAACATGTTGGCAGAAGTACACGCTGTGGGAGCGACAATACCGAGACGTGATTGTTGGGTCGCTCTTTGGGCATATGAACATCGACCACTTCATGCTGCAGGATTTCCACCATATCAAGAAGGGAGCCAAGAAGGGTCAGATGGCGCCTCAAAGCAGCAAGACCAAAGCTCAAATACAAGGAGGTGGACTATTGACGGATGGGGAGATCACGGTAGCGTCCGCATCCGACTATTTGGTCGACTTGAGGTATTGGTGGTCGAAGCTGCCGTCGCCCCCATCGAAAAAGAGCAAGGGGCGATCGATCGCGGAATACGTCGACGAGGAGTCGGATGAGGAAGATGTTTCTTTCTGGCAAAATCCACTTTCTGTCTTCTCAAAATCCAAGAAGAAACCAAAACACGGCAAGAAGAAGTCATTTCTCGACAAGATCGGCGGCCGGTACGCAGAACGCTACAGTGTGTCCCTCGTAGCGCCGTCCGTTGTACCCAACTACTTTCCCACCATCCGCGTTTTCTCATACAACACCACGGGCTTAGATCGTCTCACCGTCTCCACCGTATCCGACCAAGAAACCTTCACCAACTCCCTCATCCAAAAGCTCGCCATGGACCACGACTTCGCCGACGACGATACCTACACGCGAGACACCGAAAGCATCCTCCGAAAGAAGCACAAGAACAGCGAAAAAGAATCCCTGAAAAAGCGCAAGAAGTACAAGTTCAAAGTGCCGAAAGGCCCGTCGAAGAGCTCGCCCCCGGGCCCGGCGTATAGCCCGCAGACACTCACTTTTACGAGCTACACGCAGTACTTCGCGAATCTCACGCATATTAATAATGACTTCGTTGCGGAGGCAGAGTCTTCCTCCTCTTCTATCAACGGCGCTTCTCCGCAGACGATCTTCGGATTACACATCGATGCAGAGGGACGTATTGAGGATAGAGGCTGGAAAGAAGGAAAGCACGGGAAACACCAGGGGAAGAAACCGCGTCTTAAGCCGAGGCCGAAGAAGTTTCGCTTCGAGGTCGAATATGATACTAGGACCGATGGGCGGTATAAGCTGGGGGATCTTACGGTTAGGAGCTTCGTTGATTTGGCGAGGAGGATCGGGGAGGGGGATCGTGGGGAAACCGAAGCTTTTGGAAGAGGGTGATGAAGAGAGGGAGGGTGGTGGCGGCGGGGTGGGTGGGCAGAAGGAGAAGGGCAAAAGGAAAAGAAGGGCAAGAAAGAGAGGAATAAAGCGTGGTTGACGTTTGTCGACCGCGCGTTTGTGGGGACGCTGGATCCGAGGGAGGTGCAGCTTTTTGAAGGGGCTCGAGCTCCGGCAGCGGACATTTCTACGGGTGAGCTGGAAGAAGAAGAAGAGGAGGAGGAAGAGGAGGAGAACATGGAGTTGTAGAGGAGAGAGTCTGCTGGATATGGATATGGATATGGATATACCCTGGGTTTTTGAGTGATGTTGCGTTGCGTTGCATTTGTTGCATTTCAGCGGGTTTTTGGCAGGCATGGAAGCGGCGTTTTGCATACATAGCTAGATTTTTGCCGAAATAGAGCATGGTTTTGTCTTTACTGTTTTTGATGTTTTTACTGTTTTTGAGGTTTTTGAGGTTTTTTTTTTTTGACATGACATGGCTGACCTGCCGACTAGGCGGCCCCGTAGTCACACCACAGTCACTCGTTGGAGTGCCAGCCCTATCCATAGTATAGTACATCCTATCATATCATATCCTATCCTATACCTAAGCACCTACGTTACACATCACTTGCGAAGGCAACTTCTTCAACTTCTTCAACTTCTCCCTTCCTATCAGGTAGGTCTAGTACTCGTACTCGTACGTTTTGCAGAGGGCTAAGTGCTATATGTTTCTTTGTTTGGAGACTGCGCGTATTCCTTATGCATGCATGGAGTAAGTGCATTAGGGGTGTGTATATGCTTTGATGAGGTGCTTTGAAGGTGGTAGCTAGGGCCTGCGCGATGTTCAGGGAAGCTTAAGACGGAGGTTGGAACGCGTGGGATTGTAGAAGTGGATTTGGGGGGTGGATTTGGACTTGGATTTGGACTTAAATTTAGGTATAAGAGCGGAACGAATGGGGGAGTAAAACTCCACCCAACAGTCTCCTCTGGTGCAGATTAGTGCGAAGGTAGTAATCCTTCACGCGCTTATTACCCACCTACCACGTGCCTACCTACCCTCTCTTCTAGCTATCAAAAGCTATACTCTAGAGATTATCTCGAAGTGCTAAAATTCTAGCAACGTAGTACTCTTTTCTAGTACTTTTCTAGGCCGAAGTAAACTACGCGTTCCTGATTACGTATTATGGAAATTAACGCGTGATAGATCGCTGGGCACTGACTTGCACCGGAGGAGAGTATTGGGTGGAGTAATGCGCAGACATAGACAGGCACAGGCTTCTTTATTTCATTCCTGGCGTTGTCGTTGAGGGGGTTGTCTGAGGCCCCGGCCCCAAGGCACACGACTTTCGGGTGTAAAATCCGCGTTGGTTCGCATGGATAGTATCGATAGCTCTCACATGTCTCGCTCTTGGCAAGCTTGGATAGGATATACATACCATACCGAATGAAGTAGTGAAGGTGTAATAAGGTGACTGAGTATCTCATGCTTGCTACAGTGCAAAAGCCAGGTCTACCATAGCCTCGCTCGGGGGGGATATCATATCAACATCAAGCTGCAAAATCAACGCCGACTGATGCAAGCAACGCCCGGACAGCGCTATCAATGCTGTAGGTATATACATTACAGAATCTATGCTATGCTTAATGACTTCTTGTCATCGCTGGGTGGGTAGCTCCTGCGGCGCGGGAGCCTGCGAAGGCAGCTCTGCGGGCGGGCTCATAGGTTGCAGCGGCACGTCGGTCGCATGTGCGTATTTCATTGCAGCGTAACTCCCCGCGTCCATCTCCGCAACGCCATTTCTCGTCGGCGGCTGCGCAGGCATTTCTGCAGCGCCGTAGTGCGGATCGTACGCGCCTTGCGGGTAGACTCCTCCTCCTCCCCAGGCATACGTCCCATCCGCCACGCCTGGAGGCTTGATTTCCTGTCCTCCGTATGGGACTGGCGTCGCGTAGCTCGAGGCGGGGGTATCGAATGGATTTTGAGGTGGTTGGTCCGTGGGCGCAGCGTAGAGGTTTTTCCTCTTGCGGCGGCGGAGGAAGAAGAGGACGCCTGCGCAGATGGCGGCAAGGCCTACGAGGCCTCCAAGGATGCCGCCTGCGACGCCGCCTATGCTTATGGAAAACTTTGAGTCGCTTGTGGAGGTTGGTGTGGCGGTGAGGTTGAGGTCTGTGGTGGGTGAAGCGGATTGAGATGCGGTGGTGGAGGGAGTCGCGGTGGAGGTTGTAGAGGCGTCGGTAGAGGCTGGGGTGCTTGCGCTTGCGCGGGCTATGGGTGGGGTGGTGAGTATGGCTTGAGGGTTTCATTTTAGAGAGAGACATACTTGGTTGTGAAGGCTCTTTCTCGTAGAACGTGTATCCTGTTACGGGCGCAGAGTCGCACCAATACCTGTTCGTCCGGTCAACCACTGATCTATCTCACTTGCTTGCCGACATCACTGACCAGCTGTACGTCCGTGTCGCGCTCATAGACTCGAATAGTATGTTATTGCTGCAGAACACGCTCCCTGCTGCACCGCCCGCACCACACGATGACGATGTGCTCTCTCCCACCATCCAGCCTTCACTGCACGCCGTCCACATGGGGCATGTCGAGCTGACCGAGCATCGCCGGAAGTATTCCTCGCTGGTGGTCCACGTCGACTTTTCCGGATTGTATACCCACGGAGAGTAGAATGTCTCGCCGTTTTCGGTCGAATTCGATGTCCACGCGAAAGTCTCGAGGTTAGCTCTTCGTAGTCTGGCGGCGGGCGTGATGGCGGGCGTGATCGTAGGCGAAGCAACAGGAGCTGGGCTGCCGTATACGAGGGGTATTAAGAACGCGCATGCTGCCGCCGTACACAGCTTCATGTTGGGCGTGGTTTCTCAAGTGGCGCGAACGGGTACATGCAGTACGCATTCACAAGTTTGAGGATTGTCGTCAATTAGTCGCGCGAGCAGCGAAAGGCGCGCAGCCAAGCTTTCAGCGCCTTCAGCCATGATGCATGCTCGGCGGAGGAGCAATAAGGCTGGTTGCGCCGCAATCTGAGAGCTGGGTGTCGATTGGGTGAGGGCGACGCTATGTTTCGATGGATCCACCTGGTTAGACCCTCGACGGGATAACGTTTGTGTTGGTCGTTTAAAAATAGGTAAGTGGACGGATCAAAGTTGGGCCTTCTCCTGAAATCATGACTCGTGATGCCTACGGTCGCTTGGGGAAAAGCTGGGGGCTGAAACTAAGAACATCGTCGTCATCAGTTCTGTTTGGCCGTTGCCCAGGTCGCTTATAAGTTAGCGAGGGTCCTGGTACGACTAGCAGTATCAGCGTAAGGGAAGCTGGGTTGAAGTTGACTCTTTACAAGAGCATCGAGTTATGTTGACGGACTGGCGTCAGTGAAAGTATTCATATCGGAAAGGCTCTGGGCCAGAGAACAGAGTTGATTATCATTAAGCTTCCTTCCCTACGGCGACAATAGCAGGGACGTCTCGTACGTCCGAGGTCTCATTGGTCGCTAGATCCACGAGTCGAACCGCGTCGACGGAAAGCACACCAGCTGAAAGTGCTAGGAACTTCAAATCGGCTGTGTAGCATGCTCCAGGAGCGAGATGCCTTGTTATGGTTAGCAGATAGTCCGAGAAATGGGTTGGCGCAATTGAACGTACCCAATCCTGATATCCGTGGTCAAGCATATCAGCTCTGCTGTCTCTGTGCGTGCGTTCTTCTGTTTGGCATATACGATGTTCTCATCTACCACGGCATTCGCGAGCAGTTCTTTCTTGTCGGAGCGATAACCCGCAATTGAGGATGCTGACGATAGCGGTCGTTGCCTATCGTAGTCTCGCCGCCTCCTAGGGACAACCAAGACAGCAAGCTTTCGAGTTTTGTCGGACCGATTCACAATGAAGACATTCCAGTTGAACATTTCGCCAACTGTGACCTGAGGTGGTCCAGTTATTGTTAGGGTCACATGTATTGAGGTGTCTTGGTGTTTCTCCACCTGTTGCCCGTCTTTTTCCTGGGTAGCATTTGAGTCTGATTCCTGATTTTTAGGTGCATGTGTCAAAGGATTGCTCAGTCTGTGGGCCGCTTTCACCAATGCCGAATTTTGCTCGGCAGAAAAGTCCACGGCTGTCTGCCACCCAATGCTTACTTGGGGCTGGCAATCTTCCGAAACCAGGACCTTGGCCTTGATCTCCAGAGTCAACAGATGACCCTCGTTGCCAAGGAGTGGCGTGCCATCCACAGCCAGATCTGGCGTGATTTTATATAGAGACGTGAGTTGATCGCCAGGCTTGTGGATGTGCTTGATGAGACTGTGGTCGGATATGGGCTTCACCTCTCCTCCTCGCAACGACAGATGTACATCCTCGATGGTCAGCCGGCATCCAGTGATGTATGCGACCTCGAGGTCCAATGAGGCCATAAGAGACATGTCATTTATGGCGGATTGAACCTTGGAGTATCTCACTCGCCATATCAACGCAGGTAATGCACGGAAGAGCCGCCTTTGGCCGGTTCGGATCGGTCTAGTCAACTCTTTGGCGACAGGTGCAGTGGGCGCAATCTTGTTTATGCGCAGCGCAGAAAGGCGTGGATGGATGCCGGCCAACGCCGGATCGCTTTCAAAAGATTGAAGAAGATTCAGGGCTGTTGGGACTCTGCTCGGTAGGTATTCATCCTCAAGAACACTTATCTTCTCTGCTGGCTTCAGGGATGCTGTGGGCTGGAAGTACACCGCTGGCTTGTGGAAACGAGCTCTCGGACGACCTGTTGAGTGTGAGACAATAAGATAGCACCGGCGCAAAATGAGCTTACTTATGAAAATCTCCAACTTCCAGACCACGTAGATGTGAGGGGAGCCTTCTTCATCGTGGCGTACAACGACCGGCTCAATTGCATCAGTGATGGTCTCTGAAGAAATGACCTCTTTGGGGGGCGGTCCTTTAGCTTCCGATTCTGGTGGAGGAGCGGTACTGAAAGCAATCGCCTCTACGTTGACGGCTAGTCTTGATAGATAAGTTTTCAGAGTGGCGTCTTCCATCAACGGAGTACGGAAGACAATGTAGACTGGAACTAGTTCATCTAGAAGCCTAACGATAAGTAAGAGTGTGCATAAATATAATGCGGAGCCGACTTACCAAACAGGAGCACCTGCCGCTGCGACAGAAACGGCAGGACCGAGCCATTCTCTTCTTCATTGGATCCATCCCAGGACGTTATCTCGTCTTCGACATCAAAGTCGGAATCCGAGGGAACGACAGCTTCAAGAATCGAACTCTCGACGAACTCGGCGCTCCCACGAGGCTGGGCTTCTGTGAGGGCAGCCATCTTAGTAGCTTTGGAGGGCTGTTTGCACTAGTGGGAAGCCGGACATCGTCCCAGTAAGAGAATAAGAGGACGAGCAGCAATCACTACTCCGAGAAGTGTTGATACAATGGCAATCACGGGAGTGGAAGGTTAAGCAGTGAAGGTTGTCAGTGGGGTTAGCTCCCGTTCGCTCTCGCCTGCAATCGTCTGGTCCGTGCGCCATCACTTTTCAGATTCGCGCCTGTGTCTCCAACCCTCAACCGCGACACCGTCACCTAGTCCGCGCCATCGCTCGACCCGTCACCATGAACGGGTATCCGCCGCAGAATGGCATGCCCTTCCCGCCACCTGGAGGCGCGGCACCGCCGGCGCCTGTGTGGAAGAGCACAACCACGAAGGAAGGCAAAACCTACTACTTCAACGCGATTACCAACGTCACGCAATGGACGAAGCCAGAGGAACTTATGACCGTCGAAGAGCGCGCGACGGTGGACACCGACTGGCAGGTCCTCACGCACGATGGCAGGCAATACTGGGCGCACAAGGAGACCAAACAGACGACTTGGGACCCGCCAGATCAGGTGAAGCAGAACCTGGAGCGCATGAACAAGCCTCCACCCCCAGCACCTGCGTAAGTGGATCGCTCATATCCTCCAGAATGAATGCTAACGCCAGGTGTAGGAATTCGTGGGCCGCTGGTCCTGCCATGCCTACCGGCCCTCGTGATCAGGGTCGCTACGATCGCGAACCCATGCGCGAGCGCGACAGCTATCAACCGGACCGCCGAGATCGCGACCGTGACCGGGACCGAGACCGCGATCGTGAATCCGGTTTCGGTGGAGAGCGCGCGAGTATGGCATTCGCGCCTTCCAACGAGCTCCAATTCGCAAATCCGAACGACGCTGTGCTTGCCTTCAACAAGTTGCTCAAGCAGCTCAAGGTCCAACCTGACTGGGAGTGGACGCGTGCTGTTCGCGTCGGTATCAAGGATCCCAATTGGCGCGCAATTCCCGATCCAGAAAAGCGTGAGGAGGCCTTTCGGAAGTATTGCGAGGATCTCCGCGCCGAGGAGAAGAACAAGGAACAGGATCGCCAGCAGAAGCTGCGTTCCGACTTCATGGCAATGCTGCGCTCCCACCCGGAAATCAAGCACTATACGCGGTGGAGGACTGCACGTCCCATCTTGGAAGACGAGACGATCTTCCGGTCTGCCAAGGACGACAATGAGCGTCGGCGACTATTCGAGGAATACATTGTCACTCTCACGAAAGCCAACGCGGAGCAGGAGAAGGAAGACAAGAGGACTGCTTTGGACGGCCTGATGGGGCTGATGCAAACTCTTGACCTAGAACCCTTCACTCGCTGGCATGCGGCCGAGGAACAGCTCAAGGAAAACAAGGCGTTCAACAGTGACAAGTTCCAGCCACTCCATCGCTCAGACATGCTCAACACTTTCGAGAAACATATCAGGCAGCTCCAGCGGGATCACAACGATCGAGTCCAAGCCGAAAGGCGCGAAAAACAGCGCATCGAGCGGAAGAATCGAGACGGCTTCAAGCAGCTCTTGCAGGAGCTTCAAACGGATGGCAAACTCAGGGCGGGCACGAAGTGGAAAGACATCCATCCCCTGATTCAAGAAGACCCTCGATATATCGCGATTCTAGGGCAAGGTGGATCACCACCACTTGATTTGTTTTGGGATGCCTTGGAGGTCGAGGACCAAAAGTTCCGTACCCTACGCCGCTTCGCTTTGGCTGTGCAAGAGGTAAGTCTTCTCCAGTTCCTATAAATATGACATGGTGGCTAACAAGTACCAGGATGAACGCTTTGAGGTTACAGCTACGACCCCTTTCGAAGAATACTTGAGTGTTATGCGCGCTAACCCACGTTGTGACCATATCGACGATCACACCATGAAGCTTATCTTTGACTATGTCCTAGCCAAGGTCAAGAAGCGAGAGGCGGACGAACTGCAGGAGCAGGAGCATGACGCACGTTATGCGATGGATGACTTGCGAGCCGTACTGAAGCGCCTTGAACCACCTGTGACCGTTTCAGATACCTGGGAAACGGTACGTCCTCGTGTTGAGAAGACGAAAGAGTACAGCGCACTAAAATCAGACTCACTCCGCCAATCCGCATTCGATAAGCACATGCGTCGCCTCAAGGAGAAGGAGAGCGATCGCCGCGATCGCACCCGGCGTGATACGCGAGACCGCGAGAGGGACAGGGACAAGGATCGAGACAGGCGGGACCGACGGGATGATCGTGAGTACCGCAACGGGCATTCTGACTCTCACCGACGCCACCGTACGCGCACACGCTCACCTGAACATGATCCTTACGCCGCTGAGCGTCGCCGAGCTCAGGAAGATCGAGAGGCACGGTACAGGAACAATGACAGCACAGGTCTCTCTCCTCCCCCCCGTCGTGACCGTGAACGAGATAGCGATCGGTACAGCGGTTCCCGCCGGGGTAGTGGCGACTTCTACGGGCGTGAAAGGCGTGAGCGCGAGGCTGAACGCGAACGCTCGTACATTCCGCGAGGCGATCCTGCTGCTAGCCGCGCAGACCCGCGTGAGCGTAGTGTGAGCGAGCTTGATTACGGTGACGGTACGGGGGCCCGCACCACCTCCGCCAGACGCCGACGCGAGAGTGACGAAAGCACTTCTAGGCGCGATAATAAGGTATGATGCTCCAACCTTTAACATCTATTGACTCTCGTGCTAACTGGTCACAGCGTCCGCGCTACTCTCCTCGTGCTGATCGTAAGTCCAAGACTCCTGTTCCCGAGCCTCCCAAAGAAGAAGAGCGTGCTCTTCGATCGGGAAGCGAGGAAGGGGAGATTGAGGAGGATTAAACGGACAACACCATTCCCTGCAGAACCGTTGTGTCGTTTTATTGACCGCGTAGGCTGGGCACCTTCAGATTCCCTCATTCCCATCTCTCGTAATGCTTTACATGCGACCTGCCGTCGGTCGCTGCCAAATCGACGACTTGCGTCAGCAAGGCCCGTCCCAAAAACCAATCATGACGAGTCGCGCAAGGCGCCTAGCATTTGAACAAAGTTTGCGCCAGCTGCAGCGATGAACTATCAACGACTCTTCATTGCAACGGTCCGTTAATGTACGGAGTGTTGCTTGAAGGAGCGGCTGTCATCGTCAGCATTACATACTCGCTGAGAAGAGTGACTCGGCAGTTTTTCGATTGACTTTTTTTCTCCTTTCCTGCGCGAGCTTTAATTCCTATCATATAGTCTATATAACATCGAATAGAACCAGTTTGCTGAATAATCCTTCCCCCTTGCTCAACGTCTATTGATTGAGTCACCAGCAGCTGAGTTTTGAGGTGGGAAGACGGTCACAGGCCACTGTAGCCAGACGAGAAAGTTGAATTGAGTATTACGTCGATAAACTATCGAGTCAGAGCATTTGACACTGATCACCGACGGTGCGACCATGCCTATCCCCGTGGCAGCGCGCTATACAGTTCTCCTCATTGAACGTGGCTTTTATCGATACTTCACCTCTACCACACTCGATGAGCCAATGGTATCTGGATTGTACTCACATGAATTTTGAAGGATTAAATTCATGCTTGTGGGAACTCTGAAGCATGACACGCCTAGTAGTATGCGAAGGATTACTAAGTATGAGGCATGAAGGTCTTCAGTAGAACTGTAGGCGAGCGCAAGGAGATACGCTGCTGCGGTAGAGGTTGCGCGGACTATTTGCTACATGAGCGTCAAATGAGCGCGGTGAGTCTGCTATGGGTGAGACTTAGACAGTGACGTCTTAAACATAGTTCGCAATCCACGAAGAGCGCCATCACAAGAACATGTATGACATACGAAGTTCTGCAAGCAGTTGATAAAAGTTATCCGCGCCCGCATCACCCATTCTGCAGCTGAAGCGACCATTGGCCGGATGATTATTTGACTAGTGATAATATGTTCATGAGGGTGAGAATTGTACCCACCTACGGCACGGCCATGCTCGCATCATCCGTTCCGCTCCAACATTCTTCGCTGATAAATGCAACCTGAATTCATAATCGCGAAGGAGATGATCAATTCCAATACCACAGACACGGCCCGAAGGTTGGTATAAAGCTAGAGGTTCATAATGTCAAACCAGCATCATCCCCCAAGATCTTCTCCTATCAACTCACTACCCATCCCTCGATTTGAACAACAAAAGAATTAACAAAATGGTCCAAGACGTTAAATTTGGTGCCTTGGTCTACGAATACCAAACCATGGACGTAGTCGGCCCCTTCGACCTCATCAACACCGCCGGCAGAGGCGCATCCGAGTACCTCCTCACGCACAACGCAATCTCCCCCGAAACCGTCGAAAAAGCACCCAACTTCCTCTTCTACCACATCGGCCAAACCCTCGAGCCGGTGACCCTGATGACCAGCGGCTTCACCATCACGCCAACCCACACGATCGACGACCCCCCCTGAAATCGACCACCTCCTGATCGGCGGCCCCATGCCCGAGTCCTTCGAATTTCCCCAGAGCTACGTCGACTTCATCAAGCGCCATCACGCAGCTGGGAAAACCATCTTCTGCACCTGTACCGGTGCAGCGGCCCTTGCGTCCACGGGGATCCTCGATGGGAAAAACGCCACCGTCAACAATGTCGAGTATAAGTGGATTACGAACCGCTATCCCAAGGTAAATTGGTCGAAGGACAAGAAGTGGGTCATCGATGGGAACATCTGGACTGGTGGCGGGGCAGTCGCTGGGATGGACATGTTTGCCCACTGGTTGGAGAAGAGCTTTGGGAAGGATGTTATGATGTCGGGCGCGAAGAATCTGGACTACGAGCCGAGGGATATTAATGGCATTGGAGGGGTTATTCCGTTTCGATATGATAAGGAGGGGAAGCAGGTTTCGACGACGGTGTTTCCGAACTAGGGCTGAGGTTGGTGTGTACCGGCTTTGTTTGGTGACGTAGTTTAGTCAAGCACACTGTTATCGAGAACCTAGTGTTTTGTTTTGTGGCCGAAGGGAACATCGTATGCTCTGCTGCTGCTACTTCTGTTACTGCGAGAAACAGTGATGCGTGCTCGTCTAGATAGATAGGTCATCATCAATCTGTGCTCACAGGGGCCAAAGGAGAAATTCATACTCTAAAAATTATGGGCTAGCTTATCCCTAAGAAAGTTTAGTGAGCACCAAATAGGATATGACCTCAGGGTAACTCACTACCAAGTGTCTAAAATTCTAATGTAATGGTGTATCGTCGCTTCAATCACAGGAGGTGCTACCGCCAGAACCCCAACTTATATCATCGGCCACTGTGACTGTACAAAAGATAGAACCTCGTCGCGTACTCGAATTTTGGGATGTTCGTGCCTTCGAACGCCGGACATACCAAAGGGAAAACTCCAAAACCCCGTGCTACCTGGATCAGCTTCTTGACTTGCATTTCTTGCTCATTCCTCATCAACGACGTAGCCCCACTCGTGACTCTCCTGTCCGTTTGTACCCCACATGATCCCTTTGAGCCAATCTTTCAGCACCTTCGCGTACTTGCCGCTCTCACCATCATCTCCCATGGGTACAGTGTAGTCTTTGCCGCGGAAGTGGATGAGACCAACAGGAGCAACAAACCACGCAGTGCCCGCCCCAAACGCCTCAATCAGTCTTCCTTCATCAATGGCTTCTACAACCTCCGCCATGCTAAATTTGCGTTCCACAACTTCAACTGCCTCGAGATCCTCATGTCCAGCCGCCAGCCGCTCCTTCGCCAGCGCCAGCACCGACCGTCTCGTCACTCCATCCAGCACAATCTGCTCCGTCAAACACGCCGTAACAAGCTGCACCTTCCCCTCCCTCGTCCGCCACACAACGAAAAAGTTACTAGCCCCCGCCTCCGTAACGAAGCACTCCTCCCCAAACAGCCACAGAATCTGGTGGTATCCCAGCGCCCGAGCTTCGCCCTGCGCAACGAGCGAAGGCCCGTAATTCGCTCCCACCTTCGCATACCCGAAGCCTCCAGGCCACGCGCGGATCATATCATCCTTCGACGCGAGAAGCTTCATCCCCCCCTTCAGGTCGTCCATCGGCGCAAAACACGTCAGGATAACGAAGAGCAAGGCTTCGCTCGGTCGCTGGACGCCAAGCGCGGGATCAGACGCTATCATCGTGGGGCGGATATACAAGAACGAGCCAGCGCGTTCTTTCGGGAGCCACTTCGCGCCGTCGGTGGCGCAGAGCTTAACGATGAGCTTGAGCAGCTCGTCTGGAGGGAAGCCGGGGAGGGCAATCCGGTTCGTGGATACGAGCATGCGGGCGCAGTTTAGCGAGGGGCGGAAGAGGCGGAGTTTGGAGTCGTGCCCGCGGTAGAGCTTCATGCCTTCGAAGCATTCGGTTGCGTAGTGGAGACAGGATGCTGTGGGCATGAGGGAGAGGGGGCCGTAGGGCTGGAGCGTGGGAGCTTCCCAGCCGGTGGAGGAGGTCCATTTGGCTTGGATCATGTGGTCGGTGCAGACCCTCTGCGAAGCCATTTCTGGTGAGCCGATGGCGGGGACGGGACGGGGGGATGTGGTGTAGGTAGTCTGCAGGAGGGAGGCGTCGAGTTCGGCGAGGGGCGTTGGGGTGTCATGCTGTGACTTTGTGGCGGGCAGTTGTGTGATTGAGTTGGAGAGAGAAGCGGATTTCAATTGCGAGGGCGCGGACTTTTCGAGGGCGTGCTCGATGCCGTGTGCAGTGAGTTCGGAAACATTTTCTTGATCCTCAAGAGGCGTGACGGCGATGGGGGGCATTGTGGATACTATGGACCAGGTTCAAGAGGGATGTTCTGAGCTGCCTTGGATGTGAGACGGCGTTGGATTAAATAGAGCGGAGATAGCGGAGGGTGCGCACGAAGGGGTCTTTATACATACCTGACTTTTCAGGGAAGAGTCACCCTGCACCATTGCTCTTATCACGGGCCCTATACCCGATCAAGCAATATGATTGAGCTACGGTTGAACTAGCGTACTTTGCCATCACATTATCTTCTGGTTTGCAATATTCGTGGAGTGCCCTGGTACACCTGAGCATGGTCTGAAAGCTCTTCAAAAAAATATGCATCGCGAAATGATTATTCGTCTAGTTGGATGCTCAATCTTGCAAGAAGCCAGCATGTTCTCACAAGCAGCGATTGACTCCATTTGCAATTGATTCTAGAAGACGGCGACGCAGTCCTTAGTTCCGCGCTGTTGTTGTACCTGTGGTATGCGTCGTCGTAGGGCGCACATACCACGTGCCTTGACTATCCCATCTTGACCGCTAGTATCCGAATTCCAGCCTATGAGCGCTCAGCCGAAGAGCGGAGCGACAAACGACTCATTCTTTTAAGCCGCGCAGAGCTCGGGTCGGAACTTCTGCTGCCCGTTCACAACACGAGAACATCTTCGATTGAGCTTTGCGATATCGGAGGGGTTGGCCATCAAGGTCGCATACCTGTAGCATGGAGATGGATGGTTGAATTCCGCCCTATGCCGCGACAAACCGATGTGGCTGAATAGATCCCGTGCGGTAGCTTCGCCCTCCAATTTGGCGAAGGAATCGACTTGGTATTCTATTCTAGTACCAGATACTTCTCGTTCTATGGTGCGGTAAGGTCTCCTCGCCAGCTTGCTCTTTTTCCTTCGCCAAATCGTATAGAAAGAAGTCGAGGAGGATAGCGTTGACCTTTGCATCTGGTTGTAATTTGAGAATCTCCCGGCGGAGGAGCTCGATTGCCCATATACTGCAGCCTTAGGTTCTGTTAGCGATAGTCAACGAAGAGTAGCCAGAAACTCTTACCTCTTATCTGCACCTCCCATGAATGACCCGGTTCGATCATCTCGCCGCGCCGTATGCGACCTTCAAGCGGTGGACAGTAGTTGACAAGGCCCAGAGAATGCAGTATCTGCGGGACGCGGTAGTCTGATCTGTTAGCTTTCCTCAACTTTTTTCCGCACTACGAGAAACTTACCTGCAAACATCGTAATCTTATCGATATCATCAAATTTTCCATACCCCTCTCCATCAAATGCCGCCCACAAGTCTGCCACAAAGATCTGCGCCCTTTTCAAGAAACGCACCTTCTTCCTCTCAAAGACAGCCTCGTCATGAAAGCAAGCGAAGCGGTCGGCTAGGAGATTGACTAGGCCGGCTGCGGAGCCTTTGGCGTCTTCTATGAGTGTGATTACGCTACCGTCAAAGTGCTCGTGGAGGACGCGGCCGGCCTCGCGTAGGCACTGGACGCGTTGCGAGAACATGGGTATTTCTTCCGCGGTTGAGGAACGGAATACGTGGCGCAATAGGTCTTCCGACCAGCCAAGTCGTTTTGAGGTTGCGGGCTTTGTCTCTTCGGGGGCAGAAGGTTCGGGAACAACTTCTGAGGTCTCAACCTGGTCTGCCTGAGCGTCATGAAAATCTGCCGATACAGTTGAGTCTTCGCTGGAATTGTCATCAAGCGATTCCTCAGATAGGGTCTGTGGAACAGGTTCTAAGCTGCCTCCTTCGGCTGGATCTGTGGTGTTGAATTGGCTTGTAGTAGGTTGCTGTGATGATGGAGGATCTGGGTAAACACCGGTATTAAAAGCATTATTTGGTAGACGAGGAGCGTCGGGGTCTTTCCATGGAGGTGAAGTCTCCTTGGATAATGCCGCGGTAGCATTGCTCGGCGCGTCTTCTTTATCCTCCTCATGGTCAAACCAAAACTCCGGACTTGTGATCGGTATACCCTCATCAAGGGCTCTTTGCAATGCAGCAACAAGACTCCAGTATCCAGTCCACTTCTTCCCCTTATAGTCGACAGTAAACCTTTCCTCGTCGCTCTTTTCACTCCAAAAGCTGAAGTTCAGGAGGTCCATGGTGAAGATGAAGTTTACTGTGGCCTCGTCTTTCGCCTTTGGATGAAGCTCATGCTCAGCCCACGTCTTCGTACTGTACTGCCGCTTTTGCATTTCTTCTGATACGGCAATCGCAGCTAGTTTGGTGTGTGCCATACTGAGAGCGACATCGATGCTGTTATCGTAAACGAACTGAGCGTCTCGGAGCACTTTCGTTTCAGGAGGCGCGTTTGGATTCGAGCCTCCGAGGCCGAATTTCTGCCTTAGCAACGCCAACAGCTCGTGATCCACATCATCGTCCGACATGCTGCCTGATGGTCCTCGAGTCGCTGTGGCAATCCCTCGATGAATGAAAGAACTTCCAAGTCTAACTCTTTAGTGGTGTTACGCTAACTTTCGAAAGTCAAGTGAAGGAAAAGAACAACATGTGGGTAAGAGAATCACGTTGGGCGTTTTGGTGTGGATCCTCATTCACCGCTAAACCTTGCAAGGCTGATCCCGGCGGCGACTTGTGCCAAGACTTGCGGCTGCAACAGCGCCCTCACTTTTCCCAATTGGATAGCTCTTGTCCGTGCCCACTGACGTCTCAACCCGAGGCGCTCTCTGGCCGTCGTCGACATCTTCCTCCACTTCTCCGGACAGCGGCATGCCACGGGAACCCGCAATGACGGCGACAGGACGCGACAGACACGCCAGCAAGAGCCTCGGCTCCAATCTTCATGCGCGCATCAAGCAGGTATGAGATCACGCTACAGCCTGTTCTGGGAGATTGGGGTGTACCGAATCGTGTGCGATATACTGACGAACGATAGGCGCGCGTGTTGATGGTGGGCGCTGGCGGCATTGGTTGCGAACTGCTCAAGAACCTCGTCCTGACCGGCTTCGGCGAGATCCACATAGTCGACCTCGATACGATCGATCTTAGCAATCTCAATCGCCAGTTCCTCTTCCGCAATGAGCACATAAAGAAGTCGAAGGCATTGGTACGCGCTGCTAGTTGCACCAAGCAGAGTTGTTGCGCCGAGGCTGACTGTCATTGCAGGTCGCGAAGGAGTCGGCGGGCATATTCAACCCCAACGTCAAGATCGAGGCGTATCACGACAACATCAAAGATCCCCAGTTCAACGTCGCATGGTTCCAGAAGTTCGATATTGTGTTCAATGCGCTGGACAACTTGGAGGCGCGCCGCCATGTGAACAAGATGTGTTTGGCAGCGGACGTGCCGCTCGTTGAGAGCGGGACCACTGGCTTCAACGGCCAGGTGCAGGTCATTCGGAAGGTGCGTGCGCTTTCACAATACGAAGGAACGAAGCCGAGACTTATTTGTTTGACAGGGCAAGACACAATGCTACGATTGCACGCCGAAAGACGCGCCCAAGTCCTTCCCCGTTTGCACCATCCGGAGCACTCCCTCGCAACCTATTCATTGCATTGTGTGGGCTAAGTCGTATCTCTTCACCGAAATCTTTGGCACTTCAGAAGACGATGCGCCGGAGCTGGACCACAGCGAAGACTCCGAGAATGCGAAAGAGATCGCGAATTTGCGCAACGAGTCTCAGGCATTGAAGCGAATTCGCGAGTCTATGGGGTCGAAAGAATTTCCCGGGCTGGTTTTCAACAAGGTGTTCAAAGAAGACATCGAGCGGTTACGGAGCATGGAAGACATGTGGAAGACACGGAAGGCGCCCACCGCTCTAGACTACGAGGATCTACTGAAAGAACTCCCTAGCGTCGAGAAGAACATTGCGCAAAAAGACCAAGCGACGTGGACGGTTGCCGAAAACTTCGCAGTTTTCTTAGATAGTCTGTCGCGGCTGAGCAATCGCATGGAAGAGACTAGGGCCAATGCAGATACCGGCAACTCTCCACCCATACTTACCTTCGATAAGGACGACGCGGACACTCTAGACTTTGTGGCTGCCAGCGCGAACCTCAGGTCTATCATATTCGGCATCGAAGCGAGGTCAAAATTCGACATCAAGCGTAAGTACCGTTTCCATTGATTCCGCAGATCTTGCTGACCAGTATAGAAATGGCTGGCAACATCATCCCGGCGATTGCGACTACGAATGCGATGACGGCATCCATCTGCGTTCTGCAAGCTTTCAAGGTCATGCGCGCAGACCTTGCCAAAGACAAACTGCGCGAGCAGCTTTCCGAAGCCAAGACGGAGGAGGAGCTTATCAAAACCAAGACAGATGAGGAGTATTCCAAACAGCTTTCAAAGGCCAAGATGGTTTTTCTTGCACCGAACGGCACTGAGCGCCGGGTCACCACCGAGGGCCTCAGCCGGCCTGATGAAACATGTCCCGTCTGCAGCGTTGCACAGTCTACCATTGTCGTCGATGCCAACCGAGCCACCTTGAACGACCTTATCGAGGACCTCCTCCGGTTGCAGCTTGGTTACGGCGAAGAGTTTAGCGTGAACAGCGACGCCGGTCTGCTATATGACCCTGAAGAAGACGCGAATCTTCGGAAGACATTCGCTGAGCTGGGCCTCAAGAACGACAACTCAATCACAATTATCGACGACGCTGATGAGGGTGCGAGGGTCAACCTGGTGCTGCACATCTCCGAGCAAGAGCTGGGATCAGAGGCGAAGCCGATCGACCTGACCCAGAAGCCAGAGATCCCGTTGAAGCCCAGGACTGCTCCCGCGGAGACCAACGGCGACTCACGACCGATCGTTACAAACGGCCTCACTAACGGCGTGACTAACGGCGCCACAAGCGGTCTGAAGCGCACGGCTGACGATGCTGGACTCGAGGATGAACTGATCAGGAAGAAGGGTAAAGTCGCCGCAAAGCCTGATGATGATGTCGTTGTCGTCGACGATGCAAACGACGGAATCATACTCATCGATGATGACTGACTTGGTCTTTTCCATCTTCGACCGATGACTCAAGATAGCCCGGACGCAACTTTCGCAGCTGGATCGTCCGTTATGCTACCTGGGGATATTCTATGACAGGCTCCACACGCTCGGAAGCCAGGCGCAGAATAGCTTGGTCCACGCACCATACATGCACCATGTATACCCAAGTATGTTGGACTATACACTTGCGGAAGCGCCCTGATTCTGTATTCCCCGACTGTCATCATCTTGGCTAGCATTGGAAACGATTTCATATGCATCGCCTCTGCTTTCAACGCCTTCCTTCCACATAGATCTATCTCCTCGTTTCATCGCCAAAGCATCATCCGCACTGGCATCTGTATTGTGGCGTTTATGGACCGTCATCGGAATATACCTTGGACTAGGATTTGCTTGGGTGGTATTCGTCCTTCGCATCTTCGTACTTCTGAATAGGAGCAGCATTCCCCTCGCAAGCGAGCGGCGCAGGAGTTATCTCACACAGCCGACAGCCCGCCATCGAGATTAATCACGCAGTTATGCGCATACTCGTTCTGCGCCAGGAACAGCGCTGCGGAAGCTATTTCCTCAGGCTTGCCCAAGCGACCGAGCGGGATGCGCTGAGAAAGGGAGGCATGGTCAAGATCTGCATGTATACTAGTTAGCCACGATCCAATATCATCGCGCTCAGCGCTGTCCAGACAAACCACCTTCAAAAAAAAAAAAAAAAGAAAACATGCAAACTCACCTCCCGTCATGTCCGTCTCCACATACCCCGGCACTACCGCATTCACCCTAACCTTCTGCCTCCCCAGCTCACCCGCCAACGCCCGCGTAAACCCCAACACCCCCGCCTTGCTCGCTGCGTACGCCACCGCACCGTGTCCCCCGTGCGTACCCAACAGACTCGCAATATTGATAATGCTCTTATTCCCTCCTTCCCTGCTAGACCCAAAATACCGGTTGCGCAACAGATACCGCGTCCCGACCATCATACTCGTGAGATTCGTATCCACAATCCCCTGAATGGCGGAGGCGTCCGTGGATACGAATAGACTCTGCTGCGTTATCCCCGCGCAGTTTACCAACACATCTAATTTACTCTCCTTTTCTTTCGGCGAGAGGTGCGTTCCTATGCTAGATGTGCTCCAGAAGGTGGAGGAGGCGATGTCGCCGGCTATGTAGGCGTGCGGCGTGGAGGGGAGAGGGTGCTGGGCGTTGAGGGCGGAGACGGCGGCTTTGAGGGGGGCTTCGGAGCGGGCGAGGAGCGTGCAGCGGTAGGAGGAGCGGGCGAAGAGGTGCGCGATGGAGAGGCCGATGCCGCGCGAGCCCCCAGTTATGAGGACGTGTGGGTTTGTCATCGTGAGGACGATGGTGGTGGGTTTGTGCTAAAGGAAGGACTGAGGGCGGGGAGATGGCGAGCAGCGAGCTTCGAGGTGTCAATCGTGCATGCTTCTTCTTGGAAGTTTGGTCTTTGATTCCGTCTGACAGGTATCTCGTTGTTCTCAGCAGTCGTTGGCGATACTTGCTGTCGTTCATCGTATGAAGTTCGCGATCTCGCTTACGTCATGCACCCTACCTACACGAAGAAACGTGATCGCGCGCTTAAGCTTGCCCACCGCGTTCCCGCACCGTCCCACACAACCACAACCACAACCTCCCCCAATGATCCCGCACCGCCTCGCAAAAGCCCCCTCCCACCATGGTCGTCGCCCCAGAACTCTCCGCCTACGTAACCCTCGTCTCAAACGACGGCTACGAATTCAAAATCCTCCGCTCCGCCGCCTGCATCGCCGGCACCATCAAGAAAGCCCTGGATCCGAGCTGTACGCCCTTCCCTTGCCCCCACCCAAATGCCCCTCTTCAAACAGTGTACTGATATGTAGAAAGCCGGCTTCCGCGAAATGGAGCAAAACCGCGTCGAGCTGCCCACGATCAACGGCGTCGTCCTCGAGAAAGTCTGCGAGTACCTGTACTACAACCAAAAGAACGCGGAGAGTAAAGATGTGCCTGATTTGGAGATTCCCCCGGAGCTGTGTTTGGAGTTGTTGATTGCGGCGGATTATCTGGATGGTGAGTTGGTGATGTGGGGAGAGAACGAGGGAGAGGGCTAACGGGGATGTAGTGTGAGGTCGATGTGTATGCACGCAGAGCGTTATACGATGACATAAAAGATAGTGGGGAAGCGCCGGGCCGGGCCGACATGGTATGTGAGGGCAACGCAAGCACGCTTGTGTGGACCGGATACGGCCAGTGGGACGGTGTACGAGTGAGGTCTGGGCCTGAACACGGTGCGCCATAAGCCAAAGAACGTTGAGGTCAATTGAAAGCAGGATAGAGGAGTAAGACGACGGATTGCTGGTGAAATCGCAAGCTGTGCGTCTGAAGAGCATGACTCCGCCCTTCAAGTAAGACGCCATGTTGTGACCTGCTAGATATGATCCCCGTTTCCAACGTTGGCTGTTCATAGTTGGTAACGTTAGTCTAGTAGGTATGACAAGACCTTAATGAGACACAATGTGTGCGATACTACTGTGAATTGGTAGATCACTTTATGACGTGCCGTAGTAAGTCACCCATCCTGCCAAACAGTGCATAAGGCAATGACGTTTAGAAAAGCTTGTAGATACCTCCAGCTATGTATGTCTGCTATCTACGTTATCATGACCCGATCCCTTTCAAGTACAAGTTACACTCTGCACATGCAAAGGGTCTTACACGAAGTCGAAAGTTCCGAAAGCAACGAGGGAGCGCGGTGTGAATGCCACCCTTCAGCCCGAGGACATTCTCCCTACGTTCACACTGGCCCCTCCTCGGGCCCAGTGTGGGTAGTTCAGTAGAGGACAGACGAGTCCTTGGGGTTCTGCACGCACTTGGCGCTGAAGAGCCAGCTAGACACGTACTCCGCCTCTTGAGCGGGGCCCTTCAGCGTCTTGAAAGTATCCTCGTCGCACTCAGGCGCACTGCAAGTCATAGTGTTAGCAACTTGTACTTCTCGCAACGACTATCGATCTCCCCGGGGTCGCGACTGCCGTGTCAGGAAGAAAGGACTTACCGGTGGAGCTCGCAGGTGTAGCCCGCATTGACTTGGAGCTTGGTGAAGTAGTTGCTAGGCTTCGGCACATGGTCGTTGTTCTGGGGCACGGACTGGCAGCCGGTCTTGAGGTCGAGCTGCACGTCGCCGTAGGTGAGGTGGCCAGCCTTGTTGCCGTAGGCGGCGGGGACCGCGGCGGCGCTCGCGAGGGCGAGACCGGAAAGCACGGTGAAGAAGCGCATGTTGTGTGGCAATTGGAGTTGAGTGATTCGCAAGGTGGGCAAGAGACGAAGAGGGTGAGTTGGTGGGTGGGTGTTGACGGGACAGAGGAGTTTGTATAGACCGGCGGCAACGGGGTAATTGCGGCGAAGACGAAAGAGGCACGCGCGAACGGCCGGGTGATTTCCTGAAGAGTGGAAAGTGACAGTGAACGCAGGGGATGCAAATTGGCTGCTCTTGCGGCTCGGTCAATGTCACTCACGTGGCGGCGTAGCCCGAGCAGGGGAGGTGCGACCATCGGGTACACTGTTGGGCATCGTTCCCCTTTCGAATACCGTCTACGACGCCTGTGTAATATCTCCTTCGCAGTCAGTATCCTTGACCCAACTGATTGTCTTCAGGCATTCGTAAAAACACCTTAGATCAGTGTATTCGCAGACAGAAATCGAAACGACTCGGTATCGCCAAAACCCAGTCCAGGGTCTGAGAGCACTTGTAGCCATGGAACTTGTTCCCTTTCATATCCTTCCCATTCACATTGCTGGACGACCCAACTGTGTGCTGGCAGCTGGCGTCCCTGCTCTAGCGTCAGTTCACTCAAGCTTCAGCACGGGTCGGCCTACGTACAAGTAAAATGTGCAATTGCGCTCTGCATACACGTTGGGGTATGAGAAGCTACCTGAAAGCTGCCTACAGAGGGAGGCGCAGTTGAGGACGACATCTTGCCACATTTGTTGCTGAGAGAGCCGCATTCAGGAAAGGGAACGTCGGAGCCGGCCGTATCGACGTTGTTTGAAGAAGCTGGTCTGTTTCTAATGAGAGACGGATACTCCTGAAGGTCACGAGCGCCTCCTCCTCGATGGAACTTGGAGTGGCACGCGCCAGCTCCCCCGATGTCTTCTTCTGAGCATTTGAAGGTTACCTGAGTCCGTGTGAACATTTCCAGAAAATTGTTGAAGAAGACGAAAGAACGAGGCAAGTATGATTTACACATCCGCGTAGAGGCGCTTAATCGATGAACAAGGCGGTGTGACGGCATCGCAGTTGGCTCAGCATGCAGACTCGTTTGCTTCGTCCAAGAACTCATTTCGGCAGAGCGGACCTACATTTATCGCGACTATTCAAAAATTAAGTCATATTAGCCTCACCGCATAGGTAGGACTGTGCTTGATATCACTTTTGTTTTCGACTACTCATCAGTTCACCAGGGCGTGGAGAATCATGCCTTATTCAACTGCCACCAGGTATCCCGTCACCGATATACCGTGTTACCCCAGAGACACATCAAACATCACTTCTCAAGCGTCCCAAGTAGCAGCTCCACACTTGAAATCCCTCCCTTTGTACTTCGAGATGTCAACGTTAGTAATCGGACCGTCAAACCGCTCGCGCTGTGCCGGATCGGTCTTCGTGTCGCAATGGTTGGCAACGCTGTATGTCACCTTCAGTCAAGATCACTTGAAATGTTGCCAAACAACTTACGTGTAGAACTCGCACCAGCGCTCCATAAAGATCTCGATGAGGTTAGCATCCTTGGGAACACCTTTGCCCTCGTCGGCCTCCTGGCACACTCCCTTCGGCACAGTGATGTTCCTAGGGTGGGAGCTGTGGGGAATATCGAGGAAGTAGCCGAATAGCTCCTCGGATGGTCCACCGGAGGATGGGGTCGGAGTGGGTGGTGAGCGCTCCGCGACACTACGAGAAGTGGAAGTGGAAGTGGTGTGTGGGTAGTAGGTGCCAGGACGGGGATAAGGGTTAGGATTCCGCGAGGAGGTGGTCGGAAGAGGGCGGCCATCGAAAGGATTGCTGGATGAAGGCCATGGGTCCGGAGTTGTAAGTGATCGCTTGGTGAGTGGCGCTCCGCCAGACACTGGGAAGGACGCAGGTGCTGTCGGCTTGACGAATGTACCAGGAGGGCCTGATGTGGGCTGTATGATTGGAGTCACGCCCGGCGGCAATCCACTATCGGTGCTCCTCGGATAACCAATAGCAACAGCCGCAAAGCCGACGAGAGAAACGAGAAGGGTGCTGAAAGCCCTCATCGTGAGAGAGGTAATTGTATGGAGGGAAAAGTTGGTTGAGGATATCGAAGAGCCGGAATTCTCAAAAGGTAGTGAAGGGGAAGAGAGTATTGAGGAGCAGGTTCGGGTACGCGACAGCTGTTTATATGAAGGTGTCCGTGGGTGGAGAAGCTAGGACCATGTGAGTGAGTGGGTGATTTTGTGTGACGAGTCATTTCGGGCAGTTGCCACGCAAACAGAAGGTTGAAAGAAACGGTAAAGCTACGGAAAAGTTCAATCAAGCTAATCAAAAACGGTCTCCTGCGTCTCCTCTGAGAGGCTGGAAGGTCAGTCTGCGAGATCGGGGAGGTACACGGCGCTCGTATTGCTGCTAATGACGTGAAGCCGAGCTTTCGACACACCATTCGAAAGGCAGACGCATTGAACAGCAACTCGATCTAGTACCATGTGGGCTTATCTATACATAACAAACCACAACAATTTTGCCCTTGGTATCACCATGAAAATACAAATCTTCCTGTCATACTTCGCAACGCAGCCTGTCGCCATCAAATCAACCCCGCAAACACCACCACGAGCACAGCACTCGCAATCATCGAGACCGTCTGCACTTCAAAGCCCCGCTTTCCATCGCTCTCCTCAACGATCCGCTTGCACTTGTAGTACCACATCGGCCCGAACAGAATCGCATCCATAACATCAACGCCATCCCACGACTGCTCACTAGCCTCCGCACATTCGGAACTGCCGTTTTCTCAGCCTTGATTAAAGGATAAAACAGGAGATGAGGGGCTACTCACTCTTCGTAAAGGTCGCACGCACAGTCCTTGAGCACAGTGATGTAAGGCATGCGCTCAGGCATTCGATTGCATGTGCCGTTGTCAGAGAGACACGGGCCGGTGAGGTTGTGCTTGCAGTCTGGTGCGGTGTAGTTGGGTCGTGACTTGGTGAAGCCGCAGAAGGACGCGTTCTTCTGCGGAGGCGGCTTATGCTGCAGGGCGACGCTGAGGGTCGAGATGGCGAGGATGGAGAGGAGGTGAGATAGAGGTTTCATCGTGGATGGCAGCTGGAGGTTTCGCAAAGTAAGGAGGCGAGTGGATTGTGGTAGACCTGGAGCCGAACTGAGGACTGAGGACTGAGTAGTTGTCGCTCGAAGCGAGAGAAGGATGTTGTTTGATGCGGAATTCTTCCCGTGTGGTACGTTTGCTCGGTTCGCTCCGAGAGAAGTGCATGTGCTGCCAGTGTCACTGGGTACGAACAGTCCTTGGTTAGCCGAGCTCTGGATCAGTCGTTCCTGAGTTTGTCCAATTGCAGCGAAGAGCAATTGACCTGTGATGAGGCTCAAGGCCGTCTACCACCACGGCGTGACTGGCTCAGGCGCGTCCGTCCAAGGTCGGTGTATCACGCAAACGAAATTGGGTACAGTGCGGGACAGTCGAAAACTCCTTCTATCAGAAGGCTGCTTGCGCAATCACGTGTGGTCGAGGGTGATGGAGGGCATTCGAACAGTGTACAGTCACAACTTTGATACAACAGTTGCAGGCTATAATTGAACCCTAGGAGGCTGTATGCGCTCGGAGGTCGTGCTAGAAACTTTTTAATTAGTTTAACTTCCTGAAATTAAGCTGGTTATTGGGTAATGTGGATAGTACTACGTGACTAGTTTTGGCCTTCCACCTAAATTAATGGCCTTCTCTATAGCTTAATATAGGATATCGTGATGTAGAGCCTAGGTCGACTTTCGATTCTTAATAAGCAAAGAGGCCTGAAGTAGGTATATATCCTCTGAATATTAATAATTAGCTTACTCTAGATATAGGCAGACAAGCGCTAGTACTTAGCTAGAAGACGTCTTTCATTCGTGACACGACGGAAATAAGTTCCCGGAAAAGATAGAGATTCATCATCTTGTGCGTTGGGAATAAGGGCGTCAGATCCAATTCAGCGGGATTATCACCAGTTCCCGGGCAGATTGTGTAGATGATCATCGAGGAGGTAGAATCCGTAGATCTGAGTCTTTGAACGCCTAAGGCGAGATGAAGATCCTCCGATACACTTCGGCCGATAGCCTAAGATTCCGTGACTGGCTAGCTGAGGATCATTATCGGTGATGTACATATTGAGCGTTGGTACCAAGAATTTCCGGTGCGAGGAATCCTGTCTTAAAGACCTCTATCTTCGAACTTTTGAATGCAAGACCCTCCAGATATACAGGCCAACCAAACCTCGTCTAGGAAATTGGTTGTGGTAATGGCTTTGGCGCACCATACTAATTCCCTAGCTCGCGTAAAGGTCCGAGCTCGCGGAACGCTCCGGGAGTATCGATGCAAGGTGTTACCACCCACTTTCGACCTCCAAGTAGCCTTCAGTGACCGGAAGCTTCCCCGAATTCGAGTCACTATCCGCCTATTCCCCATGGCGTCTGATGGTCAGGATACCGAGCCGTCGCGCAAACGGCGTAAGGTTGCCGAATCGTGCAAGCCCTGTCGCACCAAGAAGACGCGTTGCGACGGTCTGCGTCCAATTTGCTCCCCATGCATTGAGAAAGGGACCGCTTGTGAATACAACGATGCGACGGTCTCAGTTACCGCCAGCAGTTTAACGGACATCCAAGAAAGATTGCGGAAGCTTGAAGAGCGCGCAGTCACTGTCTCGACCTACACTGAAACTACGAACGATGCGAGCACTGAAACTCTTGATGCAGCCCATGAGCGGCCATTCGTCGAGCACCAAACCACGTACTTCATTCAACAGATTACTCGCTCGGCAGATCCACCATCTTCGACTAGATCGCTTCCAGAAAACAACGATACCTGGCCAGTCGGAACAGACACCGCATCAATGGTAATACCCCCAAGGACCATATCCGACGACTTGGTTCGTTGTTTCGAAACTTATGTGTATCCTCTTTTCCCAGTCTTGCACATGCCGTCATTTTACGAAAGATACAGTCGTATATGGGACCCACAACCTCAAATCGGGGTCCAGAGTCTGGCGGCAGAGGTCACCTTTCATGCGGTACTCAACATGGTGTTGGCGCTAGGGAGTCTAAACAACTCGAATGTCGAACCGCAGCTCAAGCTGAAAACAGCTGATACCTTCTATCAGCGAACGCGCAAGCTCATGCCTCTCGATGCACTGGACTTGCCTCAAACAGAAATAATACAGTGTCTATTGCTCACTACAATATACCTCACGTATACTAGGTACTCTTACCGATGCTCGAACACACTGGCCTTGGCTATTCGAAACACACAAGCCCTGAGGCAACTCATGAGCCTGGATCAAAGTTTAGATCTTCCGATCAATCGGGAAATGTTTAGGCGGCTTTGGCATCAAAGCATGTTTCTCGAAAGGTTCGGATTTACCTAGGCAAATGGATACTTGCCTGATTTATATCACAATATTTACTTACCTAACACCAGGCTCGTTTCCCATCTCTTCGGGAGGACCCCTATGCTAGCAGTAGACGACACAGTACCCCTTCCAGCAGCACTGGATGACGCTCAACTCCTCGAAAGCGAAGACGATCGTCAACCCACTGACGTCCCATCTGTGCTCGAAGCTTTCATTGTCTCCGTGAAAATCTTCCAAGTGCTGGACGGAGCCCGTAACATCTACGGCGAGGCGATCAACCACACTTTTGGCTTGCCCGAGCTTGCAGATACCCTCCAGCTGAATGGAAGGCTTGATGCGATCGAGAGAACGCTGCCCGCACATTTGAAGCCGAACGCATTAATGAGCGCAGATACCCCTCGAGCGCGCATGTTCAAGCTTCAAGCAGAAGCAGTCATGCTGAGGTGAGTGCATAGCTATCTGAACATGTCCTTCACAATCGCCGTTCCACGGTTCACTCATGCAACAGCAGGATCTTCAACGTCCGCTCCGTCCTGCTTCGTCACCCTGTTCTAGCCGCCGCGCGTATGTCCTTCTCATCGCCTTCTGCCATGGAGACCGTATCGTCAACCGAGACGACTCTCCGCCGCACGGTCTCTACCTTAGCGATCGAAACGGCAGTATCGGCTATCAGCATGCTCCACGCCAATTTGCACTCCGCTTACCGCATCATGAGCTCGAGCGTCGTGTTCATGATTCTGTCCGCTGCTACGGTCATCATCGCCGCTTCCTTGGTGCCCGAGTTCGAAGTCAGCATTGAGGCGGGCACTAATTACAGCGAGACGATAACGATGGCATTCCGAGTGCTAGAGGGACACCAGTGGCAGATTGAAAACGCACGAGGTGCGAGGAGGCAGCTTGAAAGCTTCATAAACATTGTGAAGCAGGCGGCAGAGTACCGCGTCAGAAGTACGTCAATCGTTTCGCCTTTGTTTTCAGATTCAGAGTGCGCGCAGGGAGGATTTGGGCGCTATTGGCAATGTCTGTTTGAGGTTTTTGAGATCACCCTGCATCAATTGCGATGCCTGATCGACTGGTCCCTATCACGTGCTAACCCGCGTCAAAGATGCCTCTGTTATGCCAGCCAGCCAAGACGGCGCGTCCCTCAACCACTTCGAGCATCTAAACGTCGATTTGGACGATCCTCTTTGGAATATCCAGTGGTTTGACACCAGCTTCTGGCCACTAGCGCCAGTGTCATAGGCCAACATACATATCGTGCCAATTCACTTCACTCATCCTGTGCCGCGAAGGTACCCAAGCATTTGTGATTTCTTAACACCTCCAACGCCTATTTAGCGGACCTCTGCGCGATCAAGCTTCCGAGTTCCAGCATCGTCATACCCCCAAGTATCTCAAACACCGCAATATCTACATCGACTTCCTTCGAAATCCAATTTCGGAGCTCAATCGCAACCAGAGAATCTACGCCGTAATGCTCAATCTGGCTGTTTGGTTCGATTTCCTCGACTTGCATCCCAAGCAGCTTACTCGTTTTAATCCTCAGCATCGCAGTCGCCACGCTCGCTGCTTCATTTACATTCTCTGCTTCCCGGAATTTCACAGTTAGATTGTCGCCGGCAGCGTCATGTTGGGCTTTTACCGACATGCGGACCGGAATCTGTGCAATGCACCGAAGTATCGGTTGCAATAACCTCAGGGGCACGTCCCTACCTTCGGCGCGGAGTTGGGCGGGCAGGGTTACTCCCGTGACCAGTTGGCTTTCATCAGGAGACAGGAGGCCAAGGTCAGGGTTGCAACAGTAGTCGAGCATGGCAAGGAACTCTTCCAACTGTATTGGAAAAATCTCGCGGTTGCGGATGAGTCTTTCTCGTATCGCGTCATTTTCGGCGACGTAGCCACCACCCAAGATCATGCCCAGATTCAATGATATGGCCTTCTCTCCGCGAGACACTCGGAATCGGGCGAGCGCATCCTGGAAGGTATTTCCCGCTGCATAGTTGCTTTGACCGCCGTTGCCGAAGATGGCACCAGCGGAAGAGAACAAAATGAAGAAGTCGAGTTCAGCTCCATTCATTGCTTGGTGCAAGTTCCAAGAACCTTGGACCTTTGGGAGAGTACATTCGGTCCACTGGTCAAAGGTCATCTTCGCGAAGGTGGCGTCTCGGAGAACCATGGCTCCCTGGAAACACCCTTTGATCGGAGGTAGGTGTGAACAGGCTCCTAGAGCGCTCTTCAAGGCTTTAAGATTCGAAATGTCGCACATGGGACATTCAACGTTGATTCCGCGTGCGCGAAGCTTCTCTACTTCGCCTCGTATTTCCGGATTCGTGGTTCCGGACCGTGAAAGCAGAATTAGGTTCTTCGCACCCCTGTCACAGAGCCAATTTGCGACGATACGTCCCAACCCTCCTAGACCACCGCAAATGACATATGTAGCATCTGGACGAAGTCGGTATGGCGAGTGGGGGCCTTGCACGACCTATCCCATAACGGTTAGTGACGAGTATCTTCCAGGCGAGGATCGATGACTTACAGGCACGACAGAGTCTTGCGACACGTTGACGACGATTTTGCCAGAGCTCTTACCGCTTTGGATGAACCTAAGAGCATGCTCGATGTTTCCAATACCGTACTCGTGAATCGGATGTACCGGCTTATAGGTTCCGGCTTTGACGTGTTGCATAACTTGCTCGGAAATCTCCTGTCCACGGCTTTTGTTCGCACGGCTGCCTGGTGCATCAATAACCAACGTGAGGTCCACTCCGGTGAACGATGCGTTTTTCCTAAACGGATACATGGGAAGCGTTCTTCTCGAATCTATATCGCTGCGGCCAATCTCAACAAATCTTCCGAAGTGCGCGATAGTGTCCCACGATGCTTGGAGTTGCTTGCCGGCTAGCGAATTCAGAACCACGTCCACACCACGGTTGTTCGTTGCTTGCATTACCCTTTCAGCGAACGAGGTATCCCGACTGTAGAATATGTGCGACTCCGGTATACCGTACACTTCCTCTAAGAGCTGCTTCTTAGCCAACGACCCAACGGTGGCGAATATCTCAGCCCCGACTTGCTGCGCAACTTGTATTGCAGCTTGGCCGGTACCTCCTGATGCAGCATGAATAAGAACCTTCTCATTTGGTTGCAGCCTTGCAACCTGAATCAGGCTGAAATAAGCCGTACAGAAGGCGGTTGGGATCGATGCAGCTTGCGCAAACGACATCTGGTCTGGTATAACCGTTACCCGATCCATGGTTGTGCGGACAAAGGTCCGATAGGCATCGAACACGGCCACGGCAACTCGTGTTCCCGGAAGGATGTCCCCACAGGCGCTTCCAGCGTACACCACTGTACCCGCGCATTCAGTCCCGAGAGCATCTGTGTCTATGCGTCCGAGCAGCGTTAGACAGTCCTTGAAGTTGACACCTATGGAATGAACCCGGACGATGACTTCGTTCGATCCTAGGTGCGCATCTATGGGCATCTCTTCGGAGAACTGCAGAGTGTCGAGAAGGCCCAGGGCCCGGATACCGAGCTGGAGGTTACGGTTGCCAACCGGCTGTTCAACAACAGGTTGCGTCGTTCGCCGAAAGATATGCTCGTTGACAAATTTCGAGGACACTACACGATTGATGTGTAAGAATGATGATTGCTCCAAGTACTCGGGTTCAACGTCTACGCGGAGGTCGAGCGCTTTCTGTGTGGCTTTGAAAATTGTAGAAATGTTGGATGCCGTCCGTGTTGGTTCTTGATCCTCTATTCCGAGCGTAACGATTTGGGTCGAGTTGTTCTCGATGCGGAGAACGCGGATAAGACCTGTAACGATGCCGTACTCTGGGGACACTGTGTAGCTATTTTGGGTAACCCAGATGATGCTTCTTGCGGAGCAAAGGACTTTCTGGAGACCTGAGAAGAACTCCGACGTGGGCTCGACTAGAACAGGCTGCTCAATTTCCAGCAACATGATAAGGTCTCTACTGCCCAGATCTGTGCGACCTACAGCGTCATCGAAGCTCAGCGTCTCTGGCGCCATACCCGGCATACGTAGGCAGGTATTAATTTGCTCGACAAGCTGCATCTGTGCTTGTGAATCTTGCTTGGCCACTATGAGTGGTGCAGAAAGCTGCCCGTGGCTCTCTTGGTGCTGTTCGGTATCATCCGTGGCAGTGGAGATGAAATAGCTCCACATGTGACAATTCTCGCTTCCATAGTCGCACATCTCCAGGTCGACTCCGGAGAACTGGTTAGACTTCAGCAGCACATCCCATTGTGATGCGTCAGCGCAAGGACTCAATGCTTCGGCTCTCCAAGGCTCGACACTCAACCACCAACCAGGCAACAGACCAAATACGAATCCTGTGTAAACACTGCTGGGCGACGTCAACTCTTTCAATATGAGTTTACCTCCCGGCTTCAAAAGCTTACGAACGTTTCGCAGAGTGTTACTGAGGTCCGATGTGGCATGTAACACCATGTCAGCTACAATGACATCGAACTCGTGTGCAGGAAAGCCCTGCTCTAATGGGTCCTTTTCGATGTTGAGCAGCCGAAACTGCATGTTGTCTAGATCGCTAAAGCGCGCCCTCGCCTTTTCCAAGAACGAAGGACCAATGTCGGTGAAGACATATTGGCCGAAACGAGGTCCATGCCAAGAGTGCAGCACTTCGAGCATAGTATTAGTGCTTCCACCTGTGCCGGCTCCGATCTCAAGGACCTTGATGTCGGGTCGTTTATGTGCCAAGACGTCCACGAGCGCCTGCATGGACTTCAATGGGCGAGACTCGTAGAGCATCTCGTCGTAAAAGTCTTGCATGAGTTGTTCATCCTTGAACATTACAGCAAGCGGATCGAGTTGCCCAGTCAAAATCTTGCCAAGATCTCTCCCGACTTCAACGTACAACTTGCCTGCTTTTTGCGATGCCGCTCTTTCGCACAGCGCTTCCAGCGGACCGTCTTCGTAAATGCAGCTATCGATTAAGTCGACCGTCTCTTTTGGACCCGAGCTTCTAACGGAAGCGATTGTCGCTTTCAGCCAGGAGACATAGGAGACGAGCTCCGGTGTAGGCGGTTGATCGTCCCCCAAGGCCATCAAGGCACGAACCCCAAGTACAATGGAAGCTGCTTGCCAATCGCGAAAATATTCCTTAGGATCTTCTCTCGTATCTCGGTATTGGGTACAATATTGCGCGAGTTGATCAGTCGTCAACAGATCCAAGTCCGGCCTCCAGATCATATGCGCGGCGAGATGCTTGGGTTCGTCGCTTGTGACTTTGGAAAGTGTCTCATCACCAACAGCAGTATACTCGAAGTCATCGATCTTCAATGCGACTTCGTGGGTTGCCTGTCGAAGAACTGAGATAGAGGCGACTGCACTTCTGCGGCTAGGCATCGAGCCCTGTGCATGGATTACTTCATTAAAGCTGTTGTGTCCTACTCCAGATGCCGAGACCCAGATCTTATTGACCCGTCGAGGAACCATTGTGCGGACGCGATTGTTTGGCATCGCCTGGGCGATATGAAAAGCCGCATCCAAGACCACGGGATGGACAATGCAGTAGTCCTCGTAAGGAATCAAGGATGCCCTCACTTCGCCTTCGTCGCTGTACGAGACATTTTCAAGCCGCTGAAAGGTAGGACCGAATTCTGCTCCACATGTGGCTTTGATGTTCTCGTAGAATTTATCCACCTTTTGTGTGCATAACTGCTCAGCCCTCTCATGGCCTGAACGAATGTGATTGAGCTTTTCAAGCTCACTGTGGGGATCGACTTCGGACGCGACTCTGCCATAGTCCGCGGATATTGTGCCGTGGCAGACTTCCTCGCTAGTCTCGTCGCGCCTCCACGTAGCTATCCGGAATTGATACTGGACCAATGCTTTATCCGTTTTAATTGGAGTCAGACTGATCTCTACCTCTGTCCCGGTAGGCGTGTCGTTCAACAATATGGGGGCAATGAACTCAACATTCTCTAACACGAAAGCCATCGGTAGGCGATCACATAGTATCTGCTTTGCGGCTTCTATCGCCATGGCGCACATACCAGCTCCTGGGTAGATGTTCGCTCCGTTGATGACATGGTCTTTGATCCACGGCTGCTCGTCTGTTCGAAGGATCAACCTCCACCGCCTGTCAAGGAGCGCACCATCGATTATGGGCACACCGAGGAACTTGTTAAAGCCATTCTTCTGTAAGCGCATCTCTCGATTGATACGATTCTCTTCCCAGTATAGGACTGAGTGATCGAACGGATACTTAGGAAGATGCGTGAGCACTTTGGGTGCCGAAGGCGAGGCTCGAAACCAATTGGTTAGAAGATCCACGTTCAAGGATGCATTTTCGCAGTACAGACGTCCGCATGCATTCAAGAACGTTTCCTTAGCTGGCTTACCGCGTACCAATGCTGACGTGTAGAATACCTCCTTAGAACGCTCATGGAAATCCAGGATCTGACGAAGAGGAGCTTTGAGCGTGGAATGCGGCCCAATTTCGACAATGCCAGAGATGAGCGGATGGTCAAGGTGACTTTGATCGAGTTTCCATGTCGTTTGGGACTGATCCTGGACGGAACTTGAGAAGCAGAAACTTGCAGCCTCGGAAAACTTGACTTGGGACACCATGTTCTCATCCCAATACCCCGGAGTCGTGGCTACCTCTTTTTCTAGTAAGCGTCCTGTTACAGAGGAAACCATGCGAATCCCCTTTGCTCCTGGCCCAGCCTCGAGGGTTCCAAGCAAGTGAATGTACTCGGCCGAGATCTGGCGCATTTGTGGCGAGTGGTATCCCAGGCCAACCTGCAATTGGCGCACAAACACCCCTTGCTTGCCGAGGTACGCTGATAGAATATCGAGGTGCTTCTGTAATGCTGCGACCGTGATGTTGCTTGGACTATTGACACAGCTGACCGTGAAACTTTCAGTCAAAGATGGTTCTTGGGTATCGGTCAGTTTTTCCAAATGCGTTTTCAGATCTGAAGGTGATAGTCCAACCGAGAGCATGGAATGTCGTTCACCATCCTGATCGGCAAGGCTCGCAGCTAGCTCTCCTCGGTAGTAGGCGATTTTGATGGCCGAAGATCGATCAATCAGACCGGCGCAGTATCTATGCAGGATTAGCAAACGATACCAGTCAGACTTGCTGGTCAAACTTACGCCGCTGCGATCTCTCCTGATGAGTGGCCTAGCACAACAGTCGGCTGTATAGCAATGCTTGCGAAAAGATCAACGAGACCGACTTCCACCACTGTCGTTAAGAGTTGGCTATATCTAGGATTGTCTATCGGGATGTTTTCGCTGTCGGCCACGAGGAGATCTTTGAACGTGTTAGCACCAGAAGCGAATCTCACAGTGGCAAATGGAGACGTACCTATCAGGGACCAGGAGCAATGAAGCTCTTTCAAACAAGACTGCGACTTAAGTACACTCGTTAAGAAATTGGGCAAACCCAACAGCTCTTTGCTCATACCAGCCCATTGAGCACCCTGGCCGGTGAATACGAAGGCTAGATTCACAGTTGCATCATCCCTACGCACAGGTTTCGAGATGCTGTCTTCGAGTTTCTGAATGCATGCCGAAGATTCGCAAACTACGAAACTTCTCCATGGGTGTTTTGTTCGTCGAACATTGAGCGTAAATGCTAGATCATCTAGCAAGGCCTCATGACCCTCACCAACCTGAGATTGGAAGCTAGCCCCTAACGACGCAGCCAAGCGAGAGCAGCCTCCCTCATCCGCAGCGCTCATCAGCAACAGTCTCGGAGTAGCGATATCTGTCTCGGTATCACCATTGGTATCTGATTCGATATCACGCCCAGTGACCCCATCAGAAGGCTCAAAGGAATGTCGCAGGTACGACTCAATGTCATCTAATATCACGTGCGCGTTCGTGCCTCCGAATCCGAAGGAATTCACAGATGCTCTCCGAACACCTAGGCCGCCATCTCGTGGCCATGGAACGGTTTTCGTGGGGAACTAGTCGTCTCAGCAGAACGCTCACGATGGTGCGCAACGTTGACCTTCGCTGACCTGTAGTTTGAAGAACTCCGCATCGATCTCGGGATTCAACGATTCGAAGTTGGCATTCGGTGGGATGACACCTCTCTCGATTGCGAGAATGGCTTTTATGATACCGGCGAGGCCACTGGCTCCTTCTAGATGACCGATGTTCGATTTTACGGCTCCACTATTTAGGTGAGAATCATGTAGGGTATTCTATGGCGCGCTCGACTTACACGTATATAGGCTCCTCGGGGGAACGGTAACGTCGGAAGCATTCACCAATTGCGCGAGCTTCGATAGGATCACCAACCGGTGTTGCAGTACCTAGGCTATGTGTCAGTCATGTAGTATGCACTCGCTCATGGGAATATCGTCCGTACCATGTGCCTCGAAATATCGCGTATTTGCCTTAGTGAGACCGGCTTTCCGATATGTTTCGTTGATCAGGACGGCTTGCATCTTCATGTTTGGTTGAGTCAGTCCTCCCTTGGTGTGTCCGTCTTGATTGATGCCCACAGCCCGTACTAAAGCCCTGATGGGGTCTCCGTTCTCTATTGCGCGCGAGAGAGGTTTCAGCAGCAAAGTGGCCACCCCTTCACCGCGCGCATATCCGTTGCCACGTTCGTCGAAACTGTAGCAACGTCCATCAGGGGAGAGAAAAGACATATTCGACAGCATAATGCTCAAGTCGGGTGACTGGATGAGATTCGCTCCCCCAACGATTGCCTAGATGTAAGTGAGCATTGAGATCAGTTGAGCCGCGTCCCGCACGAGCATGCTGAGAGGCGAAATACCACTTACTGCATCTACGCTACCATTCCATATCCCTTGGCAAGCTAACTCAAATGCTACCATTGAACTGGAACAGGCCGTGTCGATGGTCATGCTAGGCCCATGCAGGTCGAAAAACCAGCTGATTCGATTGGCCAGAATGCAGCCCGATCCTCCCGTGGCGCCGTACTTGGGAATATTTAGCTGGTCTCTACATTGGATAGAATGATAGTCTGAGCCGAAGCAGCCCACATGGACGGAAGTTTTTGATCCTGCGACATCTTTCAAAGAAAGACCAGCTGATGCAGATTCAGTCAAGGTGCAAGCGTGGATCCTCATCACGTACCGTTTTCAAAAGCATGATAGGTTGTCTCCATCAGCGCTCGATGTTGAGGATCCATTGAGCCAGCTTCGGCTTGAGATATTGAGAAGAATCTAGGGTCGAATTCCCTTATGTCGCTGTCCAAGAAGTGGCCATTTCGTGTAGCAACCTACGATGCAGGTGAAATTAGGTCTGATCGGCACACTACTACTACTTCTAAGATTGAGCTCACCTTGCTGGTGCCCTTCAAGGTGGAATCATGGCACACGTCAATGTTGCCTCTGTCCTCGGGGAATTCTCTAGATACGCAATTTCGTTCCATCATCATCTCCCAGAAGTCCTCCTCAGTATTGGCTCCGCCGGGGAATTTGAAGGCCAGACCAACGACTGCGATGGGCTCCAGAGCGCCATGCTCTCCCTTGGACAACATGTTGTGCAAATGATCTGAAAAGTCAAAATGTGATAAACGAGCGACTGTGAAGAAGCATCGTCCACGATATCATCAGCATACTCCGTGCCACCTCTCTACAGCAAGTGCGCGTAGAACCGCCCCCATTGGCTGCACCTGTCTCCAATCGGCGCATTGACGTATCGAACGGCGGCAACGGTCGCGCTTTCCCCAAAACATCGTTGACCGAACCCCGTTAATACACTGTCACTACTGTTGTGGACCGCCGAGCGACGCATGCACCTCGTTCACACCGGCAAGGCTGATCGACAAGGAAGTCGTCCCCCGATGGAGATCTGGAGATGCAGGGGTCGCTATCGCGGATACATAAAGCCCGGCAATCAATATCCTGGTCGATATTTTGGCCGCTCAAGTGCATGCAGCCGACGTTCGCTAAGCCCGACGTCGCCGCAATTGCTGCACTTCGGATGGCTTGATCAGTAGCGAACAGTTTTCGCAGAGGGAGATAGAGAAACAGTGTTTCGGGCATCATGTTGCTGAAAGTATGAAGATGAGTGTAGAAGTAAAGGATTGCAAGGGTGTCGGAAGCCGCCTACGTAGACTAGGCTAGTGCGGTGGCACCTGCCGGGTGCATGGGAAGTGACTTCCTTGAACACATGTCGAGGAATACAAGATATATTTGGCGCCCAGGATAGCGACAAGAGTCCAGGAACCATGTAATCCAACGCCCACGATAATTTCCAATGCAGCCACAGTCGGAGAAACAGCCCAGTCCGCCTTTCTCAGCTACGAGATGGGCCTTTCAAAACTATCTGTGATCTATCTTGGTAATGCCAGGAATTTATGTAGTCTGAGTGTACCACGCACAGAATCCAAGTAGCTTTAATCATCACGCTGATGGAACCCCCCTCATGAACACTGTTGTTGCCGTCACAAAGGGCTTACGCGGTTATGTCAAGAGCTCGTGGCTTTTCACAACTTATATGTTGAGGTTTAGCGGTATGCAATGCTTTTGGCCTTCATTCGCATTCTTTCCTATTTGAACGAACTGTTTCTCAGGTTTTCCATACATAGAGGCGACAGTTCCATATATTGTCAGCCGAAAGCATTGCGTACTAGCCGCCATCGTTATATACTTCTCATTTTCTCTGCCACTTGTGGAGCGACTCAGACACTGATATAGCTGTAAGTTTGCAGTCCGCTTGTCATGGTCCGTAGTCCCTCTACCCAGCGGATATGTAGTGACGATCTTCCGCCAAAGTGGATCGCCAAAGTGGATGTCGGACAATCAGAAGATCGACAAGCGTTTTTGGGGGCCACGTGGGGACTTAATATGTATAGGCGGACGTACATGAATCTGCCTTTCGGGCTTGGCCGCATGGGGAGATTGGTCGAGGGCAGATGCAATGAGTGCATGAAGACAGACGCTTGTAGTGTCCACGAGTCGGAATAGGCATGTGGTGGGGGCGGGCGAGCTGCAGTGCGGATCTGCTCTAGTTCGGTGGGGTATCGGAGTATCTGGCAGGAGCGTCCCATTCGACGTACGTCAAACTGTACTCGAATAACGACAATCCTCCACAGCCTCGCCGGATATAACCCACGACACGACCCTTGCCCCGGACGATGTTATGTTCCCTAGGAGCCACCTAGCGTGGCCCACGCTTACCTACCATACGAGGCCTAGCATTGGATCGACCTCCGACACAACTGTACGAAACGGCGCGGCGCAACGCGTGTCTTGATGTTCACCGTTCGGACTGTATCTAATGATGTATGCCCAGGTGTATGCGCGCGCCATGCACATGCACTCCACCCGTTGAGCTTTGAACTCCGACCCTAACGGCATGGGGATATGCTCAATTCCAAGGTTAGGTTGAGACACTACCGGTATCTACATGTAGGTAGGTGGCACGACCAGCAGAGAAGAAAGGGAAGCGCGCAGGATGCATGCCCAAGGTGATCGTCACTACCATTTAGATAGTCGTTGGCGAAGTACGGACGCAGGATGATCGTCACCTGAACACTTTGTACTGGCCAAGTACCGTACCGACAAGACAAGTCACTGCCGGCACCAAGTGCGACGCGACTGATTTGTTATTCACGATTGCAAGATGCGCTTCCTCTGCCTCCATGGCTTCGGTACGAATAACCAGGTTTGTCTCCCCTCCCCATTCCAAGTCCACTTTCCCCGCCGCGGTTCTCACGTACATCTATAGATCTTCAAGATGCAAACCAGTACGATACGACCTTCTGTAGAAGTACAATGGCAGGAGACAGACTAATCCCACAGCCGCCCTCCGCCACGCCCTAACCGCCCACGACGCCCACACCTTCTCCTTCGTCCAAGGCACGCTCCCCGTGGCCAAACCCGCAGGCGAGTCTCACCCCACCCCGCCAGGCCCGCCCAGCGCAGCCCCGCCCCGCACCCGCTTACGCCGCTGACCGCATCCATTAACACACACCACAGAATTGGGGGCCGTCTCCGACTTCGACGACGGGTTTTTCGGCTACTTCGACCCGTCGGCTCCCTCGAGCGCCCTCACAGCCCTCCACCAGCTCGACGCCTTCTGCGCCTCTCACGGGCCCTTCGACGGCGTCGTAGCGTTCTCTCAAGGCGCCCAGCTAGCAGCTACTTACATCGCGCATAGAACGCTTGAAGGGCTGCCTGCGCCGTTTAGATGCGCGATCCTCTTCTCGCCGCTTAGTATCTACGATTCAAAAGCGTGGGTTGACAACGGGGAAGTGAGAAAACTAGATCTCTCGAGCGATGGATGTAGTATTGCGATTCCTACGCTCGTAGTCTGGGGGAAGGAGGATAAGTGGGGAGGGGAAGCAGAGGGTGTGAGTAAGCTGTGCGATGCGGAGACGCGCTACACGTATGTGCACGAAGGCGGGCATGAGATTCCGGGGATAGGGCTGACGGAGGCGCTGGGGGGTGTTGCGAAGCTGGCGAAGAGGTGTATTGTGAATGCGGGGGAGGAGGACGAGTATTTATAGTGTAGACCGTGGTGCTGCGATGTCAACTATACTATACTACGAACCTGTCCTCTTCCTAAACTGTAAAACTGGCCCCTTGTGCACTGTGATGTACGCATCGTCAATGTGATACTGCGCTTCATCCGTGCGTCCCGGTCCAAGAGTCTTATTCCCACCGCCTAGGTTCTCCCCCGGTACAGCGCGCAAGTCGAGCCGGAAGAGCGTCCTAGCCACTACGAGCGCCATCTCTGTCATCGCGATGTTCTTCCCTACGCAATTCGTAGGCCCGATGAGGAACGGCTGGTAGTACGATTTCAAACTGTTGACCTGTTCGAGTGTGACGCCTGTAGCGGTGGAGGGAATATACCGCTCCGGCCGAAACACGCCCGGCTCCTTGAAGAAACGCTCGTTGTGGCCCATCGCCCAGTGCGCGCAGCCTACTACCACGCCGGCTGGGAAGTGTTCTCCGTTGATGGTGGTTCCACCGGGGAGGACTTCGCGGGCGAATTCGCTGGGTCCGGCGGGCGAGATGCGCAGTGCCTCGTCGATGCAGGCGTATAGGTACACGCAAGATGCGAGTTTGGGGCCGCTTACGATCTCCTCTGAGGAAGCGAACGTGCTGCGTATCTCGGCTGCCAATTTTTCATACACGGATTCGTTGCGCGAGAGGTAGAACCACAGTGCGGCGAGGACGCTGGAGGTGCTGTCTGATCCGGCGACGATGAGCATGGCGGCTTCGCCCTGCAGCGCGTCGACGGTGTAGTGCTCGCCCGTTACAGGATCTGTCGCCTTGCACAGGAAATGGAACATATCCAACCTAGCCCCTTCTGTGTCCTTGTTGTCCTTCTCCTCTTGTATCCTGTTCGTCACGCTGTCATTGATGAACGCGTAGTATGTTTTTATCTCCTCTGGGGTGATCATGTTGAGCAGGTAGTCTATACCGCGGGGCTTGGCCCAGACGAAGAAGTTCATGAAGGGGGGATTGGAGGATCTAGAGAATGGAAGGTCAGTTTAGCGCTGGTAATGCGATGGAGAGACGTACCGGGTAGAACATTTGAACGTGCTGAATGACTAAATGGGGGGATTTTGCGGATTGGATTCGGCTTTGGCTCCTTCACATCGAAGGACCGGCCGAAACACAGATCCCCTAGTATATCAAACACAAGCCAGTCATTCCAATCAGACATGTTGCGCGTGCTGGTCCAGCCATCTCCGCTGGGTGCGTCCTTGTTATCCGCCAGCAGATCGATCCATCTCTCCGTATGCTCGACCACAAACTTCGCCGCGTGCTTTGCCGACTTGTCTGTGAACGCTTGGTTCAGCAGCTTTCTCTTGCGAGCATGCGCCTGGGGATCGATCGTTATAGCGGTGTTGGGCTCGACTGAGGTCTGCCACGCTTTGTAGGATGTGGCTCGGCGGACGTTGGCTTTGGCCCCGTAGATATCTTTATGCGCTTGCGGTGCGAGGAAGAGGACTTCGTTGGGATGAATGCGAACCTTGTCGCCTAAAATGATGTTAGGACCATGGTCAAACCAGCCATAGAAATCGCACGAAAGACTGAGGTTCAGGAATACTTGCCATAGATTTGGTGGTTATGCCAGATCCATATGTGACGATCGCCTTTGAGAGCGTGGTAGAAATTGGGCAGCTTGGAAAATTTGGCGATGAATGGGCCGGGGCAATTCGCTAGTGGATGAAAGTATACATTGTAGATGAATTGCAGAGTAAGCTAAGTAATTTTAGACTGTGAGCATGATTCGTGACGCGGACCGAAGATAGAGTCGGTAGTAAATTGTGGGGAATCACTTACGTAGCCAATGAGGATAGCGAGAATGGGAGACAGCCAGGCACCATAGGCTGCGACCCCTTGGTTGGAGAGTGGAGTCGTTGAAGACATGTGTGGCTACTGGCTATTGTTCTACTAGGTGCTCCGAACGTCACTGTATATGTGAGACTTGAGCTCGGAGGCGGGTAGCAATTCGCTGTCGAGGTGTGCGACCATGCGACAATAGTTCATGGACACCTTCCTAGGTTTGGTCTATGTAACAGACAGGGGAGGTGGGTCAGAGAAGTCCGTGAACCAAGAACGCAAGCAGGAGGCGGGTTGAAACATGCGAAGAGCGTTGCCTGCCATTTGGGCGTTAGTGGACGGTTGGCAATAACGCGGCGCAGCACTCGCATGTTGGAAGGTACGCTTACGGGGTACCCCCGCACCGAGCATCCCTGCTAGCCAGCCCGCATGTATATGGCCAGGACGTTACACAGCGTCGCCCGGCCGTCATTCGCGCCGCCTGAGGAAATAACGCTGCCTGGGTCCGGCTTGGATATTATCCTGTGTCTTGCACCCGTAATCTATTGAACGCCATAAACTATACCCTGAGTAAGCAGTCTCGCGCAACATGTGAGTAGCATACACTGCATGACCTCGGCTTGCCCAAATGCCTCCGCAGCCATCCTGCACTCTCGCTTCCAGATAACGCGGTTGGCATTGCACACACTCGATCCTTCCAAAGCTTGACGGCGCTGCCATGGCCGACGTGAAGCATCAGCTGGAGGCTTTGCGCCCCGAAATCGAGAATATCCTCCGCATCAGCGGCTCACCCGGACTCTCACTCGGCGTTCTGCACAAAGGGGAGCATCATCCATACGGCACACTTTGGCCGCCGCAATGCTGATGATTCAACGCCTTCGAATGACAATACAATTCATACCATCGCCTCTCTCACCAAGCTCCTCACGGCCGCAGCCGTTGCCAAACTTGTTCACCAAGGTGTGCTCCATTGGGATGTTCCCATTCGGGAGTACCTGCCAATCTTCCGCCTACGACAAGACGAGCTGGGCGTGAAAGCCACCTTAAAAGACCTATTGTCCCAGCGCACAGGAATTGCACCCGCAAATTCCTTGTTGGCGATCCAAAACAACGAACCACTCATAAAGGAAAGCGAGACGGCCGCCATAGCTACCTACATCAACACTGCCAAGCCTTATGGCCAGTTTATCTACTCGCAATGGAACTATACCCTGATCGATGACGTCGTCAAGGAAGTCACCGGCGCTTCTATCTGCGACTACATTCAGCAGAACATTTTTCGCCCTCTGGACATGACCCGCAGCTCTTTCGGCAGTCTCCAACAACTGGATGCTGATGTCGCGCACACGCATTGTACCCACGACGACGGCACACCAAGTCAGAAGCCTGATGCCCAATCTGGCATGATGATAGCTGGCGTTGGTGCTGCCGCGGGAGCTCGATGCTCCATGCGGGACTACATGATCTTCCTGCAAGCCATTCTTCGTGCGTACAAACATCAGCTCACGGAAGGCGTCGACGCCACGCCCGATTCTATCTTCCCGCTCATGCGAGATGTGTTCATGCCGCAGGTCGGCTTTGGGCCTCCGAAGCGTTCTGGCATCGAATACGTCGCGTACTGCATGGGCTTGTATCGGACCAAGCTGCCAGGCATGTTGAGCCTTGCCAGTCCTAACTTCTATTATACGCTGGGAAAGAAGCGGCTTCCTCTGTATGGTAAGAGCCTTGCGGGGACGGATGTATTCCACCAGTCTGGAACCGCGTTGGGACACCTGGGCGCACTGTTTATTGTGCCCTCGACCGAGAGTGCCGTCGTCACCTTCACGAACTCGCAGCCACTGATGGACCCAGCTGACTTCGTCGCACAACTTGCTCTCTCGACGCTTCTTGGGCCGCCACCTGGCGTTGACTTTGTTAAAATGGCGAAGCTGGCTCGCACCATTACGCTGGAGAATTACAAGGTCCTTGAAAAGGTCGTCGCGAAGGGCAAAACGGATGTGCCTCCCACAAAGCCTCTTGCTGCATACCAAGGCGACTTCTACAATGCGATTCACAACTTTGTGTTGTCGGTTTCTGTGGCAGGCGAGGGCTTGCATGTACGCTTGCAGCAAGGGAAGACAAACTTTGACCTCCTGCCTTATGACGGGGATACGTTCTACTGGAAAGTAGACCGCGAGGAGGAGATGTGTAAGAAGGGGATGTTCGGTTTTATGTACAAGGACTGGCATATCTTCCGGTTTGAAATCAACGCCAACGGAGAGGTGGAGAAGCTGTTGTGGAGACACGATCCTTATGTTGCTAGTCCGGAGGCGTTTACGAAGACGCCTAATGTGCAGTCGTACGCTAGGTTATGAATATGCTCCGGCACCAGGAGGAATTGCATCCAGCTGTGCGTTCTCGCTGGATTGAACAATCGAACTGGGCTTTCGCGACGTAAACCTTGACATCCTCGAGTAAAGCAAGAATAGCGATCCTAATACAGCAGTGAAAAGAAACACCCTGCACTTCCAAGAGAGCACAGTAAACCATGTCTTCATCATCCGCAACTCACACTGCAATTGCACTCTTTAACGACTCTCCACCCATGCCAAGACCCCAGAACCTCCATACCTGTTATTTACCCTGACTCGCATTATTACACGAAACGCCCAGGTAATTTGCATCGCCATACGCGGCTAGGACACCCAACCCCCTCCGTGACCATTTAGGAAACACCTCTATCAAAAGAGTGTTGGGACCCCCGCTGATTGGCGCGCCAAGTGTAAGCCGTGCAGACCCAGACGGCATGTGGTGTGGCACCCTTCTTTTCGTACGGCCGGCCTGATTACCACCTCACTCGTTCAATGCCACATGCATGCTTGCATGGCCAAGTGCACCGCCATGTGCTTCGGAGGCCGCTCGGATCGGCGCAAACCGTTCCACAGGCCTGAGCAGGCAGGCCGTCGAGCAGACGCCCGATAGGTCACATCGCTTTCATTTACGCCGCCAGGGATCGTGCAGTCCGTAAGCGTAGATCGCAAATGGCGTTCGTACCCCGTCGATACGGACGGCAAGGCACGAGGCAGGCGGCTAGCTGCATAAGACGAGGGGTCCTACTGCCAATCCTGAAAGCCACCCGGACGCCATCTGGCTTACTTCGAGTCGTCGCCCGGTTCTCAGAGAGCGCAACGAGTCGTCGCTAGCGAGGAGTGTTCACCTGTCTATCTTTTGTTTTGACGTTGAAGAGCAGGCTGGAGCTGTGCACTAGCTGTCATGCCGCCGGCTGCCAGGGCGGAAGCCGCCCCTACGAGCACGCGGGCTGGAGATGACCTGATGAACGTGGCCATCGCCTTCATCGTGATTCAAACCATCGTGTTGGCGCTGTTCTATGCCTCGAGATATGCAAAGGTCAAGCATATCGCGGGTATCGAGATGACCTTCTTCATGCCCCTCGGCTACCTATTCTGCGTGGGCAATGCCGTCCTCTCCATCCGTAAGTTACTTCAGCCTACACTACAGAAAGCCACCAAACTGACTCGACACAGTCATGATAAAGTACGGCGGCATGGGCCGCCACGTCCTAACCCTCAGCCTCGAAGAAGGCATCATGCTCGCCAAACTCTTCAAAGCAGAAGAAATGGTGTACCTCGCCTCCGTCATGTTCCCCAAGCTCGCCGTCCTCTCCCTCTACATCCGCCTCTTCGTAAACCCCGTGCGTCGCCTATCCTACTTCGCAGGCGCCTTCGTCATAGCAACCTTCTTCGCCGGCACCCTCTCCTTTGCCTTTGCCTGCCGCCCCTTCGCCTTCAACTGGAACAAGACCATCCCCGGCGGCTACTGCATCAACACAAACATCTCCTACACCTACTTCAGCATCCCCAACCTCGTTTCCGACGCCGCCATCATCCTGCTCCCCATGTGGCCCCTCTGGAAGTTGAACGTGCCGAAAAGTACGAAGATAGGCCTGCTGGCTACCTTTGTGCTCGGCGGTGTGTACGTCTCCCCCACCCTCTAAATCCCTCCCGATCGCCATGTGTATTCATGCTGACCGCCTAAAAGAGGCATCATCACCGCCATAATCCGCTTCATCGCCTTCATAACCACCGACATCCGGTCCGACCCCTCCTACCACGGCGCCTCCACCATGCGCTGGTCCATCATCGAGCCCGCAATGTACCAAATGGCCGCCACCCTGCCTACCCTCCGGCCCCTGCTCACGAAATCCCTGTCCGTCCTGAGTCGTTTCTCGAGCCGCTCGAAGATCACGGGGCATGAGGATGATAGGACGGATGGCACGGCGGAGGGGTCGCGGCTGATAGGGAGCATTTCGTTAAGCTGGATGATTATCACTATTTGCATGGTGGGCGGGGAGGGGCTGGGGAAGAAGTACAGTGGGGTGTTGAAGACTACGAATGTTAGTGTTACGAGTACGGTTAAGGGGAGGGACGAGTTCGAGATGGGGAGGGTGCTATCTAGACTTCTCTCTTTTTCGTTCATGGTACATGGTGTTTGATTGGGTATATTCATTATATGTTATACATGGTTAACGAGCGTTGAGCGTGGAGCGTGGCTGTGCGATGGGGGGCGTGGTGTTATGGATTGCACGAGTTTGTGTAGCATAAAGGAGGGGAGGTGCATAGATACCCGAAGTGCGTAGCCTGAGCGGCCGGTCAGCCGAGAGAATATAGAATACGTTACAGATTGTATATCTGGTGGTAGCGCTTGGCTGCCTGCATCTATGGTGGATCCTTCATTTACGGTTGGTGCTTCGGCACCTTTTCGCTCATTGAAACACGTGAGTCCATCCGGATTCCACATCGCGACGTTGTATATCAAGGAACGGGAGGGAAAACAATTCGCGAAACGAGCATTCGATTACGGGCCGTGGCCGAGCGCTATACACTAATGTACTAAGAGCTAAGAAATAGCACTAGGCTCAAACGGGCAATATGAGTGAGGGAAGGCTAGTGACACCACAGGCATTAAGCTGCAGAGAAAGCCATCGAGTCAGGTGTGTGGTCTGGCAACGTACTTTTATCTGGATTGCCTGCCATTACGCTTGAGCGACTTCTATGCAAACCAGCGTGTGCCCGTATAGATGGACTTGTCTTCGATGCACAAGCCGCGATGGCAAGAAGCGCAAATCTCACACTTCGGTCTGGAAAGAAGTTGGGGAGTGCTAGAAAGGAAACGGTGCTCTGCGCCGGAGTAATAGACTCGCCAGGACTGATGCTGATCTCTGGAAGTGGCCCTCGAAAGGAGCTTGGAGAGTTGAAAATAGATCATCCTGAGGCAATAATCACATGGGAGCTCCGCGAACCTCTAGAAGACAAAACGGTCATGTGGGCTGATGCTGCCCTTCTTGCTCGTCGTGAGCCAGAGTTCCCTGAGGAAGTGGATCAAGCGCGAGGTGGCGCCTCAAAGATGCTTTGCAAAGCGTAGTAAATGTATAGCTATGGTAGTTTTTCAAGAGCAGTTCTGCCCCGACAACAACAGTAGATATATTCAAAACTCCCCTAACTATCGACTATTCAAAATGACCAAGGTCATCCAAACTCAAGGTCAGATGCCCTCTCTGGACGATCAAGGAGTAAGCTTCAAACTTGTCTGCACCCGATTTGAGGAGTGTGCCAACAGCACGCAGCTTTTGGAGCTTGTATGCAAGTTCTAGAAGAGAGTTCAGGTCGTCGTGGCGCTTTGCGTCGAGCTTCGCACCCCCTTCCAGCAGCGTGAGTTGTATCAAAGCATCGCGATTGTAAAGCGCATAGTCCATCGCTGTTAACCCCCACTTGTCTACAGCGGATGGAACACTATGTGTCATCAGCGCTGAGGTAATTACCTCAACAACCTTGCTTCTATCACGGTTCCAATTGCGCCCAAGATGTTTGTTGCAATTGTTTGCAGCGAGATGCAACGGGGTTCTACCGTATTGATCTTTTGTGCGAGCCAGGTAAGGTTTTGCAAGTAGGAGATCGTGAACAGCGCGAACGTGATATGTACTGACGGCTGAGTGGAGGACATGCTTAGGTAGTGGCTCGACAAGTATTTCAAACAACCCAGTAGTTGTACGAAGTCGAGCATATTGTGCCGTCCTCTCGAACAAATCTGACAGGTTCAAATTTCTCTGTTTCGATTTTGCCATTACATTCAAACCCCATGCATCTCGTAACTCAAGGTTGGCTTTGTTTCGGAGTAAAATGGTGATGATCTCTCGATGGTCGTCTGCATCGTCGTCAGAATCGTCGTCAGCGTCGTCGTCTGCGTCGTTGTCTTCACGTTGGGGATAGCTTTCCACCACCATATGCAAAGCAGTCGTGCGAAATCGCCAACTTGTTCCAAATAGATCTGGACTAGCCTTGTGGCGTAGAAGTGTTTCCACCATCTTCACCTTACAATCTCGTGCCGCATACATGAGTGGTGTAATTCCTCTCTCGTCAAAACAGTTGGGGCTTGCTCCACTAATTAGAAGCTGCTCGACAATATCCTCGTGGCTCTTGAGAACTGCAACGTGCAGAACAGTGCGACGTTTTGATTTTGGGTGAGTAGCGCTTAATCGAATACGATCGTCCCGAAGCAGGAGGTCTATGATCTTCATCTTGCTCTGGATATGTTCCAGTGACATTTTGGTCACGATAACTGCTTCGAAAAAAGCGTTGTGGCCACGATCGCTGAAGAGAGCAGGGTTAGCACCTAGTTCGAGTAACACACTAACAGCTTCTTCGTGACCCTTCCTGCAAGCATATATTAATGGCGTTTGGCCAAAGGTGGCCTCCCGCTTGTCAACTGAGCCGCTCCTGTGAAGGTTCTTGATCAAGGGTGCGATTCCAAACCAAGCGCAGACATGAAGCGCATGAACCTTCGAATTGACATCCCATTGAAGAGGTTCTCTCTGTCGAAGATTGGATACCCAGGATGCTTTGATGTAGGCATTCATACACTTGGTGTCCTCGAGAAGTTGAATTGCCTGATCGATTACCCGTGAGTCCAATCCCTTTCCTGCTAAGCGGACGTGATCGCCCCAGTATATGGTGGCGTAATGCAGAAAAGGTTCGTTCCAGAATGATGTGTTGCAATGGAACTTTTTGGCCTCTGATAACTCCGGTAATTTAAGCGTGAGGAAGTTCACGCATGCCTCAGCCATGTTGCTGTGAGCTTCGCTTAGAATTTCAGAAGCAGACTCGGACCGATAGAAGAATTCCAGGAATGACCCCTCTGTAAGCGCGTGTCCTTGTGCGTTGGGATAGATAGAGATATAGCCTCTGGCCAGGTCTACCATTTCCCCCATTTTCATTTTGGAGTCAGGGGACAGCGAGCGCTCTATTAAAGCCGCTAGAGCTACGCGTAGATCTTCTGGTGGCATTGAAGACCATTGAGCTGCTACAAGCAGGGTAAGAACCTTCCAGCCGACATGTCCTTCAACAGAGTCGTCTTGGTTTCTCATATAACCAACATCGTTTGTGTAGGCAATGTCGCCTCGCCAGGAGAATTGTGTAAGACTCTTCTTGACTGCATTCTTGGTCGTCTGCTTGCCTAGGGACTCAAGCCATTCGTTGGCTACTCTGAAGTTTCTACCCCCTAGATTCGTAGAAATCCATAATGGAATTGCTTCCCTGAGTGCAGGATCTTCGTAGCAGAATCCAGCCAATCGTGATGGTCTGATCCTACGTACGCTCGCAATCGTCGTTGGTCTGATAGTCGAGGACATGAGTAATTGCACAGATAAGCTTGTACTTGACTTACGTATCGTGATCCGTTCCAATTAAGTCATCGACTTTAGACTCAATGAAGGTCTGCATCTCTGCGACTCGAGCGGGAAGCTTGTACACAACCGCCATATCCAACTGAAATGAGTTCTTGTGGTGTCCATGATAGGCTTCACCACCATCTGCCAAGAAACAGCCCTCGCAGAGATCAAACCATGGCTTAGGCTCGCATTGTGGATGCGGGCAGCGATGGTGCATGGTAACGTGCTCACCGCATATTTCGCAATAGGCCGGTTTCGACTTTAACCTGAACGCGTTCTTAGGGTGTTCAGGATGTTTCCCATCAAAATCTCTCAGAAAGCAAGACTGGCATACACTAAAACCAGGCCTAGATATGCAATCCAGGTGTTGGCAACGATAATGTATAGGTGCTTTCTTTTGACACACATCGCAGTAGGCCTCATACGGAGATAAATTGCCATCTTCTCGGTTGAAGTACAACACGCCGATTCCATTTGGGTGGTCGCCCTGTAGATCATGGATAATCTTTCGGAGATTGCAGCGGATGGTCTGTGAGGCCTCACTGAGTCCATCGACAATCAAAAAGACGTATTCGATATTCGCTATCGCCTTGCTGATAAACACGACGAGTTCAGCGCGGGTAGGCTTTCGCTTCGCGGTGGAAGTCTTGTGATAGTAATTCATCAGCTCAGTAGAAACTTTATATGGCTCAAGCGTCCCTGGATCCTTTCGCAGAAGAAGCTGATTTAGCATGCCACCAAGTAACTGCTCCAGCCGTACAACAGGGTCTCGCTCGATATACATGCTGATGACATGTCGTCTACCGCGAGCATCAAACAAGCGTTGTCCTGTTTGGTAGGCAAGATAAGTCTGCTATTGTCATTCTACTGAAACCGAAAAGATTTTGTGATGAACACACTTTTCCAGATCCTACTGCTCCGTAGCATTCAAGATGGGAGACCCGCTCCTTTTCCCAAGCCTGATAACAATCAGACTGAAAGAATATATGCCCGACATCCACTACGCGAGAGCGATCGATGTTGTCTGCCTCCCACTGCTTGAAATCGACATGTGAAAGCCATTCCATCAGCTGAGTAGGAGAGAAGGCGGGATCTGTTGGTGCGTTGGAAACCCTTCGTACATTCAACTACTCACTCACATACCGTGTCGACGAAGCACCCTTTCTTGGGCCTCCGGCAGAACTTCTCTAAGGGCGCGAACGACACTACCGTAAGCAAGTTCTCTACGACTCTTGAATTTCACCATCCCAGAATGATCTTCATTCACAGGAATCTTGTGCTCCATTGCGTCGCTCAATCCTAACAAAGACCCTTCCTTACTAGAAAGCTCTAGGTACGGGCCATTTCGAGTCCAACGCCCATCGTTGCCCTTCAAACTTTAGCGACTGTCATCAAATTGGGTAGAGATATTTACTTTGACCAACTGTTTCGTGCGCTTCATCTCATAAAAGCTGTACACCCTCCTTTCTCCTAAAACATTCTTGAACTTACGCAGTTCTTCCCCAAGAAATTTGTTGCTCGAATCAATCTGGCCAAGTAGATCCAATCTTGGGTGATCCTCATCCACCAGCATCTTGCGGATCTCATCAACGACCAAGCCTCTGTGCGGAGTTCCGAAGAAAAGGAAAGCCTCAATGGCATTGTAAAGTGGCCGGTCGATTGAATGCGCCTCGATCAGTGTCTATTGTGGCTCATTAGGTTCTATTTCGCGCCGTTCACCAAGAGTACTCCAGCGCCTGTAGGGTATAGAATTGTGAAGTGACTCACGTTTGCAACAATTAATCCGCCAAAGCTATGTGCCACGAAAACGATAGGTCTTGTACGTTCCTTGATGTCGTAAGTAAGGACACATATGAATTATAGTACAATGATGTAGGAATGATTTCGGGACGTTCAGAGGAGGACATACCTCTTCAGTCTGCCGCACGTTTCTGAGCTGCTCATGAAGATCCATGCAGTAGTCGCTGAGACGATTCATGTTTTGGCTGTCCAGCTTAGACTCGTAGCCGTATAACATGATTCGGCATCGTGGAAAGGCTTTTGGCAAAGCATCTTGAACCCACATGAAAGTGGCGCCTTCCTGTGTGCTGGACCAAGATCCATAAGCATGGCCTCCAATACCACTAAGCGCAATGATACTGTGAAGTTATTAGCGCGTAAGTTGTCTAATAGGATACAAGCCTGTACGTACTCTGCATCTATGCCTTTTGTATCATCTGGTCTATTAAGTGGGGTAAATCCGTTGAAGTTACGATCAAACTCTGCTACTATATCGCCTTGTAAGGGCACCGATTGTGATGTCGTGGGGTCTGCAATCAATCGCGACAGGAACTTGGGGGTGTCGATGAATTTGACAAGAGCCACAGTATCTTCTCCTAGCGGATGGCAGGACGGAAACAAATCGATGTGTTTGACGATTGCATCACTCTCATCAGCGGTGAGTGCGGCTGAAATCGCGCTCCTCAAATCTGCTCCAGAAAAGTCAGGTGCATCCTCAATATGGACACGATAAACTGCAGCTCTCGGCATGATGGCTCTTTGTTTATCAATTGGTCTTCAACATGCGAATTTCGAGTTTTCGAGAATGGTTGGCATTGTATGAGACGTCAAAGTATGAGAATAAGTGATGTGGGGTGAACACTGAGGATCTAAGCCTACCATGGGTAGTTTTAGTGTACGTAAGACAAGGACGATAAGGTCTCATTAAAGGTGATCTTTGCCTTCGTCAAATCCGTACAACAACACATTGTGATCGGGTAGCTGATAACAGCAAACGTTGAACATTGAGCGCGACGTCAGCCTACATTGACCGGTCTACTATTAATACGACATTTCCGGTGAACGATTATGATATGTCCGGTGACGACGATCGGACCAGGCTGATATTTGAAGCACACTCTTATTGGTACAACCATGTGCCACCAATCATCGAAGGCCCAATCAAGTCACGTTCTGTAGTGTAACAAAGTGCGGTCTTTCCTTAAGCGTTGCTTTTTACGGTTAATCATGCAACTTCCAGATTACATGTGGCAATGTGCATACAGCCCATGCGTTTTGATTCGACGCCGCCGGAATTCCGGAGACCCCCAACAATTCCGAGTCCACAAGGTGCTCGCCCAATGATACACCTCAAGACATCCGAAGGACCATGAGGCTGAGACAAAGAACAGGGTGTTCAGCGCTCAAAGAATTGACAGGAAAGGAGGTCTTTCTCAGCGCGAGTGTTTGTGCTCTAAGCCTCAGGAACTGCTCCTCAAAATAAAGGGGCAGCAGTCTTCACGTTTAAATAACGGTGATATCTTCGTTCTCTTTGCTCCATCGATCTTTCGCTCTCAACCCTTACACTCGTTTATCCAGCCTGCTGTTATCGCCATGCTGTGGTATCTCTTGCTTGCGTTATGCGCTCTGTTTCCTGATTGGGCGCTCGGAAAGCCGAAGGGCAATCCGACATCCAGCCTCGCACCGCAGCCTACAATCTGTGGTGATGTCATTCGACAAGCCCAAAACACATCAGAAAATTCGGACAGGACGTTCGGATCCGTGGAGGTTTTCCGGTGCCTCTCTAGTGTCCCATTCAACCCCGCGGTTGCTTCTCGCTTCGTTAGATATTTCAACGACAGCCTCCAGTTTCACAGTGCACTCTCCTATCTAAAACAACCTCCTCCAGGATATCAGCAGCCTGGGGTGGACCTCGTCCATGATTTAGGAGTTATTCAGAGCAGGATCGATAATTCACAGTTCCGAAATGAGTACGAGTTCGAAGAGGCCATTCAACAGGTCATATACTCCGCTCACGACAAACACATCGGATTAGATGCTGGCTTACTGTCTGCGTTTCGTTACCACAGCCCTTGGAGCATAGTTTCATTGTCATCGGATGGGATGCAACAGCCGAAGCTATACCTTCGTCGTGAGTGGCCCAGTCAGAGTATCGCGATAAAATTTGTTCTTAGCTCTAACATCAGTTTAGAGGATGTCGAATACGTGTACCATTCTAAAGCCATTCACTGGGAGCCCTCGCCTATCGAGATGATCAATGGTCACAATGCGGAGGAGTATTTGACCAGTTTCGTCAGAAAGCATTCGCCGGGCAACCTCGATCCGCACGCAGATTGGAACTCCTTGATGTATAGTCCCGCACAGGCCATCTCCGGTGGTGCAGGACTTCTGCAGAGCTTGGTACTCTATCCTGGCGATACCATCGAATTGATGCTCGAGAACGACACGGTGCTCGGCCCGTTGCCGTTCAAAGCACTGTACATGGATGGTGGACCGACCGGCCCACTGGAGACTGGTGGAGACTTCTACAACTTCTTCGTTTTGGGTTATTACCCGGAAGGATTTTACGAAGAGAAGATTAAGCCCTTATTGGATACTAAGGAAGACGAACCCGAAGACGAACCCGAAGACGTGAACGACGGTGGGGAATGGACGGATTGGGAGCCGAAGGTGTCATCAGGACCTCTGCCGAGCGGGTGGACCGCGGTAGACTCAGCATGGCCTAGCCCGAATCTGCTACAAGCTGGCTTTGATGATGGAACTGCCGCAGTCGTATCTGGTAAGTTTGGTTCCACCTAAAACGTGAGACTGCGATGACTCATCAATGCCTAAGGGTACTTTCTGAATGGGACCGATCTTGCTGTACTGAGTATACCGACTTTCCAAGCGGAGGGCTATCAGATTAATGGGTTCCTACGCTCTATCGAAGTATTCATGGAAGAGAGCATCCAACGGAACAAGAGTCAACTTGTCATCGATCTACAACGAAATGGTGGTGGATTGACCACACTTGCTGTTGACACTTTCAGATATGTGGGAATTCACTGAGAAGTTACAAAATAGCTCAATGCTAACTTAATCAGTTATTCCCAGACAAAGAGCCCTACCTTGCAACGAGGATGAGGGCCCAAGATCTAGCCAACGAGCTCGGCCATCTAACCGATGACATGTTTCGCACCTGGGACAAAGATCCGAATAACAATCTAGCAGAGATTTACTATTTCTCGTCATCCGAATGGGTAGCGAGTAATCGGATAAATCCGGAAACAAATCGCAGCTTTGCCGACTGGGCCGAGTTCTTTGGACCCGTGCAAGCAGCCGGTGATAACTACACACGTATTGTAAGTTGAAGCGCTCGCCTGGTCAAGTACCATCACTGATCTTATCCTCGCTAGCAATCGTACAACTATTCCGATCCCTACTATGACACGGATTCTGTTGCATTCCCAGAAACGATCCATATTGTGTATGGATATACCGGGAATCGTCCCGATGACATGAAACAGGCATTTGCCGCTGAAAATGTGACCATCGTAAGTAAACGCCCAAATGGTAGAAACCTATCAACTAAGCTTCGATGGTAGCTCACGGATGGTCTGTGTGACTCAGCATGTGCGCTCTTCGTTGAGATGTTGCGATCTGATGCCGGGGTCAGAACAGTTGCGGTCGGTGGTCGACCAAGTCATGGTCCGATGCAAGCCACTGGCGGTACACGTGGAGCGCGTGTGTACCCATTATCTGACTTAGACGACGATATGGAGAATGCGAAGGCCTTTGCAGTCAATTTGAGTCAGCCAGTCACTGCGATTCCCGAGCGAGTCAATGACATCTTCACCTGGTCAGCGACAGTAAATGTACGTGACCCCATTCGCCTGGGTCAAGATGTACCGCTTCAATTTGTCTACGACGCTGCCGATTGCCGAATATACTACACTAAGGATACGCTGTTCAACCAAACGGCCTTGTGGATGCTTGCTGTTGAGGCGATCCAGTCGCCAGAAAGACTGTGCGTTCCTGATTCTACCGCGAAAGAGCCTCCTACTCCTACGCATCGCCTTACGGATTCATCCACCGCCACTCCAACCTTGGATCCGTATCTTGATGAACAGCTCAATGAGGATGTTATTGAGCTAGGCAAAGAGGGAACTCAAGGATTCAACAGACTCGAGGTAATAATACAAACCACGGGCAAGAAATGTAAGGTCCCTAAAGATTGCGTGGTAATTGACGGTTTAAGGATGGACTGTGTGAAAGTACCAGGTTGTACCCCCGGCGATAGTAGGAAGGTGTGCGTCCCACTATGTACGGAGGGCAAGTGTCCTAGTGACAAGAAACTAACGGGAGGTTGTAACAGTATTCTCACAACTAATGCACAAAGGCCTTATTGTATGCCTAAGATAGATTGCGAGTCTCATCTCAGAGCACATGGTAAATGAAGCGACTGCACTTGAGTGGCCGCTGCAAACGAAAAGGCTGGGGCATTGGTAACAAACATCTGACGGTCCGCGATGATGCTGTACTAGAAATGACAATACTTCACCCTTTTCTTCCATTGCTCCAGGACTCAAGTGTTGTTGAGTTTCTACAAGTCTTAGAACATGTCAAATGTACTAGTACAAGATTCACTCGGTCATTCCGCCAATGAACTTTGAATTGCACGCCATGGTGTAATCTATCTCGAACACCCCTTTACCCCCTACTTTCATGTGCATCATCGCGGATGTGCGACTACCAAGTATCTGACATGGCCAGGCTGTGAATCACATCGAATGACGAAAACACCACGCTTTGGTGGAGATCCTTGATCAGCTGAGCCTTCAGTGGCAACTCCACTGCACGCCTGGGCGTACTGCATAGCCAATAGTGTACGCTTAGCCAAAGCAAGTGTACTGCCCCACCTTGCCACGTCAATCATGTGGTACAAATCATTCGGTCACATTTGAATAACATCCCCGCGATGGAACGTACTTCTTCTACCCTCCACACAGGTATTGACCACGATTTGAATGTGAAATGACCCCCAATACTGGTGCATTTGGGTATGATAACGTGTTTTCCTGATAGAAGTAACAGTGCTAATCTGAACTTGGATTATATAGTGTTCCGTTCCCAGAAGAACTTCAATTGAATTTTGAACTCGATAATGTCCAAGATGTCAATACCAGGAAGATCATGCGACTTCCAGGCCAGCCTGACGTACGAGTCGATGATCACCCTGGCTTATGGAAGCATCTAGAGCGAGAGTTCTACCCGCCGGATCTGGAAAAATTAGCACCTAGACTGTGGTTGATGTCCATGCAGTCCAGCGCTAACATATCGACGCTTCATCGACAAAAAGTGAAAAATCGCCAAGTGTTGGTCACCGAAGACCCACAGCTGCACCTCGTTTGGGTTGCTGATCGGATTTTCATCAAGCCACTTCCTCCATATCTTCTGTCCTACGCCTTTTGGTCGAACTATCTCCACGAAAGTGGATGTAATACGACGTTGTGCAATTCATCGGACGGCAAACATGTCCTCCAACGACAACGCCTAATACCCTCAATTCTCGGGTTTCTGCGCACCTATAAACATCTGATCAAACACGAGTCAGATTTTCGTATCGCCCAAGACGAACGTTTGATCTCCCCTGATATCACATGGACCGGGTTCAGCGACCTGATGTCAAACGTCGCCATGACAGTCTCTGACGTGGACGTTTCCGATCGCTATCAATACGGTGAACTACGTCTTACTCGGCTAAATTTCTACTGTAAAATCTTTTTACGCAAATTCTATTTTCGCCGACGCTACTCCCAATACGGTTCATATTTCTCTCAGTTCTTTGCTCCGTTGTTGTTCATCTTTGGGATGTTCAGTGTGGTACTCTCAGCCATGCAGGTGATCGCGGCTAGTGATACCTTGCTTCTGGCCGATGCCGATGCCGATGTCAAGTGGCGGGGCTTCTGGCAGTTCTGTAAATGGATAAGCATACTAGTAGTAGGATTGGTGATGGGTACCTCCATCGTGTTGGCACTTCTTTTCTCTTATCGATTCGTTGGTGAATGGGTTTATGCTATCAGGGATAGATCCAAGCGGAAGACGGGTCGGAGAGCAAAGGCGAGGACATCAATCGTGTAAAACGAGGCTAAACCAAATATACAGATGCAGCCCTGCCCGTTTATCGTACCTCTGATAGACAACGCATGGCTTTTCATGCCTTTGTAAGCCTTGTCTCACCGTCTCCAGATTTCACGAACTTGCTAAGCGATTCAGTGCCATCGTTTGAAGGATAGCACTATATTTCGTAGATTGATACCGAAAGGTCAAACCGATCATGAAAGGCAGAATTCTAACCATCCATGTTTGAACAACCCACAGTGCAAACACATTACAGGCTGTACCCCCACGACCATCCCTCCCTTCCACTTCTCTCCCCTATAACGGCTCACTCCCAATCATCCCACAAACCTTCTTCCTCCCCGTCTTTCCCAACAAACCAGCTTTCGTCAACGTCCGTCCCATTACTCGATGTCGACCATTGATCCGGATCGGTGCTGTTGCTAAACAGTACCATAGCATTGCTCCCAGCAGAAGGACCGTCCGCCGTCCACTGCGGTCCCTCCGCCCCAATGTCAACCTTCCCATTCTTGAAACACTTCGTAAACCCAACCTTGTACTCTTCATACATCTTATCGTACTTTTCATCCCATTGATCGGCCATGGCATCATGCAGACTGTTGACTTGGCCAATCTGGTGCAATTGCGCCCAAGGCTTGTAGCACGGGATTGCAGTTCCTTTGCATGACTTTAGCACAAGCAGTGCGGCATCGATGCGCTTGAGAAGTTTTGGTATAGGGAATCCTGCCAGTGTGGTCTCCCCGGAGTCGAAAGCATTCTTTCCGTTTAGTGGGGCCGGAGCATTAGGGTGGAGGTTCTTCATTTGGACGCGGTCGTTCGCTAGGTTGTACAGTTCGTGCGCGTTTTTGTGGCAGTGCACTGTGTATGAGATATCGTAGCCTTTGCCGACGAGGCGGAGGGACTTGTATGAGTTGACGAATTTGCCCTTGGGGTGGTTGCCGTTGATTGTGTTGACTGTAATTAGAGAACGTTAGTAACTTGCTCAGATACGTAACATTGAAAAGAGACTCACAATTGAACGATGCGCCCTCCCAAAATTCCACGTTGGCATACTCATCGGCATCGTTGTTCTCTCTTTTAGTCAGGTCTGCATCTGTGATTGGTATCTTCCTGCCATCAAAGTCGGCACGTTGCTTCATCCCCGCCATCTCCAAAATCGTAGGCGAAAGGTCAACGTGAGCAGTCACGATTGACGTTTTTCTTCCCGCCGGAACACCTGGCCCACGGATGATGAGAGGTACGTTTGTGTCTTCTTCGAAAGAAAACTTTTTGCCAGCTCCGAGACGGTGCTGTCCTAGATGGAATCCGTTGTCACTACTGTAGATGATATATGTAGTTTCGAGCTTGCCGCTGTTCTTGAGAGTGTCATAGACGTCCTCTACAATGTCGTCAACGGTAAGAAGTGCTTCGGTGCGGGCTTGATAGTGGTCGTTAAGTTCTTTTTCCTGATTATCGTTCAAACGGTCGAGGTCCCAGACTTTATTGACGCCCGACCTCTGTTATTTCGTCAGGCAACTTCATTTCCTTAGAAGGAGAGTCCAAGCAAGGGATAACATACTTTTTGAGGATTGAAGTTGTCTGCGGGGGGAACATGAGCATTGGGTCGAGTACCCTTGTACTTCTTCTCCGGCACTGGGGGGCCATGAGTCTTCCCAGTCTCAACGTGCGGCGTAACCGGTGCAATTGCCAGAAAGAAAGGGTCATCTTTCTTAACAGCGTTCTTCAACCACCCGGAGGCGTAGTCACCAACCTTGGTCGTGGTATATTGGCCTTCGAACGACTTGTCAATCTTATTCGGGTGGTTCCAATTGCTTGAATTGACGTGCTGAAAGGAAGGATTATAGTACTGATACGTCCCTGGTCCACATAGAAATTGCTGCAAGCTTGACTTAGCCACTTCAAAGCCTGGACAGCCCTCGGTTGGAGCGCGGCGCAATACGTACAGCTTCGGTCCATCCTTTCGCGGTCATCTTTTCAATTCCATTTTCCTCGCTCATTCCATTGTACAATTTGCCCGAATAATACGTCTTATACCCATGCTCCCTCAGCCAAATCGGGAGATATTTGTTGTTCAAGCCTCGCTCTACGAGTTTAGTCCAACCGCCCCATTTGCCACTCACGCTTGTCACTTGGTGGTTGTGTGCATGGAGACCTGTCCAGATACTAACGCGTGCGGGACAGCAGAGCGCGGTCGGTGCGTAGTGTCGCTGGTAATGAGTGCCTTCATTGATGAGAAGCTTTTGCACCTTGGGCATGTGGCTGAGAGAGTCCATGCGCTGGTCTTGATCGTCCGTGAGGATAAAGACTACATTGTGTTTCTGCCCTGCTACCGCAGTATCAGGAGCTTCTTGCGTGTTTGCGGCGGTAGTGTTTTCTTGCGCAAATGTGGCGGTAGCGTTGAAGAGTAAAAGGATAAGTGCTGTGGAAAGTAGCTGACGAGCCATAATTAATGAAATTTTAGAGATAGCCACACCAAATGAATCTTGTCAATGGAAACACTGATGAAAACATGCAGATGCTTCTTATATCTCTGCTTCATTGCGGTGGTAGTCCGAACCATAAGGCATCCCAAGCAGCCTAAAATGTAAGTAACCAAATATACACATTGAACGGCTTCTGGATCGAAAGATCATTTTCGCCCCTTTAGCTGACGAAATTAGTATCCAGGTACTGGGAACTTGGTCTTTCCAACAGTGGGTTCATGCAGGTCGGGCGAATAAGGCATAGTGCCCGTGCGTGTCAGCTGGGCATGGTGGGCCTGGAAAACCGCTGCCCCAACTAGGAATGTTTGCATAACGTTAGAAAGAAGATCGCGTCGGAGCACCCGTACATAGCTATAGGTAAGGCTGCAGCACAGCCATAACTACCAAAGATTACTTGGGTTGTACATGCCCGCTCTCACTAATTTCTCAGTAAGGTAATTATGCAAAATCAATTCCCTCGCTCACCGGAGTAGAATCTTCCATTAGCTTTAAGCGCTCTCCCAATCGGAAGCTGTCAATACCGAGTGCCAGTGATTCTACTTGGAGAGGCTCTGAGCTAGCCTGATCCGAGCTTATCTACGGGTGAAGTAGCTCAAGAGCAACGTCAAAACATCCCACCCTGTTCTGTCTTGGATATAGTTGGTGTCGTCTCCAGTGTCATAGGTAATCTAATGTCCGTTCAGCTTTGGCCAAATGTTGACATGCTAACTGAGTATTAAGCGTTGGCTGGGCCATCATGGGCTTAGATTCATACTCGCCGGTATGGAGAATATAGAACTTGACTCATTGGAACGACACTGGATCAGACATCTCATACATAGTGAGCTAATTGGGATAATCTGTTGATATAAAGTTACTGGTTTCGTACTTGGGGGGTTGAAGTTGAGGCAACCTGAATTGGTGGATGGTGTTCCTGTCCACTCCGTCAGGAAAGTTGTAAAGAACCACACCACCTGCATCTTTATCGACCAGGCTCAAGTCACTAACTTCACAGATAACACACACGAAGAGACCACGCACACGATTATATCGATATGAACTAGAAAAGGGTATCTCCGCCCAGCAGTATTCCCATCCATCCCAAATGCCACCACCCAATTTTCCCCCACCCTCCACCCATCCGAAAGCGCTCTGCCCGGACCAGCCACCTAAGCCTCCGGGCGCACACTCTGCGGATTATGAAACACATCCCCGGATCAACCACCCCTTAATCCTTTCCAACCTCTCCAAATTATCCCCCAGTACATCTTCGGCCCATCCTCCCCCAGCGCCCGATCCACGTACCCCGCATAAGCCCCAAGATCATGCCCCAGCGCATCCGTAACGACCTTGTTCAAGCGAGTCAGGAAATCGCGCATGGTGTCGTCCACGGCGCCGAAGAGGTTGACGGCGTAGGCTTGGTGGTAGAAGAGCGCGTTACGGTGGGCGTACGCGGTGGCGTCCGGCGCGACGTCGTTTGTGGCGCCGCCTTCGAGGTCGAAGATGAGGAACCAGGCGAGGGTGCCTTTGTCGGATTCGTCGACGTATTTGAAGAGGGTGTCGACGGCGGTGTCGGACAGGAGGTCGTCTGCGGTGTACGCGAGGGATTTGGCGTAGAAGTGGGATTGGATGCCGCCGGCGAGGTCGAGGGCTGGGTGGAGTTAGTATCGGGAGGTTGTATGGGAGGGAGAGATGTGAGTGGATGTGGGAAGGCGCACCTAAGTCTTCTGCCCAGTGCCCGACTACACCGAGCCAGTCGTCTAACACGATGACACTCTCGTCAGCGTCGGGGAGTCGGCTTGAGATGTTCAAGCTGTCGAATTCTTCCTGCGGACCGAAGTACGTGCCCGTGACCACGACGCCAAGTTCCGTCATGATGAACTGCGATGCAAACTTGCGCGAGAGATCCGGATCCGAGATGAGCTTCTGCCACTTCTTGAAGGCAGTCGCCTTATCCTGTGCGTTGCCAGCTTGGATACCATAGCTGTACAACGTCGTCTTGTCAGGCTCGGCCTGCGTCCTGACCTTGAACTCGGTGATGATGCCGAACCCTGCTCCTGCGCCCTTGAGCGCCCAAAATACATCGGCGTTCTGGTCCTCCGATGCGCGGACGACGGATGAGTTGGCGAGCACGACTTCAACTTCTTCGACGTGGTCAAGTGCTGATCCCCACATGCGCGAACTGGGTCCGAGACCTCCGATGGTAGCATGTCCTCCGATGCCGACTTGTGGGCAAGTGCCATGGGCCATGGCTCGGTTGCCGTTGTCGTGAAGGCGCTTAGTAACGTCGTCGAGGAGGGTGCCGCCTCCGATGGTAGCTTGCCACGACGTCTTATCCATGCTAAACTGCTGGAAGTTCTTCATATCCACGACGATGGAGCCATCCTCACCGCCAATACCATAATTCGCATAGCTGTGCCCACCACAGCGGGGTTGCACTTTGATGCTGTTGTCGACGGCGCATTTGACGATAGCGGCGACTTGCTCCGACGACCTGGGGTACGTGACCGCGGAGGGATTCACAGGGATATCGAGATTGTACGGCTTTACGTGCGACAGCTGGTATCCGATTGTGGATTGTCCTGCTACCAGGCTCTTGTCGTTTCCTACTGCAGAGATTAAGCAGCTCTCCACCGCGCTTGGTTTGTTGCCCATTGCGACGTCCTTCCGGCGCGGGTTGAAGGTTGAACAAGGGCAGGAGTGCGGAAGCGGCAGCACTCGTAAAGATATGCTGCTGGCGGAGGCTTCAGCTAACAATAAGCAGTTTAGTTGAAGAGCGGTGTAGAAGATCCCGTGAATTCAACTCGACACCTGCAAACAGGATCGTTCGAGCAATACGCACGATCGCGCGATGTGGTAGTTGTTTCCAACTCTTGCGGTTGCAGTTTCCAGACCTCTATGCTCTTGTGCGAAATGGCCGTGGATTTACTAGCAATGGGCTCAAGAACAGAACAGAAGCAAAACAGCAGCGAGGGACGATTTCCGCGGTGACTCCCAAACATTCACGACATTCCGCAAGTTTTGTACAAACGCAATGCCGCCACACGTACAGTCGCCCAAGCGGGACCTGCAGCCAAGCACTTCTAGTAAACCCTCTGCCAATTGCACGAGTACCCTCCGCCTTGCCCATGGCGTATGAAACAGTGCTCGAAATCCAGAGGCGAAAACGTGGGTATGGTCGTAGGCTGCCCCATGTCAACGGGCATAACGGCGTGCTGCCAAGACACGTGTATGAACGTTGAGTGGTCGCGCTCGGGCGCCTGTGGACTGACCCAGATTGCATGCCTGCTCGCAACCCTGCACGGAGACATGTCATGTGGCGCAGCCTCGCCGGAGGAATACATGGTTGTTTGCGCATTGCAACCTTCCGAAGGAGGGCAGCGAAGGAAGTCGACAGCCGTGTGGAGGACGAGGTTCATCTCCGCAGTGGTACGTGCGGGTGATGCATGCAAGCGCTTTGCATGGAGGGAGGGTATGATGTCATTCGCATCCTGCGTATTTGCTGTTTGACTCGACTTGATCCTGTTCCTGGCGGATTAGGTTGTATATAGCCATTTCGATTAGTTGGTTTACCGGAAAGGTCTTGGTGCAGGGCTGGATGCAAGGCTGCTTGATCGCTATTCGCTCGCTGGGTGATGCCCTCAACGCTTCGAGCATATTCACGATGTCGAATGAAGATTGGAATTGTAGGCGAGGGAGAGGAGCGGGAAGGACTGGCATTATATAGAGGATTGATGGAGCAGATAGCTAGCCTGACATCGACCCCAAAGTCAGGGACTATAATAAAGTAAGGTCACAAATAGTCAGGAAAAAGTGCATCTCTGAATTTCGGACGACTGCAACGACTATTCAAACTCGGTTATTTGAACTCTCCGAGCCTTGCTTTTCATTAGGTACCATATTCTCCCAGCCTATTCAGTCGCAGCATACATTTTTCTAATACGACGAACAGAGTCTACCATCTAGCAGACATCAACCACAGCCCTGTTAAAATCTTGATCTCTCACATCTCCCATCATGGGCTGCACCTCCTCCAAGCCCTCCCACGACCCAAACGCCCAACAAGTCGGCGCAGGCAACCCAGCCTACGACGCCTACGCCGCAGAGCAATACGCCAAGATGAAGAAGGACAAGAAGAAGAAGAAGAATAAACTGGCAGCGACAGGCGGAGGCATTGCTGCCATGGCGGGATGTTAGCTACAAACGTCTGGAAGTACTTGAGGACGGCAGTGGTTGTGCCGTTCGACGCGGAAGCGGCACGAATTGAATTATATCTCTCAAGCTTGTTGGTAGCAGGAGTTCTTGATGGGCGATTCGAGTTCCGAGAAGTAATTGGATCGCTGGAGGAACTATAATATTATTTTAATTACGAGGCCATCGTGCTGGGCGTAACACCGAGCGATGGTACCATATACAAGGAGCTGGAAAGTTTTTATCCACATGGTGCTGCGTCACACCGACCAGAGCCGTAATCATGGCGCCTACATCAAGCACCCATTGCTCTTACTCGAATGCAAGTCCGAGATACCCAACCGGATGCGCTGCCCACCGATCGTCGTGAAAGCCTCCACAAGCCACTCGTACCACACCTTTCGGTCGTCAGTCTGCCTCCACATGCTCACTTCGAGTTCGGAGTTCGAGGGAAGATGGATGGGCGTCTGTCCTTGTTAGCCTCATCTTCACCCAAGGAATAAAAACCTCGACATACCTTCAACGGAAAGAAGATTGGAAACCACGATATCATGTCCTTGCTCTTCGCATCCATGGTAACAGGGTTCGTGCTCAGCTCCACCGGACCTTGCGACCCGCTGTACAGCACTGTCTCGAAGTATCCCGCGAGACCGTGGCATACGCCCTGCTCTTGGATCGGGTACGTGACCTTGCAGTGGCGGAAGTTGTGTTCGTTTGCGCCGTCTCCACCAGCGAGGCCGCCGCCACCACCAACGGCGGAACCCCCGCGGCGGAGCGATGACTGGGCGAGAACAGTTGGGGGTTGTGGGTGTGTGAATTCCCAAGCTGTGTGCACGAGAGGTTCGAGCGGAGGGTTCAGATCGAAGTCTCGCATCTTTCGGCCGTCGGATAGCTGGGGAGCGACTTGAGGCTGGTTTGGCATGATGGACAGGTAGTCGAATTGAGAGAACATTACGACCCAGGGGATCTCGAAGGCGCTCGCATCGCCGCCGTGGGTAGCCCGTGAGTAAACGTCGGCGTAGAGTTTGGGCGTTGCGATGGGCGTCATGTGCGCTGTGTAACTCGCTGGGATGGAGATGCCGTGGTCGGGATTGAGCACGTGTTGAACGCCGTCAAGACATTCGGGAGACAGCTCATTATCTGCAAAGCTGCCGAGCAGTTCGCTCACTAGGATGTCCACGTTGCCGGATGTTCCATCAGGCTTGACTGGTCCTTTCCAAGCGCGCATGTCCGTCTTCACGACAGTGACCTGGCCACCCCAGATATTCCGGTTATGACCCAGAAGCACCACATACGCATTGGGGTTCTTCTCGATGGCATAGACGCGAACAGGTACACCAGTGCGCACACTCGCATTCAAGGCACGAGTGACCAGCGGACCACGACCAGACCCTACCACAGCAATTACCACAGCACCGTCTTCGGAGCTTGTCGACTTTTGCTGGTCCCGCCAGTCCTCGAGGGCTCTGGCAATGGCCTCCTCGTACCACGCGTACTTGATGGGATCCTTTTCGAAGACCTCGTAGGTGATCGATTCAAGGTTGTCTGCCAGCGGCTGGAGAGGGCTCTGGAGGTAATCCTGGAAATTATCGCCGAAACGCTCGAGCTGTGTCGCAGGAGGCTGATTGCGCTGCATATAGCGCAAGTAACTCAAGTACGGCGTCGGGTCGCTACTGCTCTTCTTTCCAGCTTTCCTTGCTACCTGTGCTGCCTCGGCCGGAGTGGGGGCTGCACTCGCAGACGAGCCCGGACTAGGAGCATCGGCTGCTGCGCCGGGTGAGAGGTAGCCTGCGGAGTATTCGAACTCCGCTTCTGGGTCGTCCACACCAGGGATCGGGCCAATATCCGCGAGAAGAAGCCATGGCGTCGTCTTCAAACGCATGCAACGCATGATGAATAACTGTGATGTCTTGTGCAGTACCCAGCTGCCCTTCTCGTTGGGTATGAACGCCTTCGCTGACAGGATGAATAGCCGCACCGGCTCAGAGTACCATCTGGACTGCAGAGCCAGCGATGGAAGTTTCTTGGGAAGATCGAGAGCTGTAGACAGGTTAGCTATCAACCGTAGCGTGTGAATAGATCGGTCGAGCGTTGTTACAAATGCACTCATGGTGTGTCCCCCAAGCATGCGTACCACACATAAATCAGCTGAAAAGATATACGGCCGTTGATGGACGACCGTCAGATCCCTCGGTTTGGTGTAATGCATGGAGTAACATGCCATGAGATAAAAGTGCAACCATGTTCTCCGAAATGGGTGTCTGTAAGACAAAACAATGTGGTCTTACCAACTGATAGTCTGCTGTTGTATTTACAGATAGTGCGAATCGAGTTCCACGCATCCCAGGCAGCAAAGGAGTTAGTCGCCTGAGTATTGGCTGTCTGAGCATACTCTGGCCGCACAAATTGTGCTAGGTCGCCCAGTTCTTCTTCCTCGGAGGCCTTGGAGTAATCCACGGGCATTATGATATGAAGCTGAACATATGCTCCTATGGCAAGCGCCTCCTTGATCGCTCGCGCATACTGGGCGACACCATTGGTTCCGTTCGCAGCCCGCGGCCCAGGCACCACAAGAGTAACGACTCCGCAGAATGCTGCATATGCGACTTCCAAGTTGAAGACCTGTCGTGAAAGGTGCGCAATGACAGGGTCTGAAGAGCCAAGGTCTATCCAAGAGCTTGTGAATGCAATGAGCTGTGATATGAGGTGATCCGGCACCAGAGGGGTATCGACGTTCTCGAGCGCGGGTATTAATGGGAGCGGTTGTGCCTGAGCCGAGCCTCGGGTGGCATGTGTGTACGAGCTCAAGAGGCTGAGAACGCGCGAGTGGAAGTTATCGTTCGTGATCGGGGTCGTGAGCATGTCATACTGTGATGTGTAAGCATTTGCTTCACCTGCTCATATGGCTTTTCATGTGGTCTTGAAGCTATGTGTTGAATGCTAGAATTTCTCTAAGACGTCCACAAAATTTTGGCGCAGCGCAATATGCGCACAAGCTCTATAGAGAGAATGGGACTTACCCCGAGATCCTGCGCATGATGTACAAGCTCCGCCGTCACAGGCAGCGGTCGCTTCGTCTCGTGCTCTCCAATATAGAACAAGGGACGCGTTTCCTCCATGCTGTAGTCGGCCATGGTGGGGGCGGGGCGGAGGTAGGATGGCCGAACTGCGGTCAGTCGGCCTAAATTATCGATGCGGAGTGGGGAAGGTGAAGGTAGCGAGCAAATCGCAAACTCTGTCTATCACTACATGGTGCCTGAAAGAGTTTGTCGTCCCTCGCGCCAAAATCGGTGTGCTGTCCCGTCGCGTCGGCCTCGGCGCAGCGTCCTTTGAGAAACTGAGCAGACCCTGCAGGAAGGCCCTGAAGCTGTGGACCCTCAAGCACTCTCGCGACAACCTTCAAGTCGACCACACAGCATCGAGTCACGATTTGAAAAACACATCCTAGAGCAAGTCGCCCTGCGATCGACTCATGAAGATATCTACCTTTTCAACAAGCTCATGACCAATCTTGAACTGGGCAGAGCGACCCTAAAGCTAATGGTGGCACGTGATGCGCCTGCCTAGCTAGGACAGTTGGGGTTAGCTAACGTTCTGCCGTCGCAAAAAAGTTGAAGGACATCATCATCGCCGCGATCCCCGCCACATCTGCAAAATGGCGAGTAAGCGCGAGCTCACGAGCGAAGACGGCAACAGCAGCACCAAGCGCGCGAAGATGGAGAACGGAAACGGCAAGCAGGACGCCGGGGGCAATCCTTACCTTGCCCACTGGAACGACGACAGTAACAGTAAGCCTCTGCGTGTTGACCCAAATGGCACTTCAGGGTGGTCGACATTGTATGGTGGAATCGCCTTGACTAACAATCGTATAGAAGCCAACTCCGCCGACGCGCTCTACAACTTCAAGCGCCACGCGACGACCTCGAAGCAAGCATCCGCCGCCGAAGATGGCCCGCTCAATCCCTTTACGGGCAAGTCGCTGTCGAACAGATATATGGGCATATTGAAGAAGCGGAGGGATCTGCCAGTCCACAAGCAGAGGGATGAGTTTCTCAAGCTGTACCAAGAAAGCCAGATCCTCGTCTTCGTCGGTGAGACTGGTTCCGGAAAGACCACTCAGATTCCCCAGTTCGTGCTATTCGACGACATGCCTCACAAAAGCGCGCAAATGGTCGCCTGTACCCAACCGCGTCGTGTCGCCGCCATGTCAGTCGCCCAGCGTGTGGCCGAGGAGATGGACGTGGAGCTTGGAGAAGAGGTCGGTTACAGCATTCGTTTTGAGGACAAGACGGGACCCAACACCATGCTGAAATACATGACGGACGGAATGTTGCTGCGCGAGGCCATGCACGACAACAACCTGACCCGGTATAGCACCATCATCCTCGACGAAGCCCACGAGCGTACGCTTGCGACGGATATTCTTATGGGTCTGCTGAAAGAGGTGGTTCTGAGACGCAAGGATCTGAAGTTGATCATCATGAGTGCTACGCTCGATGCAACGAAGTTCCAGAAATACTTCCACAATGCGCCGCTGCTCGCGGTACCTGGTCGTACCCACCCCGTCGAAATCTTTTACACCCCAGCACCCGAGCGGGACTACGTTGAGGCTTCGCTCCGAACAGTCCTGCAGATTCACGCGACCGAAGACGAGGGTGATATATTGTTGTTCCTTACAGGCGAAGAGGAGATCGAGGATGCTTGCAGAAAGATCAACTTGGAAGCGCAAGATTTAGTTCGAGAAGACGCTGCTGGACCGCTTGTTGTGTACCCATTGTACGGTACGCTACCACCCGCGCAACAACAGAAGATCTTCAGCCCCGCGCCTCCGCCTACCAGGCCCGGCGGACGTCCAGGACGTAAGGTCATCGTATCGACAAACATCGCCGAGACGTCGCTTACCATTGACGGTATTGTGTATGTCGTTGACCCCGGTTTCAGTAAACAAAAGGTGTACAATCCGCGTATCCGTGTTGAGTCGCTGCTTGTTTCCCCAATATCGAAGGCATCAGCGCAACAGCGAGCTGGTCGTGCGGGTCGTACTAGGCCAGGAAAATGCTTCAGATTGTACACCGAACAAGCGTTCAAGAAGGAGCTGATTGAGCAGACGTATCCCGAAGTCCTCAGGTCGAATTTGGCGAGCACCGTGTTGGAATTGAAGAAATTGGGTGTTGAAGATCTCGTCCACTTCGATCTAATGGACCCGCCCGCACCAGAGACGCTGATGCGCGCTCTTGAGGAGTTGAACTATTTGGCGTGCTTGGACGACGAGGGCGAGTTGACTGTTTTGGGGTCGCTCGCCTCGCAGTTCCCGCTCGATCCCGCATTGGCTGTCATGCTGATCACCTCACCCGAGTTTTATTGCTCGAACGAGATCCTGTCTCTCACTGCGCTGCTCTCCGTACCGCAGATATTCGTCCGCCCTGCTGCCAACCGGAAGCGCGCAGATGAGATGAAGGACCTCTTCGCGCACCCTGATGGCGACCATTTGACGATGCTGAACGTCTACCACGCATTCAAGAGCGAGGAGGCACAGGCAAATCCTAAGCAATGGTGCCACGACCATTTCCTCTCCTATCGTGCTCTGCAACAGGCCGACAACGTTCGCATGCAGCTCAAGCGCATAATGGAGCGCGAGGAGCTTGAGCTGATGTCGACATCGTTCGAGAACAAGAAGTACTACGAGAACATCCGGAGAGCGCTCGTCGCCGGTTTCTTTATGCAGGTCGCTAAGCGTGAGGGAAATGGCAAGACTTACACCACGGTCAAGGATGAGCAAAACGTCTTGCTCCACCCTAGCACCGTGCTTGGCCAGGACAGCGAATGGGTAGTGTACAACGAGTTTGTGCTCACCACTAAGAACTACATCCGCACCGTTACGTCTGTCAAGGCCGAGTGGCTGTTGGACATCGCTCCTAATTACTACGACATTGCTTCGTTCAAGAAGGGCGAGATCAGGACGGCATTGCAGCGTGTGGCTACGAAGATCCAGCGGAAGGAGCAGGAGAAGGGAAAACGATGAACTTGTGATGGCAGTGCTGAGCGCAAGAATCTCATACCCCACGCTACGTCAGTTGGTGTTCAAACCTCTGACCTGGTCTTGTAGAGCCAAGATACCCTGCTGCGGCATGTAAGACTTGGAGAACGGTGAATGATATTGGATGACTTTGGTTGATTACTTGGTGGGCTTATAGACTTATCTGTATGGCTGAGTAGCCTACGCTACAGATGAATGCAATTGTTAGCGCAGCGGAAGTGCTGCTACATTCGATAATCTAAATCTGGCATTTGAAGATTCCGTAGTCCCATGTTACTGTATTCGTACTTTTGTACTCCTGATGCTCTTCTTTTGTCGCTTGCTCACTAGACAAGACCGCTCAGTTTTAGCGTCGGCGTTTCGACTTCGCTACCTCCGACATCTCCAACTTTTTTTGTTGCGCGCAACAGCAACACAGCACAACATATCGCAATCCGCGTCCACACCGCAACATCCCTTCCACGGCCCTCACAATGGCGCCAATTGAGGAGCCCGACACCAATCTACTTCACGTCACGCGCATATCGCAATATGTGCCCCTCCCACCCACCAGCCTACACTCCGCCCTCCCCGCCATCAGCGCAGAAGTCTTCTCCCCCTCCTCCTAAGCTACTACCCTCCCGCCAAAGGCGTTGTCCTCGCCTACGAAGACGTCTCGCTCTCCTCCCAACCGCCCAAAACCGCCTCCTCATCCGCCAACAAGTCAAGTCGCAGACACGCCGGAGATGCAGACGCAGACGCAGACGACCTCGAACGCATCGCAGAGCAAGAAGAAGGCGTCGTCCTCACCCGCTGCGTAGACGAGTACATGGCGCCCTACGTCTGGGCCACCGCTTCGCTGCTTATCTGGCGGCCTGCTCCCAATAGTTACTTAGACGCGACGCTCACGCATCAATCTGCCACGCACATCACGCTCGCGCACCTTAACACTTTCGCTATTACCGTGCTCAAGGAGAGTCTGCCGGCGGACTGGACATGGCATACGGAGAAGGCGAATAAGAAGAAGAAGGGGTTTGATGGGCTAGTTGCGGACGAAGGCGGGTGGTGGATGGACGGGGAGCTGAATGAAATTAGGAAAGGGTTACCGATGAGGGTTAGAGTGCGGGAGTGGGATGTCAGGGGTGGGAAGGGGAAGGGCGTGTTGCGGGTGGATGGGAGTTTGCTTAGTGTTGAGGAAGAGAGGAGTAAGGTGGCTAAGAAGGCGGGGAAGGCGGTGGTGGGGAGGAACGCAAGGGTGACGGGGGGAGAGGTTATGGAGGTGGATTGAAAGGCTGCGAGGGTCTGTGGGCTATGATCAACTTAGAATAGGAGGGAGTATGGCGTCACGGGAACAACGAAGGAGCCATGGGACAAGCATGCCGAAAGACGCGCTTTAATACTCGCCGCTATGCGAGGCAATCGTGGGAGGATGGACGTGACAGGAGTCGAAAACGCATGAATGACTATGCATGTCAGGCCTGAAAACTGGGGTATATATCTATCTGCTCCGAAGAGCTCGGTTCTACCAAGACCCGATGCGCCACTTCGTTGTCAACTACAGTCGACCGTGGAAGGTCGAAATTTTTCTCTCATAGCTCCTCCTCAACATGCGCAATCGTCTTCGTCTCCAGCTCAAGTCATTGGTGCCCTCCCAATCATCTACGCACGAGCGCCTCCAAGATTTTAGCACATGGTTCACACAAGACCTCGGGATACCTTCACATATCCCCGGCTAATAAGCCTCTTCACAAGTAATCCTTCTTCCGCCCCGTCCGTGTATATTGATTGAGATGCCACTCCACGTCACCCTCTTTCGAGTCCAGCGTCCCGCTTCTTATTTCGAAAAGACGCATCGTCATTCTGGGGCCAACTTCTGCGAGTTCGACACTCTGGAACCCAGTGCGAACGTATACGTGGTGTCTTACTTCGATGCTGTCCTCACGGTTTACCTAAACTTAACGTCAGCGACTGAGATGCTAATGGTTCTCCAATTGTAAACTTACGAAGGTCACAACCCTGTTGCCCGTCTTGACTGAGCCGTCGCGCGGTGGAAATAAATGCTTGATTATCGTAGTAACACGCTCTCCAAGTTTTGATGTAAAGCCTTCGAAGATCAGGTGAGCTGCCATACGTCAGTGAAAGCGCGATGGTATCTGCTAGCATATAGCTTACGATATGATTCCGAAACCGTGCCTCTCGACGCATTAGGTATGTCCGAGCGAAGGACGACGTTGTGGAGGGAGAAAGATGCAGTTGGCCCATGAGGAAGATGCGAGATCGAGATAGCTGTCGGCGTACCGCGGTGCTCATGTACAAGCACTACATCCGATAGTCCGCTCGACTTTGCGCTCCCCACCAGGTTTCCCAATATCAAATTACCACGGTTCAGCCGTATGCTCGTCGGGAGCAGCAACCGTATCTCCTTTGCGAACGTGCTCAGTCTACTGGAAGGATCTCGGCTGGTCGTGACCAGAATGCGTGGATCTACAACCCCAGACAACTGTGAATATTCATCGTCGATTCCGAGCTCCTCTTCCACTGTTCGATCCGCGCGTGATTCGTCCTGCAATAGAGTCAGTACTGCTCTACATATATTGTGTCGGGACGCAACTTACGTATTTATAGTCCGCGCGCAAGTTCGTGTCCTCGGCAAGATCCTTCGTCAATGGACGCCCACTTGCCAAACTCTGTTTGAGCGCAGCGCGCTTGGATGCCAACTCTGCGTCTCTGAGAGTCAAGGCTCTTCGGTATAGGTAATCCCTACGCTCTCTTGCTTGTCTCCGGATCATAGTTGCGCTTGTAGAAGGCGTGAATTACAGTGCTTGATGCTCGTGGTATCTGGGTTTGACTGCGCTTGTGTTTGGTGAATTTATGGTACGTTCAAGTACTGCACCGTTCGGTCGTAGGGAGCACAGGTGGTGGCGTGAGGGGAAACGCTTCAGTGATGTTCGGTGGAGTCGCGATTGAAGTTCGCGACAAATTTACGAAGTAGTTGGTCCGAGCTTTGCGGACCAACTTCTTATCGATACGATGTAGGGCTGAACGCGCAACCTCCGCATCCAATCTTCCTCCTGACGTTAGAGGAAGCCAATATTCAACAGCTCTTGAGCATTGAATGAATCTTTTGTCCTCCTCAGGGGCAAATAGACACTGATATGTGATGCAGTTAACGTACAAAGTGACCGACTGCATTGCGAACACACTGTGCGTGTCTGTCTACTTGCACAACTGGCGGCTTCAGGCTCGGAGAGTTCTGGCGTCTAAAAGGGTTACTGTAATGATATCCTCAGCTCCCTCAGTGGCGAATTATGCCACTTGAAACGGAGGCGTTCAATGCAGTGGCTTCGGCTTACGCGCAGGCACATGCAGGGAAGCGAGGCAGTGCAGGTAATTTTTGCCTGTCAGCCTACCTATCTTCTTTCGCGCCCACAGGCTCTCTCGATCTTGTCTTCTTGACGCGGAACGGCGTTATCTTACAGCTTTAACGATCGGCGGAATATGATTTTGGAGCCACCCGAAGATCCAGGAAAATGGCGATACAAGGGCCTGCCGAAGTAGACTCGAAGGCACTTGACTATGACCAGCTAAACCGCGACAGTGCTTCCTTCCGACTCCTCATAGTCCTTGCGAAAAGGTCTAGACATGGATTCGTGCAGTGCGAGATGTTCCATACGACCACCGAACTGATGGAAAATGCATACACATGTCTTTCGTATGTCTGGGGATCCTCGAATGGCCTTTTTTATGGAACGATAACCGTAAATGGCAAAGAGGTGCAGATACACCAAAATCTCTACGACTTCTTGCAGGTAGCCCATCGCAAATACGTGGGCGAGCCCTTCTGGATCGATGCTTTGTGTATCGATCAGAGCAACGTTCACGAACGCAATCACCAGGTCTCACAGATGGGAGACATATATCTACGCGCGAAACAAGTTGTCGCATGGCTAGGTCCATGCGGTAGTCTAGCTTTCAATCCTCTGAGCTCGTTACGATCTCAAATCTCCCTGCCTGAACAGTCTGGCTCGAAAGCTCTGTGGGACATTGGAAGACACTGGGTCGGGCTTGTCTCCACGCGCTTTTCAATTGCCGACTCCAGCGATATTTCAAGGCCAAATCAGCCCGTGGATCTGGAGCCGGAGATACGCATTAGGTTCTTGAACGCGATAAGGCTCTACTGGAGTCGAGCCTGGATTACCCAAGAGTTGGCTGTGGCATATCGAGTGCTCTTATTATTCGGCCAGGAAGAGTTGGACTTGGCCGTAACCGGAGAAAACTCTCTCATAAATGCCCTGGAAGTCGAGTTGAGGCTTGCAGGAAATGCCACAGACCATCCAGTCTACGGCATTTGGAGGCTGGCAAATGATATGAGGTGGAGGAAAGCGGAAGCAAACGCAGGGGCCGATGCGATTTCACCACCTCGCGACACGCCGACCTTGCTCACCCTGTTAAGACAATTTCGATCTAAGCAATGCTTCTATGCACGGGACCGTATCTACTCGTTGCGCTATTTGTGTAATGAAGGACGATTCCTTGAGGTTGACTACGATTCGTCCGAAATCGATCTTCTCCGCCACGTGGTACAGATTTCTCAAGAACCTGTATGCTTGTGTTCCGCGCTCGCGCTATGTAAAGCTCTATCGACAGGATTCTCGAAACGTGTTCAACGCATCGATCGATTGCAGACAACGTGCTTACAATTCAGCCATATTCTGTCAGCACCTGCTTTCGCCCCCGGCCGATCTTGCAAGTCTTGCGGAATTGGTTTTAGGGGCGAAACGGACGAACTCATCTGCCTAAAGCTATTGTGCCCCAGTTTCAGCGGTCATTTGACGATACGGCCACGTACAGATCGCAAATACTCCGTGGGATACTGGGGATCGGTTTCAACATACGGCGACACAACTTTGCCTACAAGCACAGCGATACTCGTCCGGGCTATCAAACCTCATGGAGCGATCTCGATTATCTTCCGTATATCAGTGCGAGACCTGCAGAATATGTCGCCGATGATTGAGCATGATCAGAGGACACTGGGTAGTGACAGGTGCTTTTCTACATGCACATTTCGATTTGTGGATACCTTTGGAAAACAGGATGTGTACATATAAGCTTGACTTCTTCGGGGCGTCCAAAAGTAAGACGTCTTATCAAGACAACATCGGCGAAGGATTATTATGGATGTGAATGCGGAGGTTAAAGCCGTTGGGACAGTCCAAGTTTGTGCATTCCTAATCTATCGAACTAAGAGATCTTATTCCAATGCTCGACAGATCAATTTCTCGATACTCCCGTATCATAAATGAGGTTGAAGCAACGCAGGCTGGGTAAACTATCGGGAGCGCCAGCGATGACGCTTTATCCTGGCATAGCCAGCGGCGTCTAAAAGCATATTGATTGGGAAGCCCGGAGCCACGCTGCACGAGTCATAGCCCGATGGGTTTTCCCCAGGCACAAGATCGAAGGTTCTTGTGAAGTGTTGGAGGGAATTGACCACTACAAGCTTCTGCGCTGGCCGCTGAACCAGCGTCAGCGCTCGCGATTCTTCCGTGCCCGGTCCATAATGAGATCACTCAGGAGACCTCATATGTGGTAGAAGCTTGGAAGCGTAAAAACGCGCGCGGTTCCAAAAGTGGAATAGCGCTCTTGTACGCAATTATCCATGCACGAGCTTTAGCACTTGCCACGCGCCACGTCGCGTGACTCCAAAGGGTAAGACTTCGGTGGGCGCCTAATGAGGTTTCTACGCAGATGGAGGACTTCGGCCTGGCACTAAGCTGCGAACTCCCCTGCGCTCTGAACTGATTCCCAACCGTCCCGCAAATAAGCAGAAGCACAAGATCGGCCTGGCCCATTCCTACCTACGCCATCCCGCTGACGCCTTGCGTCTCGTATCATGCATACATAGTACGTATACGTGGTTTGACAGGCGGTTATGATACTGTGTACCCTTACGAACGCAGGTGATCATTCAATGTCGCTTTACGCGCGTTAACCGCTCCTGAACAAATTAATCGGCCCCCATTGAGAAAGTCGTTTGAGTATCATTTGCACCATATCCGGATGACAAAGCCCCCCACGTATAGTACCAGTAGTCATCACCCAATTACTCCCGCCTGTCAACCCCGCACTCACATTCCCACTATCACTACGGCCGCAATGAAGAGCTACAACGGCTGTTGGACATGCCGCTTGAGGAAGAAGCGGTGTGATGAGATACGACCAGTGTGTAGGAACTGCTCAACGCTGCAGATCACCTGCCATTTCGAGGAAGAGAAGCCACCGTGGATGGACAATGGTCTTGGGCAGAAAGAGAAAGCCGAAGAGGTCAAGCGCCAGGTCAGAAGTGCTGCCGCGCGGCGTCGCGGAATCTCGTCCTTTGATGTTGTGGAGCCAACCGCCATCGAGCCAACGCCAGATTCAAGTATTCGCACGACTTCTCCAGATACGCTACTTAGCACTGTGTCAACGTCAAGCAACGGCCATGCAGAACCCTGGGACAAGCTGGATGGGTGGTATACAAGCAGCTCACCTAATGGGAAACCTGGGGAATCCGAGCTCGACCGTCGCTTCCTGATGTTTTACCTTGATCATTTCTTCCCGTTCCTATTTCCCTTTTATAGACCTCTGCTGCTTGAGGGTGGACGTACCTGGATTCTGGAACTTGTTGTCAGTGATCAAGCTATGTGGCATACTACACTGTGCCTCAGCACATATTTCGTCTCAGTAACTTTGGATGGCACTGTTTCAGGACATAATGTATGCAAGACGCTTGCTTGGGAAAAACTGCTGAAGCAGCTGGGTGTGATATTTACGATGCTCCAACGCAATCTTCAGGCAGTAGGTTCAGCCAATACGCAAGACTTGCTAGTTAAGACAGCCCGGATTATGGGAAGCATTATCCAGCTACAACGGTTCGAGATATCGGTGGGAAACTTTGAGAACTGCCGGAAGCACCTCGGTGCGGCCAACTCGCTCTTTAGACAGATTTTCTTGGCTGCGGAGAACTTTATAGACGGCGGCGAGCTGCCTGATTTTTGCGATGTACTGGACCTTATGGGACATCCACTCTGGGCTATAGGGTGTCAACAGCGCGGGGCTTGGAATTCAGATCAGGCAGCTTTTCGATTCTACTCGGCGCTTCTCATAGTAGACGACATCATCGCCGGCATTTGCATGGGCGAAACGCCTGAATTGCTGCAGTATCACGCTCGACTGCTCACGAACGGCAGGGGCGCTGACGAGAAACCTCCGCTGAGCCTGGAGGACTTTATAGGCTGCGAGAACTGGGTCATCTTGCAACTGGGCGAGATAGCTGCACTCGACACATGGAAGAGATCTTATAAAAAGGCTGGCAAGCTTGACATGATGGAACTGGTTGCCCGCGCATCGGCCATTCAGCAGACACTACTCGGCAACCTCGCGCGCCTCGACGCCGCAATGGACACACCCCAGTCCAACCGGCTCGGCTTGTTCAGCGTCTACAACGATCAATTACCGCCTATGCCGGGTGGGTGCGCCGTGTTTGTCACGCGTGTATGGGCGCACGCCGCATTGCTCTACCTCGCCATGTCAGTCTCTGGGTGGCAGCCAGGGAGCGCTAGGATTCGCGAGTATGTAACAAGGGTTTTGGTGCTGCTGGAGAGGATGCCGGCGCCTGAGCTGCTTCGGACCATGGTGTGGCCATACTGTCTCGTGGGCTGCCTTTGCGAACCTGCTGAAGAGGTCCGATTGCGGGCTATGGCAGATGCGTTGGTCCCCCATCGACTTTTTGGAGCCGCGCGCAAAGCATTGGAGATTATGGAGAGCGTCTGGAAGGCAAGGGACGAATTGAATGTGGATACAGACTTTGCGGCGTGCGTCCGCAGCTTAGGTTACGTCTCGCTGTTGGTCTGACGGATGAATGCAGATGCGCCACCCGCGCGGCTTGTGGGTCCGGCCTAGGTCTTACTGTTGGGCTTTCAATGGCTCACGTGACTGACACAGCGCTCTGGGGGAGACTTCTGTTGGTCAGGCTAAAGTGCATTTGGAGGATGATGTCTGCGTATAAACGTCGTCAAGTGTCCCGCGAAATGTTGAAGCATTGCACTTCCAGCAACAACGAGCACGTTCTTGATCCCTCGATCACTTTCCGCCAGGTCTCACGACCACACCATGTCTTCTAAGCCCGTTGCCCTCATCCTTGGCTCAGGCCCGAGGGTTGGTGCCGCCGTTGCCAAAAATTTCGCAAACGCAGGCTATTCTGTGGCTATTACATCTCGCAAAGCTGCCGACGGGAAGGCTGCCGAGGGTTATTTGTCTGTCAAAGCAGACTTGTCCAATCCCTCGTCGCTCTCAGCCGTCTTTGATGCAGTCAAAGCCGAGTTCCAAAGTGCCCCAAGCGTCATCGTCTACAATGCCGCCGCCCTCACTCCCCCTGCGGGCGACGACCTGTTTTCTATTCCTACCGAAAGCCTTGCCACCGATCTCAACACCAACACCGTGTCTGTCTACGCGGCTGCTAAAGAAGCTATTAAGGGCTGGGAGACACTCACAGGGGACACCAAGAAGGTTTTCATATACACTGGCAACAAGCTTAACACTTGGATCGCCCCAATGCTGCTCACGACGACCTTGGGTGTTGGCAAGTCGGCTACTAGCTACCTTCTTGGTGCGGCAGACACTCGCTATTCCAAGCAGGGTTACCGGTGGGTTCAACTTTGGCCTTATGGAATAAATTATAACTAATACTCGGGCAGGTTTTTCTACGCCGATGAGCGTAACATAGATGGCAGCATCAAGGGCATGCAGATTGACGGCGACGCGCATGCCGATTTCTACTTTCAGCTCGCGAGCGGAGACGGAGAAGTCCCATGGCACGCTACTTTTGTTAAGGGACAAGGTTACGTCAAGTTTTAGAAAAGAATAATGCTATGCGGTCAACCGTCAATACAGAACTTGAACGCAATCGCAATTTATCATAAATGTCAAGAGCAAGACCTCTGGTACCCGATAGTCATCCACATAGTCACGCATGCAATCTCTTTGAGCAAGCACCACGTCTACATCGATTGCTGACCTGCTGGAGAATTCTTACGTACTGAGTGCAACATTATAACGACGAGTGTGGAACCTATCCACAGAACTTGAGTAGCTTATTCACAAGTGTGAGCGAGCGAGCGAGTAGGGAGCATGGGTTTATATCGTTGCCATGTGTTCTAATTGCACAACTAGTGGCACGTCAACGCGCGACTTTGTCTACGGTAACGATACTTGGCTGCCGATGGTATCAAGATCAATTTTCCTATCTATGTGAGAATTACTGTTGAACTCAACCGGAGGGACGGCAATGGCGTACAGTGCTTACCTGCGCAGCCTAAGATTTGCATCATGCACTGCTCTCCAGTGGGTCGTCCATGTGCTTGGTATAACTCAAAGACGTATGAGGGAGTCAAATGTTATCTTTGATTAGCCTCGTAACCAGTATCAATAGGCATTGAATGCATGGATATCCCGTCGGAGAGTATTGCATGCTGTAGGCTGTTCACGCTCCAGCTACCGTAATCTGTCACTCAGGGAAGTGCATGCCGAGTTTCATTGAAACGATTTCTTGATGCATAGATTTTAGCTGAAGTGGAAATTGAGGCGCTGGACCGCGCGGGATCTGGAAGAGGTGTGCGCGCGGCCTACTGTGTAAGTAATTGTTTCCGCCTTAGTGAGTCGTCCCGCGCGGCTTGTGGAGGTCAAAGACGTGGGGGCCGAAAGCGTCATCTGAAAACTGTGATTACCAATCTTCGGTCACGACTTCATAGCGAGCGTACAACTGGCTTAGTCGCGACATATGTTTAAGACATGTCACGTGTTTTACGGCTTTCCAAACTGTCCTTTTCTTCCAACGCTGCTCTTTGCTCTCGAAGTCAACAGCATCAACCATCAGCATGAACGCGTACAAATTTCTTAGCAAAACGCCGGAGCTTGTTGTGCAGCGACGCGTGGCTTTAGACCAGTACGCGAACCTAGCCCAGATCTCGCAGATTATAGTTCACCTCAGCGTTGCCATCGGCGCCTTGGTAGCTTCGGACCAAATCAAGAGACTCCAGAAAAACTATCCTCAGAACAGCGCCTCAACCGCACTGGCTCGTGCTGCAAGAGACTTACAGATTGCGTTGGGGACAGAGATTACGAAGGGATACGGCACATATGGACAGTGGATCTTTGGGTTAGCCTATACTGCATGGCTAGGATACCTGTGCGTCGCTGAGACTGCACCAGGTGAGCGAATATATCCCTCTCACACAGACGAACGGATGCTTACGAACATAGACTACTTACAGCTCACTAAGCGATTTGGTCTTATCGCAGCCTCGCAACTACCGATCCACTACCTCCTGTCCGCGACACGCCAGCTCAAGCATTCCTACAGACTAAATATGTCATTGCATAAAGTCACTGGAAACATCATCATTGCACTTTTTGCCCTGCACATATCGTTATACAGTTATCTTTTCGTGCACTTCGGCATATTTTTGGACAGCATCAAAAAATCTTTCATCATAGTGGCATTGATCAGCGCGGGTAGCTTTTTCATCATCGTAATCACTTCCGCGCAATTCTTCCGCCGCAGGAATTATCGATGGTTTTACAAGATACACGTTGCTGGGTCGGCTGTTGTGCTGCCGCTTCTCTTTTTTCATGTTGTGCATATTAGGATATATGTGCTCGAGAGTGCGGTGGTTCTTCTGGCGAATGCTGGATATCGCATGTTTAACTCGAGAGCAAAGGCTAGTTGAGTAGCTGAAGTGGCGACGATACAACAGCTTCTCCCGAGAAGCTTCTATTCTCATGCGAGGGACCTTCAACATCAGGTCTTCGGGGTCATGGGTGTGCCAGGAGGTGCTGAACGTGGATCATGGCTTGTCGGTCGAAGACAACTTTATGTATACGGGAAAGGCTGTGGTAACCCGAGGGTCAATTGGCATATTATCCTTAAGCTGGCACAATAAGACACAGAACGGACACATTGCAGGGCGTCCGACATGGGTTCCGGATTGGAGAGCTTTCGAAATGACTAGTACTTACGTCTTATCTCCGGGTCGAACCTTATCTCCACCTCCACCCGCTTCGCGGTGGAGCTCCATCACATAGTCACCCGCCAAGCACGCTTCAAGATAGCGTCTAGATACCAGATATCGCAGAGGACCTGGCCCAGCCACCACAACAACTTGGAACCAAGGAGCCCATGCCGTGACGCGTGCTGCTAAGCGACGGTGAAGATTGGGGAGGAGATAAAGTCTGGCGTGCCGTCGATTGAAACCTGGAGACAACGCCAATCATCGTCACAACTTGTATAGATAAATCTCCTGGGCTCTTCTCGCCACCGACATTGTGCCTGGTTCAGCCGCTGTATTGGCTTTCCTGGCACCTTTTGTGACTTGTCCATCCTCTCAGATCATCGGCAACTTCAACTTCAACTTCTATCACTGCAGTCGAACTGCAACGGATTCGTCCGCAATGGCAGCGAACGAGCATGTGTCTCCATCTCAACAAGTGGAACCCCACAAAGGGCGGCCAGACGCGGGGCTCCACAAGGAGCCTGATTATGGGGTACCTGAAATTTCTAGGGTGCCTAGCATCGGTGTAGCCTCGTTTCAGGAGAAGGTTGCGCCACAAGACATTGACCCTGCCATGGCTGTGGCTGGCGGCGAAATTGTGCATTTTAGTTCCGAGGAGGCAGCATCGGTCCTTCGGAAGATTGATCTCTACATCCTGCCCTTGATGTGCTGGATCTACGCTATTCAATTTGCCGACAAGATCAGTCTCAACTACGCCTCTTTGATGGGCATCCGAGAGGATACCCACCTCGATCCCAACTCCCAGCAATATAGTTGGGCATCCAGTATTTTCTACGCCGGTTACATCTTCTACGAGTAGGTCACTCAAATACCATCGCGATCACCAAGACAAACACTAATCTTGGGCTTCACAGATTTCCCACTACATATCTGCTCCGTCGCCTGCCCATCGCCAAGTACACTTCGTTCAATGTCATCATCTGGGGAATTGTATTGACGCTCCACGCGGTCGTCTCCAATTATGCTGGCCTCCTAGTGGTCCGATTCTTCCTCGGTATGTTCGAAGCCACGGTGACTCCGGCCTTTGTTCTCATCACCTCAATGTGGTTCAAGCAGGGTGAGCAAGGCCGCCGTGTTGGCTACTGGCTCTCATGTAACGGCATCACGCTCATCATCATGTCTGCTGTCGGCTATGGATTATCCGGGATTACAAACGCTGCTATCGCCCCTTGGAAGATTCTCTTCCTCATGCTGGGCTTGATCACCACCGTCACCGGTGTCTTCTGTTTCTGGTTCATGCCCGATAGCGTGCTGAACGCTCGCTTCTTGAACGAAAAGGAGAAATCAATCGCCGTGGAGCGCATCCGAGGCAATTTTCAGGGCATGGGTAATCGCACCTGGCAATGGTACCAATTCTTCGAAGCTTTCAAGGACCCTCGGACATATCTCTACGTGCTATTCTCGCTCCTCATGAACATCCCCAACGGTGGTATCACGACCTTCGGCTCTCTCACCATCAAGTCTTTTGGCTTCGGTCCCCGCTTGGCCTTACTTCTGGGCGCCCCAGCTGGTGTTTTCGATCTCGGTGGCAAGCTTCTTTTCACATGGCTCTCCGACAAGTACAGGGACAGATCACTTTATGCGGGCATAGCCATCCTCTTCGCTATGGTGGGTGGTGTCTTCATGATTGCACTTCCCCAGGATGCTAAGGCTGGTTTGCTTGTTGGCTATTACATGACTAGCGTTGCTGGCGCCTCCTGGGGACTCGTCATGGTGATGATATCCAACAACACCCTCGGATACACCAAGAAGGCCACCGTGAACGGTCTACAAATCCTCGCCTACGGTGCCGGTAACTGGATTGGTCCTCAAACCTTCCGATCCAGCCAGGCCCCCGAGTACTATACTGGAAAGCTGCTGATGGCCGTCATGTATGGTGCCTCGGCGTGCGTGCTCCTTCTCATTCGCGTAGTGAACTGGAGGGAGAACAAGCGTCGCGACCGCGTTCAGGCTGAGTCCGGTACTGCCGAAGTAACCGAGGAAGTGGAGAGAGCTAAGTTCATGGGTCTCACTGATTTTGAGCAAACTCACTTCCGTTACATACTGTAAGCATATTGGGCGGCTTTGTTACGATAAGGCGGGCAAGTGTGTGGATATCTGTGAGTCCCGATACACTGGGATGTATTGTCTTTGTTTTCGATAGTTAGCTCAAGAATGCGACATAGACTGGGAACTTTATTCCTTCATACTTTGCGGACATTGATGGCTTCTTCATGCGTGTTGATTAATTTGTTCCGCTTCACACCTACGAGCGAAGCAATGCTTGATATGGACTAAATAAGTATGTGAATACAACACGGTGTGAACGTGAGAAGGCCTATGTATAATTGATTGCTTTTTAAGATATCCTCCGCATGGGTTTCACCCATGCAATGCTTTGTTATCTTTATCGAGGCCCTGCCTATCTCTAACTGAATATACATCGCATATTTGGTAACATAAAGGTGCTGTGACGAGATTAGGGGAGATGTACCAATGTTTTGCAAGCCAGGGCCTGTAAAGTCAGGTGATTCAGAGACTAGCCAATGTCCCCTATGCCGTTATTATATTGGGCCTTGCTCATATCAACCTTCAGCACCGTATGATATTCATGCGATTAGACCAATCTATCATAGCACAAAAAAAAAGAATCAGAAGATGAATATATGCTATAGTAGTCGTTACACTGACACCCTCAATCCTCGCAAATACCGATCAGTCGGTTTGTGATTGCACCATGAACTCGGCGAAATCCTCATCGGGTAATTCTGGCTGAAGATCACCACCTTCCAGCATACCGATGTACCAACTAAGGTCCTGCCCACTGAACTCGCGGGCAGCGAAACCGTTGCCAAAGTAACCAAATCGATTGGTAGTCGTGTAGCTGAGATTATAGTCCTCCCAGCGTGGATTTTGCATAGTCTCGAAAAAGTGTATACGCGAGCCAGGCCACATCATGATCTCGCCATCTACTGTACCCTGCTTGAACCAGGAGCGGCACGGGGACGACCACGCCGTACGGGGCAGAAATTGGCGGCGGTGCTGAATGAAATCGTTCACAGCTTCCTGTTTAGGATCAAACGAAGTGACGCCCTCAGAGGACATCTTGTCGAAGATCTTGATGAAGTGCTTGGCCAAAAGCTCGGTGATTGGCAGGAAACTTCCGTGACCATAAGGCCCGTAGGGGTCCGTTGAAAATAAGATAGTTCGGGAAGTGAGGCACGGTGACGGACAAATAGGTGCTAGGTTGGCCGTCCCACTCATCACTTAGACTCTTTTGGTCTCGGCCGATAGTGGGATACGCAGGCTTCCAGCTGACGTCGAAGCCTGTAGCGCAAACGATGACATCGAACTCGTGCTCTACACCGTCTGTAGTAAGGATTCCCTTGTTTGTGATTTCCTGGATGGATGTAGACACGACTGTAACGTTATCTTCACACAGAGCCTCCAAGTAGCCATTACCTGGAGTTGGTCGACGACATCCTACAGCAAAGTTCTTTGGCACCATGACGTCGGCGATTTCCGGCCTGGAGGCCAATTTGCGGCGCATCTCCTTCTCGGCAAACTGTACAGAGCGTTCCCACGGTTAGCCCATCTGCTGGGTCATCACAGACACGACATGGGGTTATCTTACTGCGCGAGCGTCTTGCTGCTCCTTGGAGCCGTTCAAGATGAATCGAAACCGCGAGTTGAGCTCTGACTCGATTTTCTTGCGGTAGGCAAGATACTTTTGAGGGTCCGTAGCCAAGATCTTTTTCTGTTCCTCTGAGTACTCAAAGTTGCTACCATTCTTGCCTGCAAAACGCTGGCCGAAGCCGGCCGTCACCCAGCCAGCGCTGCGGATGAAGCACTCCATTTTGCCGACGACTGTTTGAGGAAAGCATTAGCAAGACCCAATGTTCTTAATTGAGTTTGTGAGAGCCTAAAATGACTTACTCGGTTGGATACTGGGCACAATCTGAACTGCCGACGAGCCAGAACCGATGACTCCAACCTTCTTGCCCTTAAGGTCAATCGAGTAATCCCAGTTTGCGCTATGCAACATTGGTCCCTGGAAAAGCTCGCGGCCTTTGATTGCAGGCCACTTCCATTTGTTGAGAACGCCTGTCGCGTTGATAAAAACGTGGGCCTTGTCCTCGAACACATCATTGGGATCATCTCCTCGCTGGATTTTGACGTGCCACATCTTCTCCTCCTCATTCCAAAAGGCACCTACTACGCGGTGTGATAACTTTATGTAGCGCATGAGGCCATAGTCATCCACAACACCCTTAAAATAAGCCAAGATCTCGGATGCACTTGAGTAGCTACAATTTCTAGTGTCAGTGGTAATTATTGGTCTTGTAACAATTGGGGAGACATACAAGGATGTCCACTCTGCTGAAGGAGCCCAGGACAACTGGTAATTGACAGACGGAATATCACATCCGCAGCCTGGGTACTTGTTCTCATACCAGGTACCCCCAACGGAATCGTTTTTCTCGTAGCAGACAAGATCCAAGTCGAGATCGCTCTCCTGCACCTCGTGGGCAAAGTTGATGGCGCTGGCACCAGCACCGACACAGAGAATTCGCAATTGACGCTTACTTCTGCTCGGTTCCTCAATGATGGTGTAGCCTGTTCTATTCGCGTCTTCCACAAAGTCTGTTGACTTGACATTGATTCGGATGTCTTTCAAGGGCTTCACCTCACCCAGCTTATCGGTGGGGTTATCGGTGGAGAGAGTCGGCACGGTGATACTAATAGAACCCATGACGAAGGCTCTTTTGTGCTGATGTCTGTATCCCGAGTGCCCGGGTATAACAACACCTGCAACGACGAAAACCAGGTTGATGCGAAGATACCTATGGTATATCTTGATTAATCAAAGGTATAAGAAAATTTCGTCGTTACTGAAGACCTTTGTCGCTATCTGGCTTTAAGGTTCGAACGACGGTGGAAAGGGTCGAGTCGATCTCCACGCAAATATGAAGTCCCAAACCGGGAGGAGCACCGCATGCCCATCAATAGTGTGATCACTCTTTGGTTGGTGTACCAACCACATGGGTACTAGTGTGCGGATCAAGTGGGTCGCCAAGCAATGTCCACCTCCACCTCCACCTCCACCGTTCTTCCACTCCACCTCCACCCATCCTCTTATCCACCTCCACCTCCGCCGCTACTGCCACCGCCCCTAGCAGTCGGCGCCTCTACCATTCCAGTCGTTTGCTAATCTATGCGCCACCATGGAGGGGGATCGCTATGGTGCAGACGGGTCGTGACAAGCAGTAGCTGGCGACTTCTGGGTGTCCTTTAACGACTGCACCTCTGAGCTTCTTACGAATTTGGACGACTAACTCGATGAATGCGGCTCATTACATATACCTGAATCTGCTCTTGGGAATACATGTTAGCTAGTCCGACTATTTGTACTTTTATGTGCCACATAACTTTGCACCAGCTGGGTCAACGATCCCTCCCCCAGACAGGAGATTGATACCCATCTGACCTTTTTCGCGTCCTTCGAACCGCGATAATTCCCGCGTATCGTTGGTTAATCACCATGCCTTCAGCGACAGATGCGCCGCTCCGCATCAGCATTGATCGTGGTGGTACCTTCACGGACTGCATCGCCACGAGGCCTGATGAAGAGGACATCGTCATCAAGATTCTCTCTGTGGATAAGAAAAACTACTCAGATGCGCCCACGGAGGCTATTCGGCGAGTGCTGGAAATCTTCCACAAGACGACAATCCCAAGAGGTGCAGAACTAGATCTTAGTGCAGTAGGTATGTGTTCAAATCCCTCTCGGAGAATGCTGGACATGTGACTAACCTTTTCGCCATGCAGAATGGATCCGTATGGGTACGACAGTAGCCACCAATGCCCTATTGGAGAGGAAGGGAGAGCAAACCGCATTGCTAGTCACTAAGGGTTTTAAAGATGTTCTGGTGATTGGCAATCAGTCTCGTCCTTTCATGTTCGATTTGTCCATCCGCCGACCCGAAGTTCTGTACTCGACCGTCTTTGAAGTTGACGAGCGGGTGGTTCCCGAGACGTGCGCTGATTCGGATTTGCGGCGGCTAGAGTTGTCGAGTCCGACGCCATTGGAGACGATTGTGGGCACGTCTGGAGAAAAGGTCCAGCTGCTCAAGGCTCTTGATGTAACAGCGACGCAGCAATTTCTGGAATCTGTATATGCACAAGGCTACCGGTCCATAGCCGTTGTGTTGATGCACTCGTACCTGTTTCCAAATCACGAGCTGCAGATCAAGAAGTTGGCCGAGGAGATTGGGTTCGAAAATATCTCGCTCTCTCACCAAGTATCTCAACGATCCAAGATGGTCCCCCGCGGTAACTCAACGGTGGTCGACGCCTATCTGACCCCAGAGATTGTAAGATATCTGGAGCAGTTCACGGCCAGCTTCCCAGGCCTAGAGAACAGCGGCACTAGAATCGAGTTCATGCAGTCTGACGGTGGCCTCGTGCCATCCTCGGAGCTGTCTGGCCTACGATCCATCCTATCGGGCCCCGCCGGCGGCGTCGTGGGCTACTCTAGAACCTGCTTTGACGCGAAGCTCCAGCAGCCCGTTATAGGCTTCGATATGGGAGGCACGAGCACCGACGTCAGCCGCTACGACGGCCAATTCGACCACATATACGAGACTAGCACGGCCGGCATCCCCATCCACGTGCCGCAACTCAACGTCAACACGATTGCCGCCGGCGGTGGGAGCATCCTGGACTGGCGTAACGGGCTGCTGAGCGTGGGGCCTGAGAGTGCTTCGTCACAACCTGGCCCTGCCTGCTACCGCAAGGGCGGCCCGTTGACGGTCACGGACGCTAACCTAGCCCTGGGTCGTCTGGTTCCTGAACACTTCCCTTCTGTGTTTGGCCCTAATGAGAACGAGCCCTTGGATCGTGATCTGGTCCTTGAAAAATTCCAAGAATTGACCATCCTCATTAACAAAGATTCGGGCGAGTCCCTCAGCTGGGAGGAGGTGGCGCACGGGTTCCTGGAAGTGGCCAACCAAGCCATGTGTGGACCCATCCGCAGCCTCACTGAAGCACGCGGCCACGACGCCGCCAAGCACCGCCTGGCCTCGTTTGGCGGGGCCGGCGGCCAACATGCTTGCGCCATAGCAGAGATCCTGGGCATCCGCGAGGTGTTCATTCACAAGTACTCCTCTATCCTCTCCGCCTACGGCATTGGCCTGGCCGACGTCGTCCGCGATGAGCAGCGCACCTGTGCAAAAGATCTTGACAGCGCCCGCGACGTCATCTACAGCCATCTCGATGGTCTGGCCGAGCTGGCCAGGGAGCACCCGTCCATGGTGCGCTTCCCTGTTGTCGAGGTGCGCCGGTTCTTCAGCATGCGCTACGATGGCAGCGAGACCGTCATGACCATACCAGCTGACGAGGCTGTGGATGCCCGCCAGGCCTTCATCGATGCCCACCACCATCAATTCGGTTTCACCCCCGTTGGCCGCAGCATTTATGTCGATGTCATCCGGGTTCGCGCCATTGGCCGCTACTTGCACGACACTGTCAGCGCCAGCACCACCTTGCCCCACCAAACCCCCGTCGAGAAGGGCTTAATCAAGTCCAACTCTGTGCAAAATGTCTACTTTGGTCGCCTCGGATGGCAACAGACGCCAAGCTACCTCTTTCAGTCCCTGCGCCAGGGCTTCGAGGTCCAGGGCCCGGCCCTCATTGTGGACAAGACGCAAACCATCGTCGTCAACCCCAGCTCAACTGCGATACTGCATGGCGACAACCTGGTCCTCAAAGTGCTCCCGCCGCCGAAGCCACAGCTGAGTGCCGCTGTCGTTGATCCAGTGCAGCTTTCCATTTTCCGCCACCGCTTCTATGGTGTGGCCGAGCAAATGGGTCAAGTGCTGCAGAAGGTCAGTGTGAGTGCCAACATCAAGGAAAGGCTGGATTTCAGCTGTGCCATCTTCAACCCAGACGGATTCCTGGTAGCCACTGCCCCCCATGTGCCCGCTATGATCGGCAGTATGGCCTACGCCGTGCAGAGCCAGATTGAGCTGTGGCAGGGTAAGCTCAAGGACGGCGATGTACTGCTTTCCAACTCACCGCAGTACGGGGGCGTCCACCTCCCGGACTTTACCGTCATAACCCCGGTGTTTGACGCTGATGGCAAGGACATCGTCTTCTGGACTGCCTCGCGTGGTCACCATGCTGACGTTGGTGGCATCCTACCCGGCTCCATGCCTCCCACGTCCAAGTACTTGTGGGAGGAAGGCGCTGTGTTCAATAGCTTCCTGTTGGTGCGCGACGGGAAGTTCGAAGATGTTGAGCTCGAACGCATCTTGTGCGTCGAGCCCGCCAAATACCCGGGCTCCAGTGGCTCACGGCGTTTCCAGGACAATGTTACCGATGTCAAGGCGCAGGTGGCGGCAAACCAGTGCGGTATTCGCTTGGTACGCATGCTCGTGCAAGAGTACACTATGAGCGTGGTGCAGAATTACATGCGGGCCATTCAGGACTCTGCGGAGCTGGCGGTCCGCAATCTCTTCAAGAGCTTGTCGGCCAAGTTCCAGGACCAACCGATCGAGGCGGTCGATTATATGGACGACGGTACACCGATTTGTCTCAAGATCACCATTGACGATGACGGCTCGGCCACTTTAGACTTCACCGGCACTGGTCCACAGGTCTACGGCAACTGGAATGCGCCCATGGCCATCACACACTCGTCGACACTGTATGCGCTGCGGTGCATGGTCGAAACTGACATCCCACTCAACCATGGCTGCATTAAGCCCATCAAGCTTCTGATTCCCGATAACTCGTTGCTAAAGCCCAGTTTCGAAGCAGCCGTGTGCGCCGGCAATGTGCTGACCAGCCAGCGTATCGTGGACGTCATCTTCAAGGCCCTTCGGGTCTGCGCTGCCAGTCAGGGTTGCATGAACAACTTCACCTTTGGCATCGATGGCGAAGGGGGCTTCGGCTACTACGAGACCATTGCTGGCGGCAGCGGTGCCGGTCCCTCGTGGCACGGTACGAGCGGCGTGCACACCCACATGACCAACACACGTATAACAGATCCTGAGTCGCTTGAGCGTAGATATCCCGTCGTGCTCCGCGAGTTTGGGCTGCGAGCTGATAGCGGTGGTGCTGGCCAGTTCCGCGGCGGCGACGGCGTCATCCGCGATGTCGAATTTCGCATGGCCATGTCGGCGTCGATGCTTTCGGAGCGCCGCAGCATAGGTCCGTATGGCATGAATAACGGACAGGAAGGCCGGCGCGGCGTCAATACCTGGGTCAAGGCAAGCGGCGCGCGCATCTCCATTGGTGGTAAGAACTCGGTTCAGGTGCAGCCGGGCGATCGCTTGGTTATCGAATCACCAGGCGGCGGCGGCTATGGCCAAAACCCGACTCTCTCACTCTGATGATCCATGCGGGAGAGTCGGGTTTTGCTGTAGATCCTTTCCTTCGTGTATATTGAGGGTTCTTGTTGTGAAACGTAAGAGGAAGACGAGGGCAGTTCATACGAGGTATCTTAATCCACGCGAAAGAAATGGATAATGTGTTAAAGAAGATATAAAACTTTTGTTCACTTGATCATCTTCTCCAGCTCCACAACCTCTGCAATAGGTCCCCAGATTTCTTCACTCAAGGACTGGACACTGGTGGTACCCAGCGGCCTCCTTGCCTTTCCACTCCCATAGCCAAAAAAGTGAGACACAACCGCCTTGACGCCGGCCACCCCAACCTTCTGCAGCGCCCCGTCGGCATTGCTCAACTTGGACTGCAGCTTGCGCGCCTCATCTAACTTGCCTTCGCTCCAAAGATCTAGAAGCTGGACGTGAGTCATGGGCACGACGTTGGCAAGCGCCGCGATGACACCATTCGACCCTGCGACTAAGCCTGGCAGCATAAAATCCGACTTGCCCGCGAAGGCGGCAAACGAATCCTCTGGCAGACTCGACCATATGCGCTGGAGCTTCCCCAGGTTACCGCACGTGAGCTTACACCCAACAATGATGCCAGGATGTTTTTTACCCAGACGAATGATGGCATCGGAAGAGATGTCAATGCCTGATGCCACTGTGGGAAAGTTATAAATCAGAAACGGCAGTTCCGAAGCCTCCGCGACCTTTTTGCGTATGATTCAGCATCAGAATAGAGAAAAAGATGTTTGTAGTCTCCTTACAGCGCTAAAGAAGCTCTCGACGACGGCAGGCGCCATAGCAGGCGCCCAGTAAGCCGGAGGAAGCACGAGGGCGAAATCCGCGCCCGCTGCCTTGGCCTCGGCGAGTTATATGAGCGTCTCGCGGACGCTCGGAGCGCCGCAGCCCACGATGAGCTTGGTGTCTTCGTAGCCCAGGCTGTCCAGCGTCAAGCGGGTCCTGGTAATCACCTCTTGCCGCTCCTCGTGGTCAAGATGCGGTGCCTCGCCGTTGCTGCCCTGCAGCACGAGGCCGGCTACGCCAGCCTCGGCCATGCGCCGGACGTGCGACTCAACGGCAGGAAAGTCGATGGACTCATCTTCGTGGAAAAAGGTGACGAGGGGCGTGTACACACCATAAGGGGGCTTGCTAGCGGCGGTTGTCGTCATGCTGATAGCAGGGTACGTAAGCGAATGGAATAGCAATTGAAATCTGGAGATGTACTGACCGACTCATCAATCCAGTATTATTATAGTACTCTTGCCCGAGATCTATGATTCCGATCCATTAGGTTTGCGTATTGCAACTTGCAACAGTGGATGTAGTCAGTTAATTAGACGAGTTTTGCGTGCTGCAGCCGTCAGTGTGCATGTGGAGGTGGAGCACCACCTCAAGGCTCTATGCACTCGTCTCCCTCCACAACCGCGACAGTTACACATCCTGCTCGCGTGCTCTTATGCTCAGAGGTGCAGTCTTTGGTGGAGGTTCATATTTGTAAATGATTGTCTTTGCGCAATTACTCACTCTTACGAGTCCAATACGAAAGCAAAGACCGCTTCATCAGACTAACCCACTATCTTTCTCCCTTCAATGCGGTCATATCTAAAAGACAAGATGGGCTCGATTGAGCTTCCGCCTGCCGGATTCTTCGAGCATGTGGCCTTCGCCCCCCTAGATGCCATTTTCGAGCTTACCAAAGACTACAATGCAGACACCAGCGAGCACAAGGTGAATCTCGGTCAAGGCACGTACAAGGATGGCAACGGCGAACCGTGGGTTCTACCGGCGGTTCAAGGCGCCAAAGAAAAGATCAGGGACGCCAATCATGAATACCTCCCCATCTTGGGCCTTCCCAGCTTCCGGCACCTAGCGACAAAGCTTGTGCTGGGGGATTCAGGGCCAGCAGTGACCGAGCAGCGTGTGGCCTCATGCCAGACACTCTCAGGCACCGGCGCGTTGCATCTGGCAGGTCTGGTGCTGTATGAGGCCCTGGGCCCCTCGTGTACCGTCTACATCACAGAACCGACCTGGTCCAACCATCGGCAGGTCTTCGAGGCCATCGGGTTCTATGTGCAGAGCTACCGATACTACGACGAAGCCACGGGCAAGCTGGACGTTGCCTCGCTCGAACAGACCTTCGAGGCCGCAGCGCCCGGCTCCATATTTGTGATGCATGCCTGCGCCCACAATCCCAGCGGCTGCGATCCAACCCAGGAGCAGTGGCGACGGCTGGCGACCATTGCAAAGTCCCGAAAGCTCTTCCCACTCTTCGATGCGGCATACCTGGGCATCACCTCGGGAGACTACGACGCCGACGCCTTTGCCATCCGACACTTTGTCAACGAAGCCGGCCTCGAGGCGGCCATCTGCACGTCCTTTGCAAAGAACATGGGGCTGTACGGCGAGCGCGTTGGCCTGGTAAATTTCATCACGCAGACGTCCGCCGCTGCCACGGCTGTCGAGTCCAAGTTGGCCCAGTTAACCCGCGTGGAAATATCCAATCCCCCGGCCTTTGGTGCCCGCATCGTGGCAGCTGTGCTGGGCGACGCTGAGCTCTGCGCCGAGTGGTTCAGGAACCTCAGCACCATGAGCGGCCGTATTGCTGAAATGCGGCAGCAGCTGTATGATGCACTTGTGCGGCTAAAAGCACCCGGAGATTGGGAGCGTATTATCCAGCAGAAGGGCATGTTCTGCATCCTAGGGTTGCCCTTGGACCGTGTTTTGCAACTGAAGAGTAAGCGACTTGAGCTCTCTCCTTCTCCCTGGATTTCCATTCTCATCCTCTTCACATGATGTCTTTCTCTTTCTATCTGAATATCCAAACCTACACTAACTTCTGTGATGAAGAAACTCACCATGTATACATGGCCGACAGCTCACGCGTTTCGATTGCCGGCCTGAACTACCACAACCTTGCCTACACAGCAAAGGCTATAGACAGTGTGCAGCGATCCGGATGAGCTGACTAGATCCCTTCTCACTCTCCAGACGTAAGAACAAGCCGACTCTAATACATGCAGAGGATTTGCTGCTACGAATCCTGTCGCGTTTATTCACTATCTCAACAAAACACTAGATAGTCTTATCAGGATAAAATAGAAGACTTCGGCAAGCTAAGCCAAACACAGTATGGATGCAAACTATTTTTTAGCACTGATACCGACTAGGGTGTAGATGGTAAGCGGGAAACTGGGGTAGACAGGGATCCCGATCTAGTTCCTTCGTTTTCCGCTTCCCCACATCCTGTGCTGATAAGGCCAATAAAGCTGCTGCCCTTCTCAACACGTCACCTTACATAAAACTTCGTTTTGCGACACTGGCTCCCCGTCGGCACAAGTCTACTTAGCGACGTTGTTTCATTGCGCCAACTCCGTCAGGTCGGTAGTGATTTTCTGCCAATCCGGAAAAAGATAAGAGAAACGAAAGATGAGCCCCAATGAGCGCCCCTTCAGCTGCAATATTTGCTCCAAGGGATTTACACGAAGTGTATGCAGAGCAAGCCCTTTTATCTTTATGTCTCGGTCCAGCACGCTGCACTTTACCAGTGTATCCTTACCGAACGGGGAAGCTGATCTTTGATGACAGGAAAACTTGAACCGGCACAAGAGAAGCCGTATGTGTACCATGGCGTTCCAGTACACAATGCGTCTAGGCAATGCTGACCCGAAATTTATTCCTCCCACAGGCCACGGCGGTGAGACTCGCAGAATATATCAATGCCAACATTGTCACTGTCGATTTTCTAGAAAGTACATAATCCCTGACCCCCAAAACTGCACAGCCGTTTACGGCTCCCCTGCCCAAACCCCTGACTGCATTGCTCAAGAACTTTCTCTCGCTGACCTGTATCTTGACCAAAGAGATGTCTGCAAGCGCCACATCGAGCGTTGCTCCAACCCACCTCGGAATCAGGAACCAATAGAAGATGAAATGATACCGCAGGTGACCCCAGACGAGATGTCTCCGCCACTTGACAGCCCAGAAGCACCACCAGTAGCGACAACTTCCGCAGCCGGCTCCACACCGTCATACTACGACGACGCACGAAGCGCCGCGTATGATTTCTTAGACTCTGCCACGCCTCCGTAAGCTGACAACTATAAACCCTTGCATGCGCCTTGTATAGGTTTCTTCTACTGCCTTCGCTGATATTTTGCGACTCCAGGGAGGACACCTTTTCGACAGGTACATATGTAACCGCCTACTTCACTTATTTCCATCCATCTCTGCCCATCATACATCGGCCGACGTTTTGGACTTCGTCCCCACCGAAGCTGTTGTTAGATATTGTTGTCGCCATTGGCCTATTGTACTCGGCAGAGACATCCGGCCTTGGTCATCGCAAAGCTGCATATGTGCAGAAGAGTCAAAATCTCTGGCGCCAAGGCGTCGATGAGCTCAGCCGTCGTGTAGGTTCCCAACCTCGAACTCGCCGAAAACATCGGAGACCTCTTCAAGAATTTTCACCAGGCCGCTTATGATGATTTTCTAGGCGTCCTATGACTGGCGAGAACTGCGCAACACGTGGATGCTGCAATCTTGTCTCCTGCACATCGTCTACGGTGCCTTTACGGAAGATGTCGCGCAAGCAGAACAGATTAGCAAGATGCTGAGAACACTCGTCGATGTAAGTTTAGCATTTCAGCCTATTTGAAAGCCCGTCTGTTCGAAAACATACAACTGACTTAAAATGGGCACAGTCGGTACGGGATCTTGGCTTCCTTAAGCAAGTGGTTGCTACCTTCCCCGGCTCACCTGCGTGGTTGCAGGCTGAGACGCAAGACTTGGTCGCATCGCAGCCTCTAGATGTATCCAATCAGTGGCAAACCTACATCAGCGAGGAATCGTTGAAATTGTCTATCTACACGCTGCTACTCATGGACCATCACGTCTTTTCGTGCTCCAATATCCGTCCCCTTCTCTCGACCATGGAGTGTCTTTGGGAACTTCCACTTGCCGCGTCATTGTGGGAGGCCGACAATGCCGGCGTATGGTACGAGATACGCTGTCAAGAACACGGCGAGTCCGTTCCTGGCACCTCTCAGATTGGCGAAACCCCTTTCAAGGGCTTCTTGTCTACGGCCACACAGTCGCTCCTTTCCGCAATGCCAGATCCTAAGCTGATCAACATGTTGGCGGCTTCACCCTTCGCTATGATGTGTATCCTCACCAATCTCGATGCCTTAGTCAAGGACTTTACGCGGTGTTATTATCAGCTTCCGCCCAACCCCGCCGACCCGTCGGCCTTCCACATTCTGACGCAGAGCCAGACACGGCAAGTCTGTTCTGCCCTCAGCGTACTATCCGAAGTCGTAAATGAGCGGCTAGGCGCCGCGATGCTGGAGCCGGAGCAATCGGTCTGGCATGCAAGCCAAGTCCTAATCTGGTCGATCAAGCTGAGCCTCTGCCGGCCGGACGACCTCCTGGTCGGCGGTATCGTGGAAAACCGCGTGTTTGCCAGCCTGGTCACCGCGACGCATTTAACCATGGGCAGCTACATCACATTCAAGCGAACCACGCACGCGACCCAGCAGCATAAGAACAGCCACGACGGCATGCTCGCCGTCATCGACGACCTCAACAGTGCACTCTTCACTATCTCTACGCTCACCCCTGGGTTAGCGATGCGCGAGTTGCCCTGGATCACAGCAGCCAGTTACCGGCTGCTCCTCACCATTTGGCGGACGCTGCGCGTGGCAAAGGCCGACATTCTCGAGAAATTGGCCAAGTCCGACGCCATGCTGAGCAACCGCTCCTCCGGTTCCAGCTTCCTTATCTTCCACTCCATCTTGGAGACGGTGGCCCACTGCGACCGACCACAATACCAACACCATGACCCTGGGACAGCTGCCCGCCATCGGCCATGGTCATTTGATGCAGACAACATCACCGCCGAGGGTGATGCCGAGCTGGTTGAGCTGATTCAACGGATCTGCAGGGCCCGAGCAGTTTGGATGATTGGACCGTCACTGGCGAACGCCATGCAGGATGCCACGGCCAGTGTAGCGGGCTAGCTTTAAACAGTCATCAGTGATGATGTCCACGTGACCCTTTCTGACCAGAAGATCGTGGAGTCCTATGCAATCCGTGGAGTCATTTCCATTATTCCTACTAGTGGATAGGACTAAAGAAGGCGCGGGGCGCGTGTGGAGTGTGGACGCGTGGACAAAGTGGAGCTCCACCTCCGCTGCTCGTCTGAAGCCGCATTCGGCGTATCTGGTCGTAGCGCGGTACGCCTTCCCTCTTTCTGCGGTCCACCAAATAGAGTGCCGCAATCTATGGGTCAGACACGAATAATTGATAGTAGGGTTTGATGATAAAAATTATTCGGATGAGAAAAGTTACATACTTCGAACAGTAGTTTTGGCCCATAAATATCCACACACGCACACGAACATATATGCCATCGGATCTTGTGAGAGGACAGATACAAGACCAATAAATACATCCTCCATCAAAATCTATAGCATCGTTATCAAGACCATGTCTTCGCCCAGAATTGGATGGGTATGTATCTTTCCCCTCACCAAAACGACCTCCGTTGAACCCAAACCTCGCGTCCAACTTAGAGGCTGACCCGATCGCATAGTATGGTCTAGGGTCGATGGGTATCGGCATGGCCCTAAGGTTGCAGAATCACCTCAAGAGTACCGGTGCTCCACCATTGGTGTATAGCAACCGAACCTTGAAGAGGGGCGAAACACTGAAAGCCCAAGGCGCCATGCCTGTCGAGGATTTCAAAGCTGTGGTAGAGTCGACTGATGTAATTTTCACAATGGTAAGTCGGGAAAGCGAGAAACCCCATCTGGCTTGCAGAAAACACTCACATGGGCGTGCTGCTGCACTGTAGATTTCCGATGATGCTGTTCTAAACGATTTGGTGGAGCAAGCACTTTCGCTCAAGAGCATCCATGGTAAGTTGTTCATCGACACATCAACAGTGCACCCCTCGACGAGCTCCGCCGTAGCCGAAGCTTTAAAAGCCAAAGGTGCGCATTTCATTGCTTCGCCAGTCTTTGGTGCCAGCCCCGTGGCCGCTGCCGGCAAGCTCATCTTCGCCATGGCGGGTTCCCAGGACCAGATCTCACGGGTATCCCCCTACATCCAGGACGTAATGGGCCGCCAGATCATCAACATGGGTGCCGACGTCCACAGCTCGAGCCTGCTCAAAATCTCCGGCAACATCTTCGTCATCGGCTTCCAAGAGTTGATCGCTGAAGCGCAGGTGTTTGCCGAGAAGACGGGTTTGGGCACAGCGCGCATGGAAGAGTTCATTGGCGGCATGTTCGGCCCTGTTCTCGAGAGCTACTCCAAGCGCATGACGTCCGGGGCATATGCGCCACCGCTGGATACGCCGCCAGGCTTCGCGGTCAGCCTGGCTTCCAAAGATGTCCGACATGCCTTGGCCATTGCTGAGGAGAAGGGCTGCCAGCTGCCTACGCTGGAGACTGCGCAGAACCGCATGACGAAAGCTCGGGAGTATGCTGGAGAATCGCTGGACAGCTCGTCTGTGTACGGTATTGCGAGACTAGAAGCAGGGCTGCCGTTCTGGAGCGAGAACAGCAGACAGGGTAATTAGCCACAGGATGCTTGAAGAGAAAATTACAAAATGGAAAAGCAAAGAATAGAAAAGGAAAGAAGAACTACGTCAATACCTTTCATCAAGTCTCATTGTCGGGCGTCAACATTTGATTCGAAGATTTACGCGACTACGTGTTCCAGAACGAGATTTTCACCCAACTGAACATTGCCTCCCTTCTTAGCTGTTTCTGTAGCAGCTATTCTCATAACGTCTTCCTTGGTTTCCTCCCTTTCTTTCGCAACTTCTTATAAGTCCGCGGACTTCGCGGCGTTTAATTAGGACTAGCTCGGCGTTAAGACTAAACAGCGCATGGAATTAGGTCTAGCTCCATCACAGCCACTGGATGGACCAATAAACGGGCGCCAGGAGCTACAATCAAATGATATTTGGGGCATCACGGCATGTACCTCTCTGAACGCTACCTCCCGAACATTACTTTCGTACGATAGCCTCTTTATATAATCTAAGCGCACACCAATTGCTTCGAGGCCGCGTTTTCAAGGTCCACCGAGTCTTATATCAAACCGAAGCAATTGAGCCATACGACAAACACACATGTCTCGATCAACACCTCCCCCTTCCTTTCCAGAGGACAGCAAGCTCGAAGCGATGGAAGAGAAACCACATCAGGTCGAGCCTGAGGAAAAGCAGACTGTCGATTCCAACGAACCATCTACTGTGGCATCCTCAACTGCCAATAGCGTAGAGAAACCGGAAACCCTTGAAGACGATGGTCCTACTACCAAGGAAAAAGGCGTGGATGAGCCGCAAAAACCTATTGAATATCCGAAGGGTGTCGAAATGTTCTTCATCATGCTTGCGCTTGTGCTCAGTATCACCCTCTGTTCTCTGGATCAGGTGAGTCCTACCGCTCCAAGTTTCTCGCAGACTCACCTTTTGCCCATGCATCACACGCTGGTACGCTAATCATCTCGCTTCAGACCATTGTTGCAACCGCTATCCCAAGAATTACCGACCAATTCGGCAGACTTCAGGATATCTCGTGGTACGGCTCGGCCTATTTCCTGACGCTCGGAGCGTTCCAGTCACAGTGGGGTAAAGTATACAAATACTTTCCCCTCAAAACTGCTTTCCTGGTGGCAATCCTCATCTTCGAACTTGGAAGTTTGATCAGCGCTGTTGCTCAAAATTCAACAACTATGATTGTGGGACGTGCTATCGCCGGTCTCGGTGCCTCGGGCGTCGCGCCTGGAGTTTACACAATTTCGGCCTTTTCGGCTGAGCCCGCGAAAAGAGCAACCTACACAGGGTTCATCGGTCTGTCATATGGCGTCGCCGCTGTCGCTGGACCACTCATTGGTGGAGCGCTTACAGATGCGGCGACTTGGAGGTGGTGAGTTAAGAATGTTGTACTGCTTGGTCTTTGTTGCAAAACAAGGGACTACATCCAGTCATAGACTTCTGTTATTTATCCCCCGACCTGACTGATATGACGAGTCTAGGTGCTTCTATATCAATCTTCCAGTCGGAGGTGTGGCCGCTTTGGTCATCCTGCTCACCTTCAAGACCCCTGCAACCGCTAAGCAGGTCGATGCTACGCTCAAGGAGAAGCTTCTACACATGGACTTTCCAGGGACGGCGCTTATAATGGGTGCATCCCTCGCCTTGCTTCTAGCTCTTCAGTACGGTGGTGTAACCTATTCGTGGAGTTCCAGCGTTGTCATCGGCTTACTCGTCGGCTTCGGGTTGATGGTTCTTGCACTCATAATGCTAGAAATATGGCAGGACGAACGCGCCATGCTGTCACCACGCCTCATGCGGCAAAGAACCGTCTGGGTCAACTCTGTATGGGGCTTCTTCTTCGCTGGCTCGTATTTCATCACTCTCTACTACCTGCCCATCTATTTCCAAAGCATCGATAACCGCAGTCCGATTGGCTCAGGTGTGCGCAACATTCCTCTTATTGCCTTGTTTAGCGTTGCCACATTTGCCTCCGGCAGAGCCATCACGAAGACGGGTATTGCAGCTCCGTATTTGTTAGCAAGCTCTGTGGTCGGAACCATCTCCGCTGGTCTCCTGTATACCCTCGACATTGGGACCTCGACGGGCAAATGGGTTGGATTTCAGATCCTGGCCGGCCTTGGATACGGCATGGGCCTCCAAATCCCGCTCATTATTGCGCAGGCTTTTGCTGCGCCAAGCGACATAGCTCCTGTGACCGCAATCATTATATGTAAGTTTTCCTTCGCCCTGTCCCAAGGTGCTGTCAATTTTCTTTGAACCCTTGAACCCTAAGCTGATTGTGTCCCTCGTGCACAGTCGCTCGATCTATCGGCGCCACATTTATGATCGCAGCCGCGCAATCCGGCTTCGTCAACCAGCTCGTGCACAAGCTTGCTAGCACCGCACCGAGCGTCGATCCCGCCCTAGTCACGGCTACCGGTGCCACAGCCCTGCGCGAGGTATTTTCCGGAGCCGAGCTGGACGGTGTTCTCCATGCGTACGCATGGGGCATCAAGGTTGCTTTTGCAATTACTATTGCGGCCTGCGGCATCACTGCCGCTACCAGCTTGTGTACCAAGTGGACCAACCTTAATACGAAGAAACCGAGTGCTTGAAACAGCCGTCCAGACGCTTTTACGAACGGAGTTATTACCGTTTTATTTGTTATGGAAATTATAGTATCCGTCCTGTATTGTACTTGGGCTCGTTGGCCCACCCACCTTTTTTCTGGCAACGATAGACTTATTTTCTTGTGTGATTCGGAAGGAAGTTAACCTGTAAAAGTGGTAATTAGCAACTGCATATCACAAATTAGTTCGTAGAGCTTTAGTGTAATACTGGATAGAATAAGGCTTACATATAAGGTCGTGTATAGTCCTCAGTGAAACCGGCTTCGCTATCTTCGGGATTTTAACCACAGTGCCAGTCAGCGAGCTGCTTCTCCATTCTCGAGGGTAAATATCAATCCTTTTTACGGCATACATGGCTGGGACCATCTTCCAGAAAGACTGTTGTGTCATCTGCGCTTTCCTTTGATTGGCTCGCCACGCGCTAAGTCTTAGCGGTATCTTTGAAAATCTTCCCCTCAGCACAACGCCCACCGCAACATCCCCACCACGAATACACCTAACGTGATCAGCCACCATGCCGATTTCTAAGAAAGCTAGAGTATGTGTCGCCTTCTTCGTGCCTCTGCGCAGGCTAAGGATGTGCAACTGGCTTACCCACGAACGCGCAGGTCCAGCGCGAGCACAAAGCAGCTGAAAAGGCTGGCACCCGCGCCCCGGTTAAGGCAAACGGTCTTCCTGTGAAGGCTCCCAAGCCAACTTCTATTGTATGATTGCGTCTCCTCCCAAACGTCCTTGTGCCTCGTGATTTCGAGTCACCAAACAAAGGGCGGCATGACACTGCTGACATCTCTGGTTGGGGCGGTGTAGTGCCAAAACTGCCGTAAAGAAATGGTCTCCACCAACAAGGCGCAGTTGGAGGATCATGCGAAGACTCACGATCAGAAATTGTGGGCGAAAGAGAAATGTTTCCCTAATGACTTCGCTTGATGTCAATGTAGCAGATGAGGAAAGCAATACTCTATATGTAACACACTGCTCTCACGACAACTGTGAGAAGGCTGCGGGATGGGAAGATATGTATCGTCCTCAGACGACCGTATCAGGCAGGGATGTCAGCCAGGACATCGAACCCAATCACATGGCTCAGCATAGGGCTATTGACTCCATGGCACGATGGAGCGCCGGTTAATGCATTTTCGTTAGTTTCAGCCTAGTCCTTCTCCCAGTGCAAGACACCTTAGATTCGTGATTCAATAAACGCTTACAGATGCTTCATTGGTCTAAAGCCACATATCAACAAGCCTCGATCGAATCCAAGGGCCCGCCTGTTATGCTCTTCGAAGTGTTCGCGTAACACTAACCCTAATATTGCTCCTGGATAGGTAGGGTTGCACAGAACTTCCAGAACCAAGTACTTTATTAGGACTCCGTCTTGTTATTGCTTCTAGATATATCGCCGTTAAATCTGGCCAGCGTGCATCCCTGACGCGCTCTCGTATCGAATGCGTACACAACCTTCTGAAGCTTGCCCTTTGCACAACTCAAGGGCCGGATCAGGACAAAAACAACACTGTTGCCCGCTTTGCCCACCTGGTGGAAGACTCTGCGTTGCTGGGTAAGATTCATACCACCATGAACATCCCCACATGAGAGCAGACATCCGATATGGAAGAGATGGTATGGACTGTCAAAACGTTACTCCTCCATATGATTTTATGTTAGTTAAATGGATACGTACCTGTTCCAGATACTGATGCACTTACACTTCCACCACGCTGTTGTTGCCACGACGCCAAAGCCCAGCTTGATTGATGAGATTACCCTCACCACTCCCACGCTTTGTGCTGTGATGTTCAAGCTTAGATGCAGCACTCGCACCAAATGATTTGACCTTTATGCATAACACTATCGCCACCCCGAACTTCCTCACATTTAGGAATATTCACCCAAGCGAATTAGGTACTACGTAGCCAGTAAGCTATTTACAGTAACACCTCAGTCTGCTATTATGTCACAAGTCACTCCTCAAGCAGCGGCCAGAAACTCTCCGAGTTCGCAGGGATAATCTCATACTGGAATGCGAACTGTCGCAAGTAGTCATATGCAATGCGTGCGTATTCGCACTGCTGCACCAGCTGCGCGAGGATCTTAACGGACGACTTCAGCGCCCGCACAGCGCTGCGGTAGGTCGTAGCGTCTCTAGTTTGAAGGAGAGTGAGATGTACAAGAGAGGCATTAAGTGTGACGTGCACGACCATGAAATTCGGCGTGGAATTGGGGAAGCAATCGTGGTAGGCGCGGAGGAAGGCGGCGACATGGCCGGCGGATCGTTTGCTTTGCTGGTAGGCTAGCTCACCGCTTGCTCCTTCGTCCTTGAGAGAGGAGCGGTGTAGTAGAATGAGTCCGCTGTGGAAGGACATGCTGTTGATTGTTAGTTCAGCCTTACCTGGGTCTTCGGGAATGGACGTACTGGAAAGCTAGGAAAGATGCGTGGAACTGCCTTCCTTTTCGCACGTCTTTGATGCATCTCGGCAGCGACTTAACCCTTTTGCGCGGAGGAGTGCTCTTAGAATACAATCAACTCTTTAGTGCTTTAAGCTACTATGAGACACATTAGGGAGAAGACTATAAGCAAAGATAAGTAGGTTAGTGTGCTAATGGTAGCTTTGCTCGCATGTTAAATTAAGTGTATACCAGGCTCGTATTAGTCGAGGCTTATCCATCGGCGAGTCGTTCGGCTGGTAGGGTCAGCGCCCGCGGTGTTGGCCATTAGAGACAGACCTAGAGCCTTAAGTGAACAAGGCAAAACAATCGTCGCGGAGGAGCACGTCTATTTATTTCGGCTACTAGATACCCTTCGCCACTATTACATAGCTTGTCGAGGAAGGGTTTCAAGAGCAAGAGAATACCTTCTGCATAAGCGACCAGAGTGTCCTTAAGCACTACCAGACAGCTCATCAGTGCCCCGCTGAAAGCTTAGGTGATCCGCTTTGCGACCTGATGCTCTTATTGGTACTGACGCTCGCTTCATCGTCCGAGACACCAATAATTGCACCCAGTTTGATGTGGTAGGGGAACTCGTCATGATGCGTGGATGGCCTGACGGCGAAGCTGTTGTGGTGAGGTTATCACAGAGGAGGCACGGCTGGCGGCTTGGAACAGGCCCATGGCAGCCCACCTAGTGCAGCGGCAAAGTCCATGGCACGACACGGTAGTCTCCACGTTGCAAGGGAACGCAACATAGCTAGGTAGACTTTGGCTACATAAACAGCACAGATCTCCCTCTATCTACGAGAAGGAACGCAGTAGGTCTCTTCATCTGCAGAAGCATCATCCTCCTTCTCTAGTTACTCGTCATCTTTCCGCATGTAGCATACCTAGCCATGTTTTGCTCTCTCCTGTCTTCTTCTTTGCACCTTGCTGCCGCCTTAGCCAGCGCAACGGTTATCGAACCGCCTTCCCTTTCGAGGCGGACCGCCTCCTCCCAAGGCATCGCGTCGGTCGAGCCCACTCCGCTGCTGCACACACCTCGCAGCGACCACCAACACGTCCCGCTACGCGTCCTCCCCCTCGGCGCGTCCATTACGTACGGCCAGGGGTCGAGCGATGGAAATGGGTACCGAGAGCACCTTGAGCGCATGTTGCAGCGTGTAGGAATAACAGTCGACATGGTAGGAACAGTATCATCGGGTAATATGACAGACAAGGTGCGTTCATGTGCACCTACTTACCACCATTGTACTGACAGCCTATAAACTCAACAGCAGAACGAAGGTCATCGAGGCGCCCTAGTACATGAAGTCGCCATGTATGCTGACCAGGGCATCCGCTTCCAACCCAATATTGTGCTGATCAAGTAAGTCGTACCTTACTCAGATGGTCCCATACCTAGCACTAAAGATGAATCAGCGCGGGGACGAACGATGCGCTCAGGGACTCTCCGCAGTACCCCGTCGACTGTAGGCCCACGCCCCATGACTTCTCCTAGCTATTCTCCGCCGGGAAAACTCCACCACCAGATCGTCCGCGAGTACCAGCTGCTACAACCGCTGGAACCGGACCACAGCCGCCGCTCCGGCAGCCCACTCCGCCCCGTCCAGACTCGCCGCAAAGGGTTGGGCCGAGCGCCCTTCACGTCCAGGCTACCACTTGGTGACGTTGCGTCTTCGGGGTCGAGGATCCACCCCGAACCTACTGATGGGGTGATGGCTAGGGCCTCTGCGCCTCGGAAGATGGTAAAGATTCTGCAGTGAGGCCTCGGGCGGGCTGGAGGTGGGTAGCCAGGCGTGGCCACGCCGTGCTCCATCGTGGTTTTCGGCGAGAGAACCGGCATGGTGTGTAGGTCTTGATCCTTCTCCTGTACAGGTGGAGGGCATTGATGCTGTGTGGCGAGACGTCGAGCCTGCATGCGCTTCCCGATGCATCGAAACAGAAACAGCGCGCAGAGGAAGAGCGCTACGAGAGTCGCAACAAACCCAGCTACGGATGCCGCCGAGGGGCCGGTCATCTGCGAAGGAGCGAGGACGTCCGAGCCTACGGCAGACATGATTCGAGGGAGCAGCATTACCAGGCGAGGTGGATGGCTTGTCGTTCTAAAGGTCCCGTCGGCCAGCAGCGCGGATGATGGGAGAAGCTGCGCTACTGTGTGCAATGGGGTTAGGTTCCCTGCATACGAGAAGTATACTCATCTTCTGGGGTGAGAAAAGAGGGATCCTTTTACACCGTGCCGTAAGCGTACCAATTCTTGTCGAAGAAACGTAGATCACTGCAGGCGCTGCCGAGGGAGGTAGCGTAGCAAGGTGGTCTGACGATGCACCCCGTCACAGAACCGTGCCGCAACGCTGGATTGTAGGACACGATTTGCATCATCTAACGAGCTGGGTTGATGGTACCCTAATTCTAGGGCACTTCTTACGTGGCGTGGAAAACGCTAGGAGGAGGCTGGAAGCGCGGCATGGGTGGCACCTCGTCCAGCGAGGAAGGGGGCAAAGCAGTTCACATCCTAGCAAGCTAATGGTAGGGGCCAGAATTCCTATTAGATGAGTCTACCCTCGCCTGCCAACCCTAAAAAGTGGAAAGAGGGGACACGAATAGGTTGAGACTAAGCCATAGTTCATCGTACGGAAACGCAGCACCTAGGCCTCAAGCATCAGGTAAGAGGTCAGCGTCCTCCTGCGCCTACCTATCCAGGCACTGGCAGTCACGAATGCTCCCTCCTTTCCTCTTCCCACTCAGTAGACTGGGACATTTCCAAGCTACATCCATGTCCGAGCACTGGAACAGGACGTTCCACAGCCGCTCCAACGTGTATCCGAAAACCGGGGCGCTCATGCTGTCCTTCCTACCTCGCAGGTAGGGTTCCTTGTGTGCCCAACTACCCGCATCGACGGTGGCGGTGTGCAGCTCGCGGTACAGTCCCTGCCCAATCCCACGGATACGTTCTGCTGAGACGATGAACTGGCCCTTGTAGCTTAGGAGGATCCTTTCGCATGGCCTCTGGTACACGCGCCCGTAGACGTAAGGGACGATACCGGACTTCTCGCTCCATCCCCACTGATCCGTACCGTTGCATCCTATGCTATGGCCGACGAAGCCTAAGCTCAGCATGCCGGTCCGCTGGGGATGGAAGTAAGATCGTATGCGTCGGAGGGTAGCCTCCTCGTTGTGCATGTCAGCTTGGACGAACAGCGTGTGCTTGGCCAGGAGGTCCCAGTGGGACAGGATGTGGTGCAGGTAGGTTTCCCCTTCGCGTCCTACGTTGGGGAGCGGGACGACCCGGTGGGCGCCGGTCTGCTGCTTCAAGGCGGTTAGGTTCATGGGAGATGCCTTTGCGTATACGTGCACTCGCGCGCCAGCCAGGGTAGGGATGTCGCGAAGGGAAGCGAGCAGAGAAGCAACGCTTTCCAGCGACTCCTGGTACATACTGACGACTACATCCACGGGGTGGCTCGGATGGAATGCGGAGTCCAGTACGGGGGCAACGCGGTAAGCGTCGGGGGTGTGGCCAGGTAGGAAGTTCAGGAAGATGAACGCAAACCACGCGGTTGCGATGGCCCCTATAGGAAGAATCCGAAGAAAGCTAGAGGCGTGAGCGTGGGCGCGGTGGTCGTCGGGCGACGACGTCCCCCCGAACGCTTCCGAGGTCGGCGTCGGCGTCGAGGCGCGACGGGAGCTGGCCGTGTCGTCTCCACGTGAGGCTGCTTCCGCCATGGCAAGGCTTGGGGAGGACGGGCGTGGAGATTTTGGAGGTGAACACGGCCACTTCTGGAGCCTCCGTAGGCGTTCGAGCACCGCCGCGGCTCCGACGTAGGCGCCCAGCTGGAGCCAGGCGGTGTAGGACCGTTGACGTAGGAGGAGGACCGAGGACAACCCTGCGCATCCACTAAGCACGAGCATGGCCGATAGCCGGTCCCGACCATTCCATGTGCAGATGGGTGCCAGTAGTGATCTTCCCAAGTCCATGGCAACGGCGGAAGACGCCACATTGCCCAGTAGGAGGTAGGCTGCCTGCCGACCGTCCTGGCCTTGGAGCGCAGCCACGAAGCTCGTCTCCTCGCGCAATACGCAGAGTCCCGCAAGGCCGAGGCCCCAACCATAGAAGAGCACCGAGTCGAGCGGAGCGTCGTGAGCATACCGGCCGCCCCCGCAAAACGACGTCGGCAGGCCCAAGAGGAGCACAGCGGGAACGGCGCAGGCTAGTCCCTTCGTCGTCAACCGATATTCCCCGTAGAAGAATATGCCAGAACACAGGCTGAGGAGGAGGAGGAGAAGAGCTGGCTCCCGTACCAGCCTTCTCCCGGGTGTGCTGATTATCCAGGCCGTGAGTTGCTCTGATACGGGGCTGACCACCTAGCTGGTGTTAGCCACATTCTTCTTATTTGCGGTCCCGTATGGTACGTACTGGTAGCATGGCGAGCGTGGCCAGGTTCGGAAAGTGTAGCACGGCCTGGAGGACCAGTAAGCTGGAGACAGCCGTCACCCCTGACAGCGACACACGTAGCAGAGGAGAGGTAGCCAGCCGGGCATGCTGGAGAGGTTGCGCATGGAGGCCAGCTCGGCGACTGAGGACGACAACTACCAAACGCAGCGCGTAAAGGATAGCGGTTGCAACCAACTGGAGTAGGAGCAGGTGGGACGGGTAGTGTAGGCCTAGGTCTACCAAGAGGTGCCGGGAGCTGGAAAGGGACGCAGCTGCGCTGATCGCCCAGATGATCACTCTCCAGCCTACCTGCAGCGTGAACGGATCGGCGGGAAGGATGCTTTGCCGTAGCATTGTTGCCTAGGGTCGCAGTGTCGTAGAAGGGGATCGGACTGATCGTGCAAAATTGGCATGCAGGGTGGGCTAACAGATGTCCAGGAGTGAGTTCTTTAGGCCAGGTGAGGAGAGGGAGGTTTGGATGCGAGCCGAAGCCCGGACGGCGAACGCCTTTTTTCTTCCTACACCGTCTTCCTCTCCTTAGACCCGTGACTGCTTGGCCACATCTCTGCAGGACGTCGTGCCTGCGCCGCAAGCCTACGTTGCATTTTGCATCCCCAGCCACCCGTCTAGTTTGTCACAGGTATGGAGGCACAGCCTAAGCGGCGCTTAAAGACGTTGGGGTTAAGTTACTGCTTCGTATGCGGCCCCTTCGCGTAAGCCCCCCTCCGTGACCATATTATTGGGTAGGCATCGGCATCTGTCTCACTGGAGCGCTGGGTAATGAAGAGGCGAAAGCACAGCAGTCGAAGTAAAAGTATTTAAAAGAGCGTTCAAATGAGTGTCGGAAGTAAGTATAAAAAGAGGCCAAAAGAGCGTCGGAAGTAGGAGCAAAAAGAGGCCAAAGGAACATCAGAAGTAGGAACAAAAAGAGGCTCGTCTAAAGAAAAGGAGGGTGCAAGTGCGCTTGCCAAAGAATCAACCCTTCCAGCCTAGCCACCATCTCCCCCTTAGAAAACGGACCCGACGGCACCCATCTACCCAGTCTAGCCAAGCTACTCTGCCTGCTCGGTTCCCAGCTGCGGTCGGGCGGGGGTAGGGCCTCCGCTAATAGGGATGAAGACGATGTTGGCAGCCCGACCTGTTACCCCTCTCCGTTGACGTGGTGGATGCTGGTTAATGTACACCGCGTCCATGCAGACACCATTGTTCGGATCGGCACTACAAGGCAAGATGCCACGGTTAGCCCTCTAACCCCCTACCCTTCTACGATGCCGGAGTGGCTGCGGTTACATACTTGTACTCGATGTTGTTCTCGTGCTTACTCTTCCCCCCCTTCTTCATGCAACCATTGATCTCCCGGCGTAGGTACGCTTCGATGTCATTCCGAGACACGTCCGCGCCCGTCTTCCCAGCGTTGTGGATACTAAAAAACCATTGGTTTCCGACGGCCAGGTCGGTGACGCACAGCCCACGCTCCTGGCCCTGTACCAGATTACCTTGCAGGTACGATGCAGCGTCGTGGACGTGGTCCAATGCAAACTGGGTATCCGTTGTGGAGATCTCGTCTTTGTAGCAACCGGCAGAGGCGAGAGGGAGGGAAAGGAGGAGGAAGAACGAACCGACGGTGGCGGCTACGTGGGAATGCATCTTGGATTGAATAACGAGTTGGACAAAGGGGCTGGTGTAAAGTAGAAGACGGTAGGGGAACGTGGTGCTCTGGTTAAGGACGGTCGGAGGGCACACCACCTTCTTTATAGGGGATCCATTGCAGGGCACCACGTCGTATGCTCTCGACTTTTGCATACGTGTCCCTCTCCTTCTTAAGACCACTGTGATAGCATCCCCTGCCACCTAGTGTCTAACTCTCTCTGCCCACACTACGCCCACCCCGCCCGCGCCGCCCACTCCTTTGTATCAGACCTGCTCCTGCGTTCGACCGTCTGCTCACACCGAACGGAACCTGGCCATGACCATCTCCGCATCGTTAACCTGACTCCTTTGCGGCACATTTACCAACACCTAGCGAACCAAGGAGCCGTTTGCCATGGGATATTTACCAATCCACCGTGCCTAACTCTGACCAGGTGGCATCCTCTACGCTCGCACCTTTATGCCGTACACACTCTGTCATCGCACCTACCCTACCTCTACGCCGTAACGTAGTAGGACCTCGACCCTCCGCCCCTATTTCACGCATCCTCTACACTGATGCCCAGCGACGCCGTACTCTTGCTACACTAGCTTCTACCATCGCCGCATACGCCCAGCCCAGATGTCTAACAAATCTTATGCCATCGTGGCCTCCCACGATAGCTTACAAAGTCGCCCCTGCAGCGTGGAGGGATGTGTATAAAAGCTCAGAGACGTACCACACTTGCATCTTTAACCCTTTCACATCGTCTCACTCAACCCAACTCCGTCGCCATCTTTACCCTGACGTAATTATGAAGTTCATTCCAGCCTTCCTCACGGCCTTGCATCTGGGCGTTGGAACTTGCAATCCGCTCGGCGTGCCTACCACGGTCGGGACGGCACCAGGTGAGCGGGAATCCATCCCCTCTACTACCAGCGTAACTATCGAAGCCGCCCCAACCTCGCCGGCCTCGTCTTCGCCAGACGCCGCGTGGCGCCACATGACGCCCGGCCAAGACAATGGACTGGAGCAGCGCGCGCTTATGGACTGGACGCAGATAGCAATCAGCAACGCGTGTGTACGTAGATACGCCAAGATGTCAGCCCACGTACTCGCCTACGACCCCTAGCTAACGTGTGCGTAGATGACGTGCTTCATTGCGCATTCGGCCGCCCTAGGAATTAGATTTTCTTTCCGCAAAGGCGTCGTACCCGACGGTGTCTATCAATCGTGGGCCTAGTGCGTATAGGTATCTTCATCCGCATGCCCTGTAAAGCTAACCCACGTGGACAGTGCGGTGCGCGAGTGTTGGGACTACTGTCAGAAGAGGGTGACCGCAACGAATCCAGGGGTCAACGCCGGTAGTCAGGGCGGTGATGGGAAAACCTGGTCGGAGATGACATGGCTTACCACCGTCGCAGGGATGAGGCCATGATGGAAGCCGGTGGTAGGCTGGGGAGGGGAATGGAAGAAGGATCGGTGGTAGCGGCCAGGCTGGTATTTCCATCCCAAATGTTTGGTTCTGCGGCGTGATCAGACCAATCCCACCTTCTTGCTGCTTGCTCAGCAATGACCACCCAGATGAGGTTTATTAGGGCCCTCTGTGCCTACGAGCAACCTTATCCTTTATTGCCACCTTACTCCACGCATAGGTCTCTTGATCACCTACTATCCCTCACTCTAAGGGAACATTTACTGTCATTACTGCCCTTAGCGCTATTTGTAGTTATTTATATGTAGAAGTCATTTGTATAGGCTATTTCTATTTAGCTTTAGCCTAGTTTAGTCTTAGCTAGCCCTTTGTTCAAGTATATACGCCGTAAAAAAGGATTCGATACACCCAGCAAAGACAGCCTATGCCCCCGCAATACACACATATCACTCATATGTGCTCATAGCCCTACGCGTGATGAGGTGACGACGTAGAGTAGCGTAGGCCACGTTGGGGGATCGTAGGGTAGGAGATAGTAATCGTACTGTCGAACAGCATTCATACCTTCGTTCCCGACCACTTGCACTTCCAGAACCACGTCCAAAACCCATGCGGGTGCAATGCCTCAACTAACCCAAAGGGCGTCACGACTGCATCGTACACGGTCCAGAATGCGTGAGGTTGATGGTTGCGCGCAATCTTCAAGTGTCCGGTGGCTCTGTCCACCGTCACCTGGAGGATCTGTAGTGCGGCGTGCATCTGGAAGCAGTTCGATTGCAGCAGATACTTGCTACCGTCGTCCCATTCCCGCACGAACCGAAATCGCATCGTCTGTCCCACTTCGAAGGGGAGGTCGAAGGGGTCAACGCCATCGCCGCCCATTCCGCTGAAGAGCGTCTTCGGCCGGGCCCCTATGCTGGAGCACCCCGTCCACTCGTCGTCCACGAAGAAGCTGGGTTCGGTCATCGCAGGGAGATGGCACGTGCCGAAACGCGCGAGGCCGTCTACCATAAAGGGTACGGGCGGCGCGCAGAGCGTGGCCAACGGGAGCGAATGGATGGTTGGCGGCGGCGTGGGGTAGTACGTGTCACTGTTGGCAAGCGCCCAGCAGAGTTCCCGGTAGAAGAGGCCAAGGGCCCGGTTGGCCAGCGCGTGAAGCATGACCAGATGATGCACGGTGTCCCTGGCACCGACGTCGAGCCCGCGGTGGTCAGTCACGCGGAACCACTGGGCGGATTGGAGAAGGCTGGGCGGCTCCCCCCCGTCGGGGTGGGAGGCGAGTAGGTGCGCAGAGAGGCAGAAGCCGGCCGCCTGCGCGAGGCGCCAGGTGTGGGTATCCTCAGCTCGGCTTGGACTGAGAGCAAAGACTGATGTAGCTAGGCTTTCGGGATCGACATCGCTACCCGAAACGATCGGGGCGCTACAGATGGCGTCGCATAGTTGGTCGAGGGAGAGGACATCCATCGACGTAAGTATAGGATCTGCGAGCACAAAGGAGTAGGGTTAGTAATGATACGGTCACATCGGGCCACTGGCCTTTCGTGACGGAAAGAACCTACGTTGCAATGCAATCACGTGCGGGAGCCAGTTCTCTACATCCTTGCTGTCCAGCGCTCTGTGCTGGCTGGTGGCCAGGGCGTCAGCAACCACATAACGCTTCCACCCACCTTGTTCGGTACGGTAACGCAAGACGGCGCGGTAAGCACCTGCAAGCGTTGGCTGCGCAGCTACGAGGTTTCGCCACGTATTTGGATCGTCGCATGCAGAGTGGAAGCGACGGCAGGTGCGAACAAAGGTAAGAGCGGCACCGGAAGGTAGTTGAAGGAAGATGGCACGGAGTACCTCCACTGGTAGCCGTGTAAGGGAAGCGCGACCGTGAGCCATGAGAAAGAGAAAGTAGGAGAGATAAAATGCTATAGAAAAAGAGAAGGAAGAGAGAGACAGGGGAGGGAGAACCTTTATGTAAGGTACTAGAGAAGAAGGTAGTAGGCTCGTTATAGAAGAGAGGTAAGAATAAGGATTCACGTAGCTAGGGAGAGCATTAGCGAGTGCCAATCCTTAAATATCAAGCGATTTTCTATTTTAGGAGACCGTGCCACACTACCACATACGCGAAGGTTAAGCCACCTTTCTGTAGGGGTAGGCTGGGATCTATATTAAGGTCCATCATAGCCTTATTTATATATTAGATAGAATAAGGGCGTTAAGGTTGGCTCTATATAAGGTCTATAAAAACCCACTCTCTTTCCATACTTCGATATATCGCCTCACCTGCTGGTTACTTATAGGCCGTAGAGTCCTTAGAGTAGGAGAGTGCTCCCGCCCCTTCGCCGTCGCCAGCGTTACTCCGCCACACGACATGTGCAAGAACTTAGACTCGAAGAAGGATAAGGCCTGGTAGGCTGGGTTCTCCCATGGGTTCTCTGCGGGGTGAGCCCGAACCCTCCTGACCCACTCCTCCAAGGGAACGACGCCCTTCTTTAGCACGCCTAACGCATCGGCTAGAACAGGGACGATCTCCGCCCAGTCTCTGATGACAGGGTTATCAATGTGGTATACAGGGTAGCAATCTGGGATTTCGCGCAGCAGTAGATCTGCCAGTGTCGCAGAGGCGGACTCAAGCGGCACCCACGATAGCGGGCCCGTAACGTTAGGGAAGGCGCGTAGGGTCTGGGCCGATTTGAAAAGAAAACCAAGGACCTCCATGTGGTTCCAGTAGCCGGTTTTGACGGAGCCGGAGACCTGGCCAAGCCGCACGGAAGCGCTCGGGGTGCTGACCTAGGGTCTCCCGCAGCACACGCTCGCATATCACTTTGGCGCCACCATAGCCGTTGGGTAGCGCGCTATCCATGTCGAGCGGCTCCTCGGGCACCTGCGTCTGACCGCCGTGCGTGTAGGGATACTTGCCCACGGCCGAAAGCGACGATACTAGCTGAAAGGTAATCTTGCTGTTTGGACCGCGAGCTGCGGACGCCTTGGCCGCGAGGTCGACGAGGTTGCGCATCGTGGCGAACTGCGGCTCGTTCTGCTCCAGGGAGCGCAGGCCATTGACGGGGAAGCCGTTGTGAATGATGTGCGTCACGCTATCCACTAGTTGTTCGTAAACTTCCATGTCAAGGCCGAGCTGCGCTTCGAAAGAGTCCGTTTCGATCGCCTCGAGCTTGGAGAGTGACCACTGGTCCAGGTGAATTGACTTCGACTCAAGTGCCTGGATTTGACGCTTTTGCGGATCCGCATTGGCCCTTGCCTTCAGGCCGCCCGGACCATGGCGGTTAATGCAGTAGACTTTATCAACTGTAGGGAGGCTGGCGAGGTGTGCGATGATGTGGCTACCGAGGCTTCCCGTGCTCCCAGTGACCAGTACGGAAACAGATGAGCTGGCACTGCTTGTAGCATTCGCCGAAGTACTGAGTGGAGTGACCGAAAACCCCTCAATTGTGCGCTTCACATACTTATCCGCGGCCGCAACTCGAGCCCGGATATGTTCTTCATTCATCTCCTCATCATGCTCATGGTAATTCGCACCCGAGCGATCCGCAACAGACAGACTCTTCAGCCCAGGCGGGACATCAGCCGCCATGGCGACCAAAACCCGCTGCACGCGAACTTCGGGCAGCTTGCCGTCTGTCCACTCGATGTGTTTGAAACCAGAGCCAAGAAGCTCCTTCTCCCAGTGCTTCTCATCCACGATGGCGTGGGTCCGGCCGTCGTCGAAGAGCCACCAGCCCTCGAGGGTGCCCCAGACGACATCGTCCCAGTGCAGGGAACCCATCATCTCGAGCAGGATGAGGAAGCCGTCGGGGCATAGGAACTTGCGGATGTTTCCAGCCGAGACGTGGAGCGAATGCGTCGCGTGCACGGCGTTGCTGGCGATGACGATGTGCTGGGAGCTCACGAGCTCTGCTTCAGACGGTGGCTGCTCGATATCGTGCACGGCGAACTTCATGAAGGGATACGGCTTAAACCGCCGCTTGGCCTGTGCCACGAGCGACGGTGATAGATCAGTGAAGGTGTATTCAACTGGGATCCCAAGCTTGGCGAGCATGGGCACAAGGACCTTGGTGGTTCCGCCGGTGCCAGCGCCCATCTCCAAGATCTTCAGAGTGGTTGGGGTTTGGCAGGTCAGATTAAGCTTTGTCGAGAGGCGCGAGAGAAAGTCGGCCATTAGCTCAAAGTAGAGCTTGTTGAAGGGAAGCTCGCCGTAGAAGCTGGCGACTAGCTCGCGGTTCTTGGCGTCACCAAAGATCATCTGCGGCCCATCGGCCTTGCCAGAGAGAACTTCGGCCATGTGGGTACCGACGTTGTATGTGAGCTGATGCGAAGCACTGTTGTCCGCGTGATGCTTCATGAGGTCTTCCGAGATAGCTTATGCAGTCTGCGAGGGGAGCGGTATGGCCGTGCGGGTGATGACTCCGTCATCGCTATCGATGATTCGCGTCTCTTCCAGCATTTTGTACAGGTAGTCGCGGAATCGCTGGTGCTTAGCCACGAACGGGACGGGCTGCAAGACATCGCCAGCCTGGGCCGCCTTGAGGTCGCAGCCCAACTGCTTGAACGCCGCGCTGATGAGCACGAGGCAGAGCCTAGTCTGCTTCTGAGACACACCACTGAGGTAGCCGGCGCATCCACGAGTCTTGAGGAAGTGGTCCGTGAGCAAACTCGACTCGCGGAACGAATCAAGCACAACAGCTGGCGGTAGTTCCAGGTCGCTATCCTTCGTGTCGTCCAGTATCACATAGTCCGAAGACGAGTCTGGCGAGGACGTCACGAAACCGCCTTCTTTCAGCAAATTGTCCTCCGACGGAGGTTCCTCGGAGGATGTCGAAGAGCTGGCCCCATCTCGGCGGTCGAGCGTCGTCTGGAGATAATCGAGGATGCCGTGTATGTCGGTAAGGCCGACCACCTCGGACTGTTCGAGAGTGCAAGCGAATGTGGTCTCAACTTCGCGCGACATCTCCATGCCCATGAGAGAGTCGATGCCAATATCTGCCAGAGCGTCGGTTTCGTTGATCTCGTTAACTTCGAGACCAGAGATATCTGCAAGAACAGGACGGAGCTTGGCCCATATTTCGGCCCTATTGTTAGCCTTTCGCATACTGGCTCCCGGCGGTGCTGATGTCACCGGTGGCTTAACGCTCGTACTTATGGTTATACCGTTCCATGTGTTTAACACTGGCCGTGACGTCTTTATGTCCACAGCCTATACTTAGGAGACGATTGGTACTTTTACAGTGGTTTTATAACTCCGAGAAGTTGGTATCCCCATAGATAGCTCATCACTTTATTTATTTTAGTATGTAATAATAAGGAATAGGATGTTACTAAGTAAATATATATTTTTACAGACGTATATTAAATGCTAGGAATAGCCTCTTTAAGTAATCTAGATACTACGTTAAAGATAAAAATATCTATTATAAAGGAGTAATTAGAGTTATTATACTTATACTATACTAGTATATACTATTCCTTATAGTAATTATTCCTATTAAGTTCCTTAGTCTCTTAATATAGTAGGGCTATAGAATAGATCTATTACTTAATACTACTAATAATATAGATAGAATCTTAGGTAATATAATACTATCTTAATAGGTAGTTTACCTAGATACTTCTAGTTTAGATAAAAATATTACCTAAACTAAAACTACCTAGAGTTATATTATAGTGTTTATATATATTATAAACTAGATAATAGTAGAGAAGTTTAGGCGCTTATAAAGATAGAAGATATAATAACTAGGGTTATAATAAGATAAAGATATACTAAGTTACTTAGATAGTAGTTATATAACTTACTTAGCTACTTAAGGTTTCTAAATACCTAAGTAGCTAAGAGCTATTATATAACCTACTTAGTTATTTAGGGCCCCTAAGTAACTAAGTAAAATCCCTATATAGAAATATAAAAATAAACCTTTATACTTATATTTAACCTAAATTTTAATCTATTATTTAGATTTACTTAGGCCTCCCTTATTAACTTATTATACTTTATAAGATACTTCTATATTAATAAGAACCTATTTTCTTCTTTTTTTAGTAAGTCTTACCTAAGAACTAACCTTAATCTATTTAGAACTAGCTACTCTTTTTAGACTTAATATTTTAAATACCCTTAATATAACTATAAGGACTTCTACTTCTTCTATAGCTTTAGATAATATTACTATTACTCTAATAGGTAATTCTAAGAGTAAAGTATATAAACCTAATTTATATTATAGTAATAGGAAGTATACTAATATCTAGCTTCTTTAGTTAGACCTCTATTTCTTTAAACTTAATAAATAACCTAAAGATAAACGAAAAGTTATCTTTATAGCTATTTATATATAAGGTAATACTAGAGAATAGATTTAACCCTATATAACTAAGTATCTAGAAATAGACTATAATAATAAAGATAAAAAATATATAGATAACTATATAAACATAGTTAATATTATTAAAGACTATACTAACTTTAAGAAATACCTTAAATAGATATTTAGAATTACTAATAAGGTACCTATTATAGTATAAAATATTTAAACTATAATATAGTAATAATTAGTAGCTAAGTATATAGTAGAGTTCTATAAGAATACTATATAACTTAACTAGAATAATAAGTTACTAATAATAATATATAAATAAGGTCTTAAGAAACCTCTATAAGAAAAACTTCTATATAGTAGGGGAATTATTAGAACCCTTAATAAATTATATAATAAATTAATTAGGATTAATAGAGAATAGTTTACATTATAATAGGAATTTTAATATAACCTAAGAAATATTAGTTTTAGATAACTAGTACCTATAGTCTATAGAATACTACTAAAAGAACCTTAATACTAATTATAAGACTTCTATAGATACTAGCTAATAGAAGATATCTAGTTTAACTACTTAAATAAAGAAAAAGAAAAAGAACTAGGCTTTTATAAGCCTAATATATATATTTTAGATAGAACCTAATATTAGGGGACTAAGACTTATATATATTTTATATATAGTAAACTAGGCTATATTACTAGAAACTATAGATCTAAGAATAAGGTTATTAGATAGTTAAATATACTTACTACCCTAATAAAGGAAATTAAGGATAAAGAATAGACTATTATAAATACTATTAATAACCTTATACTTAATAATAAATCTAGATTAGAGTTATTAACTAATTTATAACTTTATAAGAATATTATTACGGCTACTACGCCGTAATAGAATTATAGGACTTATATTAATAATAGTAGTAACTAATTAGATTATATAGGAGAGAAATATAATTATAGGTTAAATACTAAGTATAATATAGGTATATAAGGAAGTTACGTAATTAGATTTATAAATCTATAGAATAGAGCTATAGAGCCTAGATCTATAGGATCTATAGGTAGAGCCTATAGAGCTATTATTAGATAGTAGTATATAGAGATAATAGATTACTACTAGATAAGCCTTTATTATTAATCTATAATATAGTTCTCTATATCTAGTTTTTTTATAGGAGATTACTATTAAGTCTTTAGTAATATATTTTTATAATAGTAATTAATTAACATTTATACTCTATATAATCTATACTACCCTATATACTACTTATCTCTTACTAGAACCCTAATAGGGCCACGGCTAGTAATAGAGTCCTAGAGGCCCTATTACACTAGTAGTAAATCCCTTTATATTTATTAAAAAGAAGGATAAATTAGATAGACTATATATTAACTACTAAGTAATTAATAATATAATAATTAAGAATAAATATCTATTACCTAATATCTTAGAGCTTAGAGATAGACTCTTATAAGTAAAAGTTTTTATAATAATAGACTTAAGAGATAGATACTACCTAATTAGAATAAAAAAAAAAGTAAAAAATAAAAGATAGTATTTTAATTATACTATAAACTCTTTAAGTACCTAGTAATATCTTTTAAACTTACTAATATACTAGTAACCTTTTAAGTACTTATTAATAATATACTCTATAAATATTTAAATATATTTATTATTATATATATAAATAATATTCTTATTTTTTTAAAAATAAATCTAACTACACTAAATATATATAGATAGTACTAGAAGTACTAGATAAGGTATACTTAAGAATTAAACTTAAGAAATACTAATTTAATATTAAATAACTTAAGTTTCTTAGATATATTATTACTACTAATAGAATTAAAATAGTACTAAGTAAAGTAAAAAGTATTAAAAACTAGTCTATACTAAAAACTATAAAAATATCTATTATAGCTACTACGCTATAATAGAATTATAGAACTTATATTAATAATAGTAGTAACTAATTAGATTATATAGAAAAAGAATATAATTATAAGTTAAATACTAAGTATAATATAAATATATAAAAAGTTACGTAATTAGATCTATAGATTTATAGATACTAAGAATATAGAACTATAAAACTAGAATCTATAAATTTATAAGAATTTATAGATAGAGTCTATAGAGTTATTATTAGATAGTAGTATATAGAGATAATAGGTTACTATAGAGTAAGCCTTTATTATTAATTTATAATATAGTTTTCTATATCTAGTTTTTTTATAGAAGATTACTATTAAGTCTTTAGTATTATATTCTTATAGTAGTAATTAATTAATATTTATATTATATATAATCTATACTACCCTATATACTACTTATTTTCTACTAGAACCCTAATAGGGCTACGGCTAGTAATAGAGTCTAAGAGGCCCTATTATATTATAGAATTAGTAGTAGAGCCTATTATTTAGCTCTAGGTATTTAATATAGTTAAAACTCTCTTTAAATAGGGACTTACCCTTATACTCTACTACTAGAAAGAACTAGTACTAAAACTAATAAAAAGTCTATCTAATAGGGTCTATTAGCTAACTAAATTATACCCTCTCTATCTAATAGAGTCTATTAGCTAACTAAACTATACCCTCTCTATCTAATAGGGCCTATTAGCTAACTAAACTATACCCTTTCTATCTAATAGGGCCTATAATAGCTAACTAAGCTATACTAAGTAGCTTTATAATATAGAATATATAGCTAATAGCTTCTATTCCTAAGTAGCTTATATATTAAAAAGCTATATAATACTCTAGACTTTATTAAAACCTATTACCCACTATAGAATAAAGTAAAGAAGAGAGAAAGTAGGTAAAATAGAAGTCTAATTAAAAGGTATAGGCCTAAAGACACTAGTTCTATATAGCCTCTCTATAATAGCCTAATATATAAAACCTATAAAGGACTATAGAAGTAGTTCTAAAGCTTATACTATTTTATACTATATATACCCTAAATATATAAAGATATCTATCCTTTAATATTTATACTTAACTAGTTAATAATACTTTATAGGAACTAGTTTCTAAGTTAATACCCTTACTATAGTATTATTAAATCTAGAAAGGGTAGCTAATCCTAAATAGATTAGGGTTAGTTCTTAGGCAAGACTTACTAAGGGGAGAAAGAAGGGGTTCTTATTAATATAAAAGTATCTTATAAAGTGTAATAAGTTAATAAGGGAGGCCTAAGTAAATCTAAATAATAGATTAAAACTTAGATTAAATATAAGTATAAAGGTTTATTCTTATATTTCTATATAGGGATCCTACTTAGTTACTTAGGAGCCCTAAATAACTAAGTAGGTTACGTAATAACTCTTAGCTACTTAGTTATTTAGAAACCCTAAGTAGCTAAGTAAGTTATATAACTACTATCTAAGTAACTTAGCGCGTCTTTATCTTATTATACTATATTCCTAAACTATACTACTAAGGTAGGGTTAGGTTACCCCTAGGGGCAAAAATAGTAGCTGCCCCTAGGGGTAAAGGAGGTAGAAAGCTACCCTTAGGGGTAAAGAATAGAAGGCCTACTAGAAATACCTAGTAGGGGCTAATAAGCTTAGGTATTACTTACCCCTAGGGGTAAGGGGTCTATACTAGAAATACTAATATATAAAGTTTTAACCTATATATAAATAACCTTTTATCTTTAAAAACACTACTTAACCTAAATACTCTAACCCTAATAAAAGTAAAACTATAATAAAGCATAAAGATATAAACGTCTCTAC